AAAATTTTTAGAAAATCTGAACAAAAGATTGCAAAATACAAAACAAGTTTTACATTATGTTTAATACAATCTATTGTAATGCTTTTTAATATATATATATATACAGTATACAGTATATATACTGTATTATTGCAATTGTTATGAATTTCTTTTAAACACGAGTATATAAATTACAATCTTTTATTATAAACATAAGTATAGCTTGTTTTTAATAGATTAATAAAAAAAACGATTGTTTTTTTGGTAAATTTGATAAATATATTTTCTTAATGTAAATTTTAAATATAAATTATATATTGATATTTGGTTTAATTTTGCTCATAGATTATCTGATATTTAGTTAAACGCAAGCATTTAATACAATGCTTCCGGAATAAGACATAAAACTTTTAGCCTTCAAGTGTCCAACAAATCTGTTTTTACCATCTCTTTGTTATATTCATTACAATATATATACCAATCATATTATATAAAATTACTTTAATTGTACTGTACTTATATTAATGTTACAGTACATACATAACTTTATAAATATATTCAATAAAACATTATATAAATTAATAATACAATGCTTTATAGTTTGATTTTTATTGCAAATAATGTAAATTTTTATAAATAGTTAAACAATACATTATTTCTTAAGGTTAGAGTAGTTATTATTTCATTATTGTCTTATTTTGTTTAATTTCATTTTAAATTAAAATAGATTTCTTAAGAATCACTTTTCTGAAAACAATGAATTTTTAACAATTTTTTCTTTGTTGCCATTATTGTAGTATAAATAAAATATATAAAATAATAAAAATATGAATACAATAATTTAAACATTATATAATTTAATAAATATATTTAGAGATATTTATGATATTAATTAAAAGTCACCCACTACATTCATATATACAAATTATACTTTATTTTACATAATTATAAAAATAATATTTAATAATAGGTTTTCATAGTGTTGTTAGTATTATAATAGTTAACTGATGTAGTGATGTCTCGATAGCAATCTATTCATAAAAACAATTAAATCATAAAAAGTTGTAGTAATCGCATCATTAAAATCAATTTATCCCCTAATTTATTCATTCATATGTCGCAATTCAGCAAATTATTGTCTATATATTACAATCATTAAATTTTTTCTTATTATTATATTCATAGTTTTGTTTAATAAATGTAAATTTTAAAACAATAAGCATTTTATTTTATTGTAAGACAATAATTAAAATTTATATTAACAAAATTTTATATAAACGTAAATAATATTTACAATGGATTTTACATTTTGATATTACATATGAGTTTGTTTAAAAATGACATTGCTCAAATACAGTATATACAATCAGTTAGAGTGTCATTAATAGCTTTTCATGGCTTTGAATCAAACCATTTGATTGAAATCATAAAAACTAACCAAACAACACATTTGTCTATTATATCTTTATTTCAAAATATATTATGTGTTAATTTTATTTTTTTGTGTTTATTTTACTAATTTTAAAGTTATTTTTATTTTTTATAAAACTATTTTAACAATCCATTAAATTCAATTGAATTTGTATATTGTATTAATTAATATTTTTAAAAATTAATTAAACAAGACGTGGCTGATTTTTGCTAATTTAAAAAAAATAATAATAAAAATTTAATTTAATTTTGAATGATTTTATTATAATATAGTTTATCAATTTTTAAAATAATAGTTTTAATAATATGGTTTAAATACTAACAGATTGTTTTGCGTCCACTAAATTGTTAATTGTTTTAAGTACTCATAAATATGTGGTTTTCTTTTAAACTTAAAAATAAATTTATTGAATAAATGATATAACTTTAACTATTATTTATAAAATGCTTATCAAATATGTGTATTTTATAAGATTGAAGGCTACGGACAGATAATCTTCAAGTTTTATTATTTATTATCAATTTTATGTATTGTTTTTATTATAATTTTATTATATGAATATAATACAGTATAAATTAGGTATTGTAATATATCATATTCATATGAGATATTCATATAAGTTAAAAAAGTGTATGTATGTACATATGTATATATGTATGTATGTATGTGTGTGTGTGTGTGTGTGTGTGTGTGTGTGTGTGTGTGTGTGTGTTTGAGAGAGAGAGAGAGAGAGAGAGAGAGAGAGAGAGAGAGAGAGAGAGAGAGAGAGAGAGATGTAAATATAGTTTTCATAATTTATTGTTTGTTTTTCAGTCATTTAGTGATTGTTTCCTTTGATTTACAAAAAAGTAAAAATATTGATATTGAATAAAATGATTCAAAGAGATTACACTATCTTATCGTAATTTTTTTCCTGTTAAGAGTCTATATTAAAGCAATTATATAAATATAATATTCAATCTAATGTATTAGTGTTGTTAATGTATAGTACTATATATTGTATTGCATTTGTTGGTAATTATAGTAAATGATTGGAAACAAGTTTTGACTAAACTTTAGACAAATCACAACTCATTTCCATTGTTTTCCAAAGACATTGTATTTATTGTATTAATTTCATATATTGTATATACTGTACCATATACTAGTACTATATACTAAACTTGCCTTGTTCATATTTGTTTAACTTTATATTCAACAAAAATTTATTAACAATTACTTAATACGCTTTCCTTTATATCATTATAACTAGAATAACAATTATTACAATACATTCATTTTTGTATAATATAATAATTAGTTTATTTAGTTTTTAAAAATCTTTATTATTATATAAATAAATTACTAAACAATATTTTGAATATTTAATAATAAAACGTTATACTTGTAGTTTTAAAAATAAATTTTAAATAAATGATACATATATTTATTTTAATTTTTGTTAGTTATTTTTAATTTTAATTATTTTTTTATTAAATAAATATATGCGTATATATATATAGCTGATAAATATAGTATACTGTATACAACAGTATTAATTATCATATATTTACTTATTATGCAAATAATTGTAAATAATTTTTACTTCGAAGACAACAATCATTTGAAGGCCGACTTCAATGTGATGTCAAATCCTAACGAAAAAGTTTATTTAGATTTTAAAATTTTTATTGTATTTTGAATAATAATTAGTCTATTAAAAATAATATTTGTAAATTATAACTTGATTTTTTAACTCAAAAATTTAATATTAATTTAAAAAGAATCCAAATTGTTTTAGATTTAATATATATTTTACTATTGTAAAAAAGTAGTCATTTTTCAGAAAAAATTTAGCATTTTTAACATACATTGACTCCCTTTTTAACAACACTTAGATTGCATCTCTAATTAATCACATTCATCGCTAATATAACGTTAATTAATTATTTTCTTGTATAGATTTTTTAAATAGAAAATTAACTCAGTTTATATCCATATATTTAACATATTTTCTACTGTTAATATTTGGCAAATTATGATATATTATTTATATTATTAAAATTAAACTTTCAATTTAATGTTATAAATATTATTATATTTAGTTTGTTATTTTGAATAAAAATATATTAACTTTTATTTTTAGTTTTAACAAAATTGTTTGTGAAATACAATGAAACAAATGTTTAGAAATTGCTTTGAGCTTAAAATAAAATATTTTATATATAGCTTATTGTTTAAGTTTTATATTCATTTCTTTTCAAAACTTATATAAAATTTCATTATAATGAATAATAACAATATGTTGGCAAATATTTATGAACTATTGTGGTGTTAATTATATTAATAAAGGTATTACAAGAAACGTAATCAAAATTGCTTTAAGAGGTGCATATAAAACAATGGTATCATGTATTTCAATTATTTCAATTATAATAATATGCATCTCATTTGTTTGATTAACTCGTATTATATGAATTTTTGTTATTTTCTAATATTTCTTACAATATTTTATTTTAAAAAATATCTACAAATGATAGTATGTTTCTATTGTTTTCAGTGTTTGAAAATGTGTTTTGTCTTATGACGACTATTTTATTAAAATAACAACAAAAAATATTAACAATATTAACATATGTTAATTCGGTATTATTTTTAAAGTTGAAACAAAACATTATCCGCAAATATATGCGTAATGCATATATACTGTAAAATACACAAAACATTAACTGCTATACATTAGCTGTACATTAGTTATCAGTAAGACTGAGTGATGACTATGTTTTTCAGATAATTGTTAATCACAAACAATACATACTTTTTCTCTCTCTCTCTCTCTCTCTCTCTCTCTCTCTCTCTCTCTCTCTTTCTCTTGTTTTCTCTGGTTTTTCTATGAACAATAAGCTAAAGATTACATTAGAGTACACAAAATTATCAAAAAAAAATCTTAAGGACTAAACAACAGTATTGGCACCCATTTATAGAAATGAGTGTCTTTTGTTAACTTATAAACTGTATATATATTGTGGTGTTTGTGAAAATGAGAGTTAAAAATAAAGTATAATTTAATTACTCATTTTGTTTGCCACACAATCATACAATGAATGACTAATTCGCTACAAATTGTTTGCATAATTTATATTTAGACACAAAAGGGATTACTTTGTATTTGCAAATAATATATAATAATAGTTTTTTTAATTGTTTTTAGAGTCGATTCTTGTATAATAATTCTGTGGTTTATATAGTGAACAGTAATTCTTTCAACATTTTCTTTGTAATACTTGTGTCTAAAAATTAACAGATTATATAATATTATTTAGTGAAACAAAATTCTTGACATTCATTCCAATTAGTATTAAAGGATTTGTCATTTTGAATATCGATTGTCTTTCAGATATTTTTATGACATTTATTATTAACACACAAACTATTGTAAACACAAGAATCTAAAAGTCAAATATATTTATACTATATATATATATATATATATATATTAATAATAAATAATAAGTTAATATCACAATCTCTAGTGTTGTCATACAATCAAAGCATACAACAAATCATTTAAATCTTTTATTTCTGTTTAATTACAGGACTTTTTGATCTCTGTTTTGAGTGATTGCCAGTACTAAGTAGTATTCAATTAACTCATGAAAACAGACATTCAAAGTGCAGCTAAAGTTTCAATAAGATTTGTTTAATGCTTAGCTATGAATCATCAGGAGTTGCATCAAACAAATGACAAGATTTGTAACAATAACGGCATGACTAGTGAGAGCACCGGTATCTCCAGTGAAAGCGATGATGAAATCAAGTCAACTCTTAAGCAAAATAAAAGAATTAAACCAAATGATTGTCTTAACAATGGTTATAATCAACAAGTAGTTCATCAAAATAATAATAATACCAAACACTTAAAGAAAGACAAATCGGACAAAATTTCATCAAAACGGACGACTATGGATGATGTACTCAAACGGATCAATAAATTCAATAATATAGATACGGATCAAATATTGGACACCAAAAGCCCTAATTTGTTGACCAGTGCCCTAGACTTAGCCCGATTGGCCGCCAACTCCAATGACAACACCAGTATTGGTGAAACAGATCAGAAGCTGACGGCTATGATTGAACAGTTGCAGCACTTAAGACACAAATTGGTTAGCCATCAACAACTGGTATTCAGAAATTATTTTTTATAACAATAGTTTCTTAAGTAATAGCTTTGCGCAGACGTTTACTTATAAAGTCCACACAATTTGATCCAATAAACAATAATGTTGTCCGCCATTGGATAAGATGTAGACTCTATTGTCTTTAACACAATTTATAACAAAAAATCAATACAATTATAGCTATGCTTTCAGAGCGACTAAAATCTCCTATAATTTTATTAAACAATATTATAGATGTTTCACAATTTTATGTTTTATTAATATTATATTTTTTATTTTTATGACAATAATTAGATTGCTTTTATTTTTACTTAAATTATTTCAATATATGCGAAAATTTCTTATTGATACTTATATTTACTTATATTCAAGACTCATAAAACTGTTTATTTAAACAAAATGATATTTTATATTATTTTGTTAGATTAAAATTTAATTAAATAAATACCTTGACTTGAAAATTATTGTGAAAACTATAAGTTAGGAAAACAATTTATTATTCATTGCATTAAAAGCAAAATATGATAATATATTGACAATTGAAACATTAATAATGCAAATAAAGCAAAGTTCATAATAGATTAAAAAAATCTATTGTATTGACTAAATAAAAGTTTTTAACAATCTTTGAATTATCTAATCTATTTAAACATATTGACATCTATTTAAACAATAAATTTGATAATTTATTTTAATTTTATATTTTAGTTTACAAATTATATTGACTAAGAATTCATTTAGAGTTTATCGGTATAATAATTAATACAAAATAGAGTATAGTATTTAAATTTTTACATTAATTAGATTTTGATAATAAAATAGCCAGGGTCAGATTTTTTGTAAAAAATTACTTTTAATATTTTTAATTATCTATTATATAAGAGGATTGCTTTTTATATAAAATAATATCGTACTATAAATTTTATTGTAACATAATTTTGTCGATCAATTTGTAAGACATTTGTATTTATTAACACATGATTATAGGGCTCGTCTTTATCGACTGAATCGCAAGCAGAGGAAAGCCAAATGAAAAGACAAAGAGAACAGATTGTTGAACAACAACACAGAATCTATGAATTACAGGTTTATATCATTTATAGTATTAAATCAATATATCTTATATAAATTAAATCAATAATAATAATATTATTATTATTATTATTATAATTTTCTAAACTTAATTAAAACAAAATTATTATTATACTATTATATACATTATAATACTGTAATATTATATATATTTTCTACGATATTAAAGCAACAATTGAGTGGTCAATATATAGCTGCCACCAGTTCTTTGCCACATTTGTCAATGACATCGATGGCAGCATTGCCTTCATCTGCAGCACAACTGATGTTTTTACCATTTTTTAACGGCAATGCAATGAAATCTTTTCCAACCATTCCTACTAATGGCTTCAACTACCCCAACACCCAAACAATTGACAAATTTTCGTCATTAAGTCCAAACCATAACTCAATATATAATAACGTCAAGACATCACCACATCCTTCATCGCCGACTCATATGAAAGAATCTAAACAAATGACAGATTTAGAAAATCACCGAATCTTTGATGACATGAACGGTGATAATGAAAAGTATAGCTCTAACGCACCGCTCAATCTAAGTAAACCTAAACTCAAAAACAACTGTTTGTCCTCATCGTCATCGACTGACGTTATATCAAGACTAACACATCAGTCGTCTTTCTCACAATCACTACCTCTTTCAGCACATGAAACACCATCAATGGCTATGTTTGCAGACAACCCCTACTGGAATTCATTATCACTTCCCACAGCTCTCAATAAAAATCCTTTCACTTCAATGGCCATTCACGCCACTGGACTCGAGTTTATGCCTCAAATGGATAGCATAAACATGTATTTGGCTAATGCTAACAACACTCAATCAATGATAATTCCCGAAACACAACAGCATAAGAGTGACAGTACTGGCTATCATTCCTCATCAGAAAATGGCGACCGAAAAAGTGAATCAGTCATAACGTGTCAAAGTATTTATAACTTTTAAATATCTTTAAAAAATAATATTTAAACTGAATATTACTTCATATTTTAAGGCAAACTCTTGGGAGCAAAAATTATACGTCAGGTTAAAAAAGATGCCGACGGCAAACCTCATGTTAAAAGACCAATGAATGCATTCATGGTTTGGGCTAAAGATGAAAGAAGAAAAATACTAAAAGCCTGTCCTGATATGCATAACTCTAACATTTCCAAAATTTTAGGTATTTTTAATATTAAACAAAAAATTCAAACAATTATTATAGTTTGTTGAATGAATTAGGCGCTCGTTGGAAATCAATGTCCAATTCAGAGAAGCAGCCCTATTATGAGGAACAGTCACGACTGTCCAAAACACATATGGAACAGCACCCGGACTATCGGTACCGACCCCGACCTAAACGCACGTGTATTGTTGACGGAAAGAAGTTAAGAATATCAGAATATAAACAACTTATGAAAAGTAGACGTCAAGAGATGAGAAACTTGTGGTCTGTTTTTTTAGTCAATTTGTTTATTAATGGTTTATATTTTAATAGATTTAATGTTGAATTTAGGTATAAGGATAATAACAGTCAAAATGTTTTGGAAGCTCATGACATGACAAACACCAATCCATTCATTAATGACAACAAAAACTTCGACAATGAGTTAATGGATGAAATCGATGGTTCAGATAATAGTATGTCTCATAACGAGTATGACTCGGATTCTGGATCTCATTCGCCAAATATTGACATCAATATGAATCGGGTCGACGATTGAAACAATTATATTATTAATATTTTACATATAAATTATAACAATTTTATTAATGTAACTAAAATCCATTGAATATAAATAATTATATATAAATAATAAAGTACTCAAAATTGTAATTAAAGTCAATATCTAAATAATCGTATATATCGTATATATGACTGTATTTTAGGCGCTATACTTAACTATATTTATTCATATCTGTTGTCAACATTTATTTATTTTTAATTGCTATTAATATTTAAATATCATTCATAAACACTTATATTACTTATTATTTCAATTTTATAACACTTAAATTATCAAATGACAATGTTATATGTGTTTAATTGTTAAATGTTTTTTAAAAACTTATAACTTAATTAGTAAATAAAAAATCGTTTACAAAAATAAAATAATTTGTTTCACAATGTTTTCATTAATTTATAAATTGAAATTTAAAACAATTATTAAATAAAGTAATTATAAAGTATTTAATGTTTGAGTAAAAAGTGAGTAAACTTATGATGCAATCATTGCTTAAAACAATTTGTATTAAATGTTGACATTTACTGCCCTTTCATTCAAATCAATGATTTTCTATACAAACGTTATTAATGTTTGTTTGTATGCTTTAAATGTATTAATAATATTGTGATAGAAATTAGTAAATAAATGTTGTATTCATTGATTCATATGATATGTATTGATGTGATCCGTGACGAGTGTTACGAGTAATTGTGGTTTGGATCAGATCGTTGATAACTGTGATAATGATGGAGGACTTGGTTAAGACATTGGTGGCCAAGTCATACCCGGACCCGGAGTACAAAATCAACAAAAAGGCGTTTGAATTGAATTTATTGTCGCCGAGTGGTGGCCAACACGGCTTTATGGGCAACATTACGTTCAGTTCAATATTCCCGACTCAGGCCGTTATGATTAACTGGCATTCGGTGAACGGGTTGACACAAATGAAGAAGCAATGGTTAATCGATGCAGTGGTCACTCATAACGTTAAACTTAAGCTTAATTTACAAAACCATTTGACAGCTATGACTGCAATCACACGAATCGATATCTCAAACAATCATTTAAAACAAATACCGTTTTGTTTGTTTCAAATGCCATCACTAGTAGTCATGAATTTATCACAAAACCAGTTGCAAACACTTCCCGAAACTGATGACCAACTGCTGTCACCACTTGAAACCAAATTGGGTGCAAATCGTCTTAGAAAATCTCGAAGCTATTCTTCGTCTCTTACGTCTCACAACTGTTCAATCAATGGTTTGACAGATTAGTATCCATTAATATAATTTAATTACAAAAATTGATTGATTAATAGGTTGGTCACTGCCGTCATTGCAAGAATTACATCTTCAGGATAATTGCTTGGAATGCATCCCGAAGTGTGTGTTTGAATTGCCATCACTTGTATTGATTGGTAATTAATAAGATAAACGCATAAATAATTTATTTATTTTTATATAACTAATAGTGTTTTACAAACCATATCATAGATCTGTCAAACAATAAACTTCATTCACTTCCGTATGCCTTTTGGACGGCCTCTAAATTACGTGAAATCAATCTCTCACTCAACTTATTACGTGATCTTCCTATTCGTGTCAATACAAGTCCTATCAGTTTATCTCCAAAACATCGAAATTTTAATCCTATTGAAAGCCAAATAATAAAAGAGAAAACCAAAGATATTAGTAAACAAATGTCTGAAACTAATTGTGTTATTAGCGAAACATTAGTTGAAAAGGAGTTGAGTCATGTGAATCTCTGGAGTAAGTCTATTGAAGTGATGGCTGTGGCACATAATGATGAAGAATCAGACAATCGACAAATTTGTAATTTAGTTTCACTTAATTTATCTCATAATGGTTTTCAACGAATCCCACCGATGCTCTCCTGTCTGGCCATAAGCCTAACGAGACTTAACATGAGTTATAATTGTCTTCAATCACTTGATTCAATTAAGTCATATCCAGTTAATATAAAACACTTAGATTTATCTCATAATCAAATATCTGAATGGTTTCATCATTCAGATAATGACTGTAATAGTTGTGAATTAATTTCGTGTTACTGTGATTTGGATTCACCTCCGAGTTCAATGAAATCAAGTATTACATCACTTAAATCAAGTGTCACATCACTCAAAACAAATTATTTTTGTGTTCACAGACAACACAATCGTTTAGATAATTTAAGAACTCTTATATTATCAAACAATAAATTAACTCAAATTGTGATCAATTGTGAAGACAAAGATGCAATAAATGATGAATTTGAAAATTTAGACGAAAATAATCATTTAATTAAAGGTCTCAGATATAATAAATTGCTTTTTGCCAATCTTTCAATGCTTGATGTGTCAAATAATTATATAACTGAGATATGCACTCATATCAGTGATTTGTCTAATTTGTCGGTTTTAAACATTTCGGGAAATAAAGATATTTGTTATTTACCGCCAGAAATGGGATTATTAAGTAAATTATGGAATTTAAATACAAAAGGTTGTAATTTAAGCGAACCATTAAAGACTATGATTGAGAGTAAAAAGTATAAAACAATGGATATAATTGGATATTTAAAATCAATTCTAGAAAAGTTTGTAATTTTTTAATTACCGTAATTTAAATGATAGGATTTCTAATTTATTTTATTTAAATCAGTTCCAAACCTTACGCCAGAATGAAGTTAATGATTGTCGGCTTTCAAGGAATTGGTAAGACATCTCTGATAGAACTGTTAAGACAAGAGGGAACCGGTACTTATAAACGGAAGCCTCCCGAGCATTGGGGTAAAAGAATGGGCAATAAGAACTTTAATATGAAAACTCCACGAGGAGTCACCATATCAACAGTTGGTGTGGATGTGTGTGACTGGACTTATGAGAAGAGAATCCGCGGACAGCCATCATTTGGTTCGGTATCATTCAGGACCTGGGATTTTGGCGGTCAAAGAGAATATTATGCAACTCATCAGTATTTTCTTTCTAAAAGATCTTTATATTTAGTCGTTTGGAAAATAATAGACGGAGAGAGAGGTATTGACGGTATATTCCAATGGTTGGTCAACATTCAAGCCCGAGCTCCTAATTCACCCGTCATTATTGTTGGCACTCATTATGATTTGATTAAAGAATATTTCCCTCCATTTTATGCCGAAGAGCTTCAACAGAATATAAGACAACGATTTATTAATGTCGTCGACCCGGATAAGTGTGGTCTTCCTCGAGTGATTGATTCAATTGAAATCAGTATCAAAACCAAACATAATATTAAAATTTTGCGAACTCTCATATATGATACTGTATTTGAATTGCGTTGTCCCGGAAGTAAAGAACGACTACTCGAGCAGAAAATTCCGGCCACTTATTTGGCTCTCGAGGATGTCGTCTCTTATTTAGCTTATGAAAGAAAACAAGAAGGAAAAGATCCAGTACTGCGATCAGAACAATACAAGACAGCTGTTATCGGAGAAATGATGAATAGATATGGTATGACATTCCGTGATATGTCTGAACTGCATTCGGCCACTATTTTTCTACATGAAAATGGAGTTCTTCTTCATTATGATGATTCAAATCTTAAAGACATATATTTTTTGGACCCTCAATGGCTTTTCGATGTATTAGCACATGTAGTGACCATTCGTGAGATTAATCCATACGCTCAAAACGGTCTCATGAAGATTGAAGACTTGAAACATTTGTTGAAATTATCTAATTGTGCTCCAAGTGATGCTCAAACATATCTATTAAATTTATTAAACAAGTTTGAAGTGGCCGTCACGTGGGATACTCGTAATCTACTCATCCCTTCTCTATTACACGGAGAAGAACAACTTCGCGCTGGACTTTCCGGTTGTGATGTCAGAGTAAGTAATGTTTATCATGTATTACAGTAATTACCGATATATTCATTACCGGTAATTATTTCTACTAATACTTAGATTCCTGTTCGGTCTCGAGGTTGGGCTCTAAGAAATAAAGATGTTTTGTCTCCAAATGCCATAAAATTTCATTTTCAACCGCAATCACTGTTTGAAACACCAAAATCATGTTCTTTAGTATCTGTTGATGACATCAAAGTGAATGTATCAGAAGATACTGAATTGTCTGCCAATCATCAAATTCAATGCAATGTTAATGTATTTAGTCGACCAACACATTCAATACATAGACTTCTTGTGATGACGTATTTTCCGAGTGGATTTTGGTCAAGACTTATGGCACGTATTTTAGGCGATGAATCAATTATAGAGATAATTAGATCATATTTTAGGATACCTTCAACTGCACAAACAGATCCCATTTTACTTTCATTTTTGAATACAAAAGCCGAATGGCTTTGTTGGCAAACAGGAATGGCTTTAAAACATTTCAATACATATTTGGTTCGTGTCAAAGAAGTCTTCTCGCATCTGCCTCTGAGTCCATATGATTACTATAACATGAAATTTTTGATTAGAATGGATGGCCAGTGGAGAGACATTCAGATTATTAAATCATCATTACTTGAAATATATTTACCGAACCATAGCTTACTTGTTGAGACCTGTGATGTTGAGGGCGTCAGTAAATTCTATACAATAGAACCGAATCAAGAAATGGTAGCAAAATTATTGGTGATAATAGTTGAACACATGGATACTTTACTTGAAGACTGGTATCCAACACTTGGCACACGTTTTGTTCACACATCAGAAGGCAAATTTTTAGTCACCCGATTAGTTCCGTGTACTTCATGTCTTATAAGTCATAATTCATCTTTAAATCAGAATAAAAATTCACCAAAACATCGTTCAAATTTATCTTTAAATCACTTACAATCTCCTATTGATACTGAATGGCAAAAGATTGATTTACCTAATGATGGTACCAAAAGAAGTATATCTTCCGATTCACCGGATAGTGGTATGGATTGTGATTCACGTGATTCAAGTCAATTCTCTTCAGTTGAATGTTTCCAAAAAGATATTCAAAGCTGTGATAAAAATGCTAGTATTTGTGAACAACAAGTTGTTTATGCATTTCTTGTTGAAGAATGCATTTTAGCTGTTTATCAACAAAAGACAGTCATTTGTCCGATTCATTCCAAACTCGTGATGCAAACCATAGCACCCGACACAGTCTTTTCTGATCTTGGAGATCACTATCTAATAAAACCCGATAAAATAAGACACGGAAAACTGTTAGGACGGGGAGCTTTCGGTTTTGTCTTTAGAGCCGGAATTAAAGATACAGATAATAATCAAGTAATATGTGTGGCAATGAAAATGTTACAACCAATTGATCCGGGATATGGAGCACGTAATTCTCATTTGGCAGCTTTTAAAGCAGCAAATAGCCGATGGGAAAGGGATCCCATGCAATATGCCTGTAAAGCTTACTGTACTGCTCGACAAGAACTCCATATCCTTATGAATTTAAAACATCCAAATATTGTACCATTAGTTGGATTGTGTACTAAACCTTTGTCTCTTATTCTTCATTTGGCTGCCATGGGATCACTTGATGATATAATTAAGAACTATCGGCGCTCAGGGACTCAATTTAATGTAATAGTTGTCCAAAAAATAATACTTCAAATCGCAAAAGCTTTGGAATATTTACATCGACAGCATATTATATATCGTGATCTTAAATCAGAGAATGTTTTGGTTTGGGAAATACCCCAACCTTTTGAACAAATTCATCCCTTTGAAGGTCCAAAAGTTGATATAAAACTCGCTGATTATGGCATTAGTAGGCCATCACTTCCTACTGGAACTAAAGGCTTTGGTGGAACCGAAGGATTTATGGTTAGAAATAATAAAAATTATTATTGTTATTATTTATTACAATTAACTAAATTTAACTAATTAAAGGCACCAGAAATTATGCGATATAATGGTGAAGAGGAATATACTGAAAAAGTTGATTGCTTTTCATTTGCAATGTTTTTATATGAATTGCTTACACTTCGATTACCTTTTGAGAACCATGAGTGTGTTAAAGAGCACATCCTTGAAGGTGGACGACCATCACTTACACAAAGAGACTTATTATATCCCAGTTATTTCATTGATTTAATGACGTTGTGTTGGGCACAACAACCTAGAGATAGACCATCAATCAGTCAAATTGTATCGATAATATCCGCCCCAGAATTTACTCACTTATTGGATGTAATAGCTTTGAATGAGAATTATGCTGTTTTGAGTGCCAATGGAGTCGACAATTGTAATCAATTACAAGTTATATTATCGAGAATTGGAAAACAAACAGATCTTATATCGAGTAACGGTTTGTGTTGGACTCAATACCAGACAATCAAATCATTGGAAAGTATAACAGTTATGAGTGTATGTCTGGTTAACGATCAACTCTGGTTCGGTGATTCAAAGACTACTATTTATATCTATTCAATCGACACATTTGAACAAAAAACTCAAATTAAGTTAGAACTGGAAGACAATACACCAACCGCTATCCGATGCATGTGTTATGTGAATGACATTAGACAAGTAGCCATTTCCAGCAGCAGTGGCCGACTCTGGTTATGTACTGTTGATGAACATCGATTTAAAGAGATCGGCAATAATGGCATAGCGTTTTTGTGTGTGACTAATGTTGATTATAATGATTATAATGAATCAAATGATTGTGAGCTATGGTGTGGACAGTCTGAAGGCAATATCGCTATAATTACATTATCAGAATCTCACGTAAAATCATTTCATGTGGTCAGTCATTATGACGACGATAGCACCGACTGTAGAATACCCATTAGTGAACGTTATGATGTCTTTCAAATTATAGCAATGAGTCGTTATGTTTGGACCTATTTATATCCAGGTATAGAATTTTATTATTTAAATGCAGTAATTATTACATAAAAAATTATACCCAAAGGTTGTATTATATGGCAATGGGATGTCCATAAGCGGTCTATTCTGACCAAACTTGACTGTTCCAAACTGGCGCCCTGTTCTGAGAGCTTGATGTCCATTAGTATTGAAGAACATCTAAATCGTAAGTTTTTTTGTTTTAATAAATATAGAAAATATTATGTTTTACGTAAATATAATTAAAAACAGCTGGAAGTTGTCGAGTGAGTGCAATGACAATAGATGAAGATCGCTATGAGTTATATTTAGGCACCACTTGGGGATGTATTATAATAGTTGAGGCAAAGACTATGCGACCAATAACTGTGTTTAGACCCTATGAAGAGGAAGTTAAGGCAATAATTAGCTTTAAACCATATAAACCTATTTGCAAGTCATCTATTGGTTCTATTGAGTCTTTGGATGAGACAACTGGTGGCAGCCGTGCCATCGCTACCATTGGTAAAGGTTATCGAAGTCTTTTGAATCGTTTTCTAAATTTAGATAAAACCAAAACTGTAACTCAAAGAGGTCTTCATTCTATTCTTTGGTCAGCAAATGATTGGAATATTAATTGATTTCTTAAATGTGATTATTTGACAATTTTTTGTTTTGTTTTTACTAATTAACAGTCGATAACAATCTGATAATAATTAATACAAATTTTTAAATATATTTTCTAATTACAAATATTGATATGACAGTCAAAATAATACTCCAATAACTTATAAGACAACCAATGTATTTAACAATAAGGTGATACAACTTTAAACTACCGGTATTACAGTATAATTCAATTTGTGATCACAAGTTTGGCATTTTTTAAAAGAGAGTCATAAACAGCGGCGCCGACGACGACAGCGGCGATGCTTTTAATTTCAAATATCTGGTCAACAATACGTTGGACTTAAAAGTGACCATGGACAATGTTGTAGATAATTTTAAACTGGATGAGATTGTAATTGGTCATTTTTTAATTAATTATATGATTGGGCAGATAATATACAGTCGACTGTTAAAAAATTGTAAAAATGATAGTCGACTGCAATTATCTGCCCAATGATGCAATTAATTAAAAAATGACCAATTACAATCTTATCAAGATTAAAATTATCTACAACATTGCCCATGGTCACTTTTAAGTCCAAAGTATTGTTGACCAGATATTTGAAATTAAAAGCATCGCCGCTGTCGTCGTCGGCGCCGCTGTTTAAGACTCACTTTTTTAATACAGTATTTAAATATTTTATATATTTTGATGATCTTATATTAGTTATTTATTTCATATTTATTTTATATACTGTAAATATTTTGAATAAATTATGGGAATTGTTAAATTATTATAAATTATATTTAATATAAAATTTATATAATTATGTGATAAGTAATAAAGTTTATTGTTTTGGAAATGTAAAAAAACTCGAGTTTACTAATTAATTATTTGTTAAATAACATCTATTTGTATTAATAGAGTGTATATTCAAATCTATCATTTCTTATATAAATTTAGTCTTGGATTGAATTATGAAATTGTTGTCGGAATCCAAAAAATTTGGTCAAATTATTGATTATTTATTGATAAAAAGTGTAAAAATTAATTATAATAACAATATTAAAGTTATAAAGAAATTAATTAAATTAAAAAAATGAATTAATTATAATAACAAATAGTAAATCAATTAAAAGTCTATTTCAAAGAATACTCTGACGGAGTGGTCAATAGTAATGATATGGTCTGCGAATGTCCACCACTGACTCGTATCACTCCATTGATAATCACGACTTGTAAACCATGGCTTTTGGTCGCCATAAAAATGAACAATCTTTGGTTGAGTGTCTCCTTCACCGGCGGCCGAAAGCCACTCCCATTTGCTGACACACCAGTTATAGCACTGATGAATGTGACGAAAGGTCTGCTTTTGTGACAAATAAGTCCCACATATTAACTGTTCATCAAAACCACTAAAACAATCATTAGAACCAAAATAAAAGTCTTTACGTAAAATATTTAGCATTTGATGAAACATTCGTTGATCTGGTCTTAGCTGAAGATTAATAATAATAAATTGCAATCAAAATAAGTTTACAAATTTGATAAATAAATTATAAATTTCTGTAAAATTTCACATATTTAACAGTCAATTGAAAATAAATTATTAAAAGTCTGACCAAAACTAAAGATCCAATGCCTAAGAAAGAATGGAAACCCCGTTTCAATAACTCAATATCAACATCTGATCCATGTTTTAACTCTCCGTATGGATTGTCAATACCATGAGGACTATATGGCTTAGCCCACGGAAGCGAAAAAGTCATGGCCGGCGGCTCTAAACTAAATATTTGTTGATCACAGTTGACGATTGTCATCATATCTGCGTCAATGAACAAGACTTTATCAAATCGACCAAACATTTGTTGGTTAAGACAATTCCATTTAGTGAACGACGACTCAATCCATTCTTCATACAAATCTCTTTGACGGCGTGTCCGGAACCGTACGCATCGGTGACGGATATACGGCACTGTCCACACATAGTCGTACCACTTCTTGAGCGCTTTGACGGCACAACAACTTACATCACTGGTAACCATACAGACCAATGAACACATGGTTCGCGTCCGACGCAAACTTTCAGCCAATACAAGAGCGCCGGCAATGTATTTGTCACTCTTCATGACCAGAGTTACAAAAGCATACGATTTGTACCAATTGTCCGACGATTTGACAGATATCGGAGATATCGGCGATAATGATGTCATTGAACTCATAATAGATTGTCTTCAATAATAATTTCAATTATAGACAATATGGTATCAGATGTGGTGACAGTCATAACAGTGTCAATGTATCGACCGTTACATCAATTGTTGTCAAACTCGTGACAATCTGTCACTCAATTTACGTCACGTGACTCCAAATGATCGCTCATTCTATCAGTGATTACATTCATAATCATTGAAAGCATTGTATGTTTCCATCAAAACATTTAATGCAATAAATGTATTGAAATAACAAATATATTCAATAGTTTTGTAAAACCATTTGATAGTTAACTCTATTGAATATTATGTTAATTAATAATTAATTAATGCAATAAATTATATACTTTATAACTAATGAAATTTACAATTACTTTATGATTAATTGCAAACATTTGGAAACTTAAACAAATCACCAAAACATATGATCACAAATCATATACAAAACCTATAGGTATACCTGTCTAACCAAACCTATAGGTATACCTGTCCAACCAAACCTACCCGTCCAACCAAACCTACCCGTCCAACCAAACCTACCCGTCCAACCAAACCTACCCGTCCAACCAAACCTACCCGTCCAACCAAACCTACCCGTCCAACCAAGCCTACCTGACCAACCAAACCTACCCGTCCAACCAAACCTACCCGTCCAACCAAACCTACCCGTCCACCCAAACCTACCCGTCCACCCAAACCTACCCGTCCACCCAAACCTACCCGTCTAACATAACCTACAGGTTTTCAATATTATATTGCAATCTAACCTCTTTTATTGCAATTTGCATACAAAACAGATTTTGTTATATTATTTTAATCAAATAATAGTTGACATCAATAGACACCAATAAATTGATGAATATTTAATTATCGGTTAAATACAGCATTAGTTGACAGCAATGAATAGGACTTTACTTTTTTGCTTTGATTTCAATATACAATCAATTATTTATTCACATTAATTATCAACTGGTAGTGTATTTCAGTTATAAACTAAATGCTAATTAATGCGAATAAATAATTGCTTAATATATTTATATTAATATATTTACAATTTATAATAATAACCGGTATGTTGTCAATAATAAATCTTTTATTGCAATTATATTTTATTTAAATTAACTTTTAATATATATAAATATATAGTTTTTAAATATTATATTTTAGTGTAACTTATGTTAAATGTGATTAATTTATCCTCCAATAAGACATGGATTCATCCTATAATTTAAATTAAAACCTCTTCCTACTTCTTGATGATTGCTAACAAAGCGAGCATATATAGGTCCAGTGCTATTATCTATTAATATATTTATTAATACATTTAGTATAGAAATTGTTAAACTAGTGTTAAAATTATTAGTTATCTAATTACCGGTAACTTCAGAGTTAGTCATTGGGTTTGGTGTCGGTGGGTATAACTGTCCATTAAATCTGTATCCACATAGTCTTCTTCCAGCTATAAATAGGTAATCAAATGGACAATCATAAGGTCCGGCTCCGCCCTCATTACTGCCGACTGGATTTTGTGTAGCCGTATCGGGAACTATATTAAAGTATCTACCGGGAGGTATAGTTGTAGGTCCCTCTTGAGGCTGATTCTGATCGGTTATGTGTACATAGACTGTAGGTACTGAATAGGTAACTGTGCAAAATCCAGGCTCTTTTTTAAAGCAAATAGTATAATCTAAATTATTTAGATACCCTCCCAATGAAGGAACAGTAGGTTCATCATAATTAAATGAGCGAATAGAGCCCTGGACACCAATGTGATACTGTAGACAATTAGGCGGTGCTATATTAGATGGTTTTATTAAGAAGTTTTTAATATTTTATTTATTTAATTCAATTGATTTAAAATATAATACCTCTATAAATACTGGAGCAATGAATTTGAGAGACTCTTATATCGAAAAGTCTATTTCTGTTAGCCATTGTTAGGACATTAAGAGTCACCGGACTGTTAGTCGCAGACATATCGATATAAACTAAAAATCATTTAATTTTTTAGACTAATGATATAAAATCAATTTACAACATACTGTGTTGTCCAGTATTATAGCCACAAATTGGAGGAATAATATTATTCTGTGTCTGTCCGTTGACAACAAATCTGTCCGAATCACAGGTGCCTTCACGCGGACGACTCAAATCAAATACAAGAAAATCAAGTCTTATTTGACAAATATCTGGTCTGATTCGTTGAACTGTCACCGAACAGGCCCTCGAATCGGTGTAAGGCGACGGAGCGTTTGGATTACGGAAACTGTAATTAGTATTAAGTTATTAATTGCTTTATTAATTAAGTAATAAACATGAAAAATGTCGATTAACATACTAAGTGCCATTGTTTACAATTGTTCCACCACATGTGACCTGGACTATTTGTTTAATTTAATATTAGATATTTAATAGAAAATTGAATTCAAATAAAACTTACAAAAACAACAAATTCCGACTGGAATTCCTGGTTGTTGTGGCCAACCGTTTAATGAGTTAATTGATCCCGAATTGGAACCTAAATTTTTATTGTGTTGTAGTTTTACATATAATTATATTACATTTTATAATATAAAAAATAAAATATAGTTTAATATTACCTTGATTAGATCCATATTGTGGTGTAGCAAAACAGGTACCTAATGGTCGTCCGCCACGATTAGTGCACTCGGAAGTAGTTCGGACGCAAATTCCTGTGCGATTGCCATCACTTGTGGCACAATCGCTAACTTTTGCATCTATATTATACATATCTCTACCTCCCAGTCCAGGTAAGTAACCCAATCCACTACCAAAACCGCCAGAACTTAATACGTTGTTTAAACCATTATTAGCACCAAAAGTCCAAACTTTTATTGATTATAAATTATTTTTATTAAAAAATTAATTTACTATTTTTTTATTAAGAAAAAATATATATTCTTACATCTTTTTTGTCTATTTAGACAATAAATTCCATAAATATTTAGAATTAAAAAGATTATTAAAACTTTATAGAAATCCATAATAAAATTATAAAACTAAATACAGTAGTATTAATCTGAAATATTATAGACTCTCACAATTGTTTAATGATATAAAAACAAATTTTGTATAAAGTAGATAAAAAATGCTTTTAAATTATTTTTAAAATAGTTTATTAATTTATATTAAACTATCTAATGATCTATAAAAATATGTCAATTGAAAAATTTATGATAATTTAAAAACATAATAGATCTAAAACTTGACATAATTTGTCAAATATATAATAGTAAACAAATATGTATTAATATATCGATAATATATAGATGACAAACCCTTCCTCTGCTTTGTATAAAATTTAGATCATTATTTATATCATTATAGATTCAATTACAAAAAATTCACTACAAAATACAGTACAAATAAATAAATATTTTATAAAATAAATTTATTATTTTTATTGTTGACCTTATAAACTTTAGATTCACTTATATCCATAAATTATTTTTGTTTTATATAATAAAAAATCTAATAAACTAAATCTTCAAACTTTAAAGATAAATATTTTTAAAAAAAATTACTATTAAAATTCATTTATATAAATCACCTAATTTTTAAAAATGTCATAATTATTTTTTAAATAATAAACTACACAAAAATTATGAAAATTAAAAAATATAAGAAATTGAAACATTTCAACATTTCATTAATATTTAGCAACTGATCGACTTTTGGCAGCCGAAGAGGACGTTTGTTTCATAAATGATCGGTTCGGAGACAAGAGTTGTGACGATCGCCTCATTGAAGTTAAAGATCCGACATCTGATGTCATGTTTGTTCGGCTCACTGTTGATGGCGTCCGATAGGTCCTCATATTTGGATTCTGACTTATTGTCCGATTACTACTGATAGTTGTGTATCGATTAATTGGTGATCGGGTAGACACTTGAATAGACACTGGAATACCAACTTTTGGTTTCATCTCATTTAATACATTTTTATCGTGAAGTGGTAATGAAGTTATTGGAGCTTTTCTTATCGGAAGCTTTGATCTCAAAGTTGTTGATGAAACAGGTTTTTCTTCAATCGGTTTCTCATTGATTTGTATGGGTGTGACTATTGCAGCTGCAGTTGCAGTGGATGGCGATGATATACTTGTGCGACGAGGCAGACATCCGGATCGGTTGATGCGTTCATTTTCAATGACAATTACAGGCGTTTGAAACGTCGAATTTTCAATTATATCATTTCTGACCACTTTTGTAGGCGTTATGATAGCTGTCGGCTGTTGACTATTGTATGGATTTGTCACTTGAAGTGTTGACGGACGGACTATACTTGTATTGAAATCTTTAATATTATTTTCTTTGAGTGTCCAATAGTTTTTCAATTCAATAGGACTAACGATTCGGTTTTGATTTTCACTAATATCTCCACTCTTTGTTTGTTTTGTTTTTATTATTTCTGAATTTACTATTTCTTTATCGTTAATATTGTTTATAATATTTTGATTTTCATCTAATTTAGTTAAACGCTTTGCAAGCCGTGTCTCCAATTCTGATGGTTTACAACTTAATGTTTTTCTTAAAGGAGAAAATCTGTCAAAAGATTTCTTTTTGTTGGTTTCGTCATCAGATTCTCCATCTGATAAATAACAACTTTTTTTAATAAAACTATTGTTTTTCAATTTAGTTTTATCTTTACATGAATTTTCAATTTCTAATTCATTAATAGTTTCTCTACTTTTAAAATCATTGACATTTCTATCTCTACTGTTTAAGTTAAGATCTGAAATGGGAATCGCTGAACGAATTCTTCTTCCGCTACCAACCCGTCTTAAACTACCACCAAATATAGGCAAATCAGTACTTCCGACATCACTGGCTGTCAGGAACTCCATGAGTCCGTTATGTAATTCGTCTTCTTGTGAAAATCTTCGCGATCTGTGTTTTAATTTATTGTCATTAGTTGTCAAACTTGTTAAACAATTGCTTGAAGTCGATGGCGTTAAACTGTTTTCTGTCGATGATATATCAGAATCGACATTATTTTGTAGACGTCTTAAATGTGAATTAGATTTTCGTGCCTCAAGTTTCAGTTCATTCTCACGTCGTCTTTCATTCTCATCGATGGCTAATTTAAATCTTTGGCAAAACGATAAAAATATTTTGAAGCATTCTTCGAGTTTGAAATTATCTAAATCTTCGCACAAGAACTCAGCCATTTCTATACGAATTGATTTCAATTGTGATTCAATAATTTGTGACAATTTCTTAATTTCTTTTTCACTTTTCTTAAGAAATGAAACCATTTCTTTGTGAAAAACTGAATCAACTTCTGGTTTATTGATATACTCTTTAAGTTTTTTAATTTTGTCTAATAATGTATTGGCTTCAGTACAAAGATTTTCAATAGAAATCCTAATAATAGAGTGTATAATATAGTAAATAAAATTTATTTTGAGATAAAACAATAAATTGATATATATTTACTTTGAAGCCTCCTCTAGACTGGGCATCACATCAATTAAATTATTTATGCCTTTTTTCTCTGCTTGCTAATCAACAAAATTTTATTATATATTAATATTAAAAATACATTATAAAATTAAAAATTAAATTTAACCAACCATTGCCACATAATGTATTAAATTGATTCCCGGCTTATTTGCTCTGATTTCTGGTAATTTAAGTAAAGACATCATCTTAAATCCGGCAGCATTTCCAGCATAACCCCCCTATAATTAATAATTAAAATTACATTAATGTTTATTTTACTGCATTTAAAATAGAGATAATAACCGAATTTAAGAAATTTCCAAAAACTAATATCAAATACAAGACTTCGTGAAGTGCTTTGTTGTCTTTGATTTCTTGAGCCGCATTTCGTATGGCTTTAACGGCCGGTTCCAAGTAAGTCATATTTGAATGGAATTCCTCTTTTAGAAGCATTCCTTCAATTTTCAATTTATAATTTGGTATTTGTATTAATTTTAATAAAAATTTTTCAGCAATTGGTAAGCGATGTAAATCAGTTTCATTATTCTTAAGCAAATCAGTTTCATTTGCTTCGGGAAGTATTTTAAGCAAATTCTTTAGCTTTTCTGTTCCCAATTCTTCATGATTTCCATAAGAAATTTTATTAATTAGATCATCAGTACTGCCTCGACATTGTTTAAGAAAAATGTTGACATTTAATGTCTTTTTGTTGTCTAATAACTGTAACTCCGCTGGCATTTGATATTCACCGCTAAGCCGTTTAATACCTTTACGTTCGAGACTATTAAAAGGCGAGCCAACGATTTCTGAAGAGTGCGGACGTCTTCTTTGCAGATGAGGTGAGCCGTGACGTGAATTGGGAGCAGAATTGTTGATCGGCTGACAAAACAACTCTTCGAGTTCATTAAAATCAAGATTATTAGGTGAGTCTGATTCGTGGTTTTCCGCCACAAGACTCCATAGATTTGGTTTCTCGGATGAAATTACTTTTAGTGATGGAATTTTAGACCAATTAATTGATTTCATTTTGGATTTTGGTTTTGGGATTTCTTGTTGTGGCAATTTTCGGCCATTTTCTTCTGATTCATCACAATTTGATTCATTTTTCCAGTTTTTAGATCTTAGTAAAGATGTTTGTTTTGAAATTTCATTATTATTTGTTTTGCTTATGTTTTTACATGAAAGTAATGTTACATCTGAGGTATTAACCGATGAAGTAGATAACGATGAAGTGGATGTTTGTGATATTGGTAACGGAGGAGGTGGTAGTGGTGGTGGCACTGGTATTAATTGAAATTGGTTTATCGGGGGAGGGGGTGGAGGAGGTGGTGGTGGCGGTGGAACAGCCGATACAACGTTGTTTGATTCAACTCTATTATTGTCTAATGATTTCTTTATATGAAGTAATCGTAAGAGCCGTTGGGCATCATCTTTGCATTTGATTGAAGTGACAGCACTGTTAATAAGTGCTTCAACACAATCCCAAACAATTGCTGGTAAATCATTGACATTATAATCGATATCAAGTAAATGTTGTAATATATTAAGAAAATGTCTCTCATAGTCAACATTTCCCGATATTTTGACCAAAATTTTCCGAACATATTCTTGATGTAAACTTTTGTTTGAAGACATTTCCATTTAAAAATAGTTGTAAAATACAATTCTGAAGGATATAATTATATACATATAGTTAGCACAATATAAAGTGTAAATTAACTGTTTATTAAATTTATTAATAATGCGTTTAGAGTTTGCAAAATAAATAAAAATAAAGATAAATTTACAATTAATTAATTATTTCATATACAGTACGTGTAAAATAAAAAATTCATGTAAAAATAGCTTTCGAAACAAACAAAACAAAGTTTTGAAACAAACTGATTAATGCAGAGTCAGGTAAAATTTACCAAAAAAAATATATTATTATCACTTTTAATGATTATTTTACCAAAAAATTAATAATAATTATAATTATTAAAACCTATACATACTATATTGTGATCAAATTTACTACAAATATTGTTAACATCAATATATAGTATATTTATATTTTATGTCACAAATGATTGTCATTTATTTTAATGAAAACTTAATTATTGTCTATTAGAAAGACTGTTCGTTATTATGACAGTTAATACTGTAGTCTTTAAACATTATGTTAATGTTTTTCACAAATTACTTGACGATGACTTTCACTCATTTTTGATTTGTTTTTAAACTTCAATTTCATATATCAATTGTATGCTATGTTTGATAATTGAATAATAAAAAACTTTTATTTTTTTTGTTGGTGAGGATGACCTCAAAAATCAAGAAATATTGAGTGTATATATGTATGTGTAATAAAATATGAGTGGGCAGAGCGGTACTCGCTTTATATGGCTTTACTTAATCAAACCATTTACAGAAGTTTTACCTCAAAATATGTTTTAATTTCAATGTTTTGAATATATTTAAAAGTTGCCTTTAAATAATTACAATTAAAACCAAACTTAAAATAACAAAAATACTTACATTATTATTAAATTAGGGCATGTTTTGCTATAATATAATATTTATGAAATTCGTGATCACATCTATCAATGGAAACTTACATTTTCACTGAATTAATTTTTTTGTCAAAACTTGTGATCATATTTTATTTCTATTGAAATTATTTAAATCTATTTATTATATATAATATATTAAGATCTGGTTTATTAAATTGGGTATTAAAACAATTTAGTCTAATAATAATAATTTATCTTTACTTTATAATCTATAGTTATTTTATTGTATCACTTTATTGTAATACAAGTACTGTATATGGATTAACATTGAAATTAAGAATTATATATTTATTACTATTAAATAAAGTACAAAATAATAATTTATTGTATGCTTTATTATATTACACTATATTAACATTTATTATATCGCATGTATGATAATGTCCAATATTTTTATTAGAATAAAATTATTAAATTATTAAAAAAAAACTAAATGTAATAATATAAATTTTTAGACATTTTAGAATAAAGTATAAATTGTGTAATAAAATAAATATATATAATTTACTATAATTTTATTAATACATTTGTTGTATACGTGTTTTAAAAGTTTATAGTATGTTAAAATTAAAGTTTTTATTATAAAATATACCTACATTTTTGTTATTATCTATATTTTTAATTTTAACATAATTAATAATTGATTTCAGTAGATTTTTTATTTATATTATTTCGCATAAACTCACGTTTACTGATATTTAATTGTAATTGATTTTTAAGACAAAAATTTGAAATACAATTTAAATCAGATTGAAGTTAGATTAACTTATGACAGATTGTAATTTAATATATTATTTTGATTAATGTTATATCATAAGTATATTTAAAAATATAAATATTTTAATTTTCTATAATATCATCAAATGTATAGATTAAATAAAACACTTGAAGTTAGTCGACACTGTATTACATCAAATTGTACACTAAATTACACTTATTATAGCGTTTATGCGCTCAAAGGCATTGACTTATGCTTTAAATGAATGGATGTCTGAAAACAATGTTATGAATAGCATTCATAGCATTCATAGCATTCATACGTAAACATTAACATTAAATACTGCTATCAATTGCTGTCTCTATTATTAGTTGTTTCTATGTTTATGTGTTTTTGAATGCTATGTCAAAACCGATTGACAATATTAATGACCCATTAGATGATAATATGTCATATTTGATGAAATGGTGATCAATTGGTACAAAAGATATGTTTGTCAATTGATGGCACAGTCGTTGGTATTGTGGATATGTGTTGTGGATGTAGTGTTTGGTTACTATTGTGATCATAATTATTGTGTCCATAGTTCACAATATTGTTGTGGAGACAACCAGTGCTGCGATTATGTCAACCAAACGGTCTTCAACTCTATTGTTATCATAATATCATTGATAATCATGTCATCGATATTATGGCTTATTTTCCGTATATTTTGCTTCAATAGCACAATGATTGTCATTAAAAAAATTGGCCAAAAATTTATCGTAAAGCCGACCAATCGGGTCATTGACCAGAAGGTGAACATTCATTGATTAACCATTTATTGACTATTTTTTTGTAGCAATTGTTATAATATTTTAGACATATATGATATATAGATATATATAATATGAAAATTAAACTTTAATTGTAATTATTATCTAATTGTCTTAAGCGTTGGCTCGAAGACCCGGAATCAAGTCTATTAACCGATGAGTTGGAGGTCAGACACGGATCAAACACACGACATGACCGATGAAACCATGATTTGTATTTGCATTGGCTTTTATTACCCATTATGTCCATCACTTTAGTTGATGACAGCCTTTGACCACAACCACCACAATCACCGAATCTCTTCACTAAACTCTAATGAAATTTTTTTATAACAAATTTGTTGATATGATAAACATTTTTGTTATTAACTAATTACAGCTTTGATTGTAAATCTTATTGTCACTCAGTTTTGATGTGAATCTAATTTACAATTACCGGTATTTTAGTGACAATATTTGTTAATATTTTGAAAATTGATCATTAATTTAATAGTTAAATATTTTTTAACACATGGTTTTATTTGAAATTATTATGTCTGAAAATTATCAATATATATATTGCAAATTTTCAGACATAAAAACTTTATGTTTATTAAAATTTAATTAAGAGATAAATTATTTTTTATATGGACTCAGGAATGAGTTTAATAATTATATGGTTTTGGTTTTATAAACTTATTTTATAATTTATTTAACAAATATAATTTAGATTGTCTTCCATATTCAAGTTATTATTTTAATTTATTATTATTATTAGATTTATAAAATATCATTTTCAAACAATATTAACTGCTATTTTTTTAATTTATAACATAAACTCTAGACTCACTGCAATATCTTTATTTAATTAAAATAGCATTTATTTAATTTTATAAAAATAGTGTGAATAAAATATAATTAAGAAGCCATTGAAGTGCATTTAGCGGCCAATTGTAAAATATAATGATTTATATTCTTTAAAACAACTATTTATTTTATATTTAATCGATTTACCGAATATTTTCGATCTCTAATAACTATGATATTATGCGGTTAATGATAATTGTATGATATTTCAGCATTAGATTTATATACTGTTAATTAACTAATAACTAGTTTTATTGTGATTTGCAATATTTAAACAGATTGACATGAAATAATAATGATCGTTATTATCAACAATATTTATTTATAATACTGTAATTTATCAAATGTATTACTATGTATATCACTACAATAAAAATTGTATTTATTTAATTATTAAAGTTTATTAATAAATATTTGTATATATTTTATTTGTCTTAAATTAATGAAATAAAAATTATTATATATTGATTGTACAGTAAGAATTTATACAACTTTTAAACAGCTTAGGTATGCTAGCAATGGGTGGTGTAATACCTCTAAACTTATTGAAATTATTGTCATATTTTATTAAATCAAATTATACTGTTATACAGGTATATAATGTAGTCGTACTTTAAAGTTGATAATTACATAAACATTTTTTTAATAATTAGGCTTCCATTGCCTGAAGTAGTGATAATAGTTTTAAGTCACTATAAAAGTTAGTAAAAATTGGCAAATAGTTACTTAAAAGTATTTATTTTCAAGCAATTTTTTGTATTTAATTTTTTTTAAAACATTTATTACTGCATTATAATGCATACTTTATTTTTTTGATCTAATATTTTATAAAAATGTAATTTGTTTTAATTTAAAATTATTTATAATATGAAAAAACTACGTTAATTGTCAGCAACTGTAATAAAAAATTGTTTGTTTGACAAATCATATTAATAAACGTTAAATGTTTTGTAGTCACTATTTCTCTAAACTATGATTTATTTCTCTTCTTTTTTTATACAATTGCTTTACAAATTTTATATATTATTATTATTTTTCATTTTTATCACTAAAATTGTGTTAAATTAAAGGATTTTAGTCAAAAATAATTTTTAATTATTAAGCAAAAGTTAACTAAAAGTTGATAAAATTTAATAACGACTTAAAAAGTTATTTGTAAGTGATATAAAATTTTGTATAATCGCTTATTTATAAATGATATACTCATATATTTAATATGAGCTCATTCTCCGATATCGGTAAAAATAGTTAAATAACTTCAAATGGATAGACTAGTTATAACAATGTAACTATAAAATTAATAATTTTTTAAATCAAATAAAATAAATAAATTTTTATTTGATTGTATCATCAAAATCATATAAATCTACCTTGAACAAAATGTACACATTTTTTACCTTTATGAAGTCTATCAAAAGAAATATTTGTTACCGGTTTAGATATTAATACAAATTGAATTGTGTATTGAATTAAGTGAATAAATTAAATATATAATACAATAGCAATAATTTTAATTTATTTTATATTTATAGATCAAAAAAAAAACTAAACTAATTTTCTGTACAATAATATCAAATAAAATTATATTGTATAATATCTTGATTTTATAAAAAATTTATTTTATATTTACATTTTATCCATAAATTATTATACTGTATATTAGATAAATATTTTAATAAGTTAACAAAATACTGAATATAAATTTAAACATTTACCTCAAAATATACAACAATTAACAAAATATCGTATAAATGATATATCATATTATTTATCGACAATTTCGTAGCACTTTTTGGTTTTATTTCCTAACTTTGAAGCACTGGTTCTCAAATGAATTTTAAGTTTTGAGTTTTTTTCAGGACTTTCAGCTTCTAAATGATGATAATATAAATTTTATAAAAATAAATAAATAATATCACATTTAATACTTTATTTAATGCAAACCTTTTTTCATTTGATTGCAATTGTCATCACAATCTATAGTTGATTTAATCGGTAAAATTACAAGTCGTGGTTGAATAAGATTAGGCAGTGTTTGGTAATGTTTGCCAATCATTTGCTCATTTATGTTATGAGTGTTTATTAAATGATATTTCATGTCATTTTCATAAATTGAATGGTATGAACATCCGTGACATTTAAGGATATTATATCCTAAGTGAGTGACCGCATGTTGTAGTAATTGATTCAAACTCATAAAGTCTTGATTTGGACAATGACTGCATTGTAATGACTTAAGATCTGTAAATTCTTTAATCTTTTCTTCAATACTATTCGGAAGTACAAAATTTGTGGTTAAATTGTGAGCTAATGTTGTGCTTATTGTCATTTGTCTCTTATAGTTAGGAACTGAAGATGACTTAATTTTTGACGCGCTTTTCAACTTTGATTGACTCTTGTATTTACTTTTAACACTTTTGACCACATTATTGACAGCCTTAGACTTCGATGAATTACCATTAATCTGATGGTTTCGAATTTGTTTTTTGACAATCAATCGTTTTCGACAACTTTTCTCATGACTTCTCTTAGCCGGTGCCCAATCAAAGACAACACCACATTTGTAAATACATTCAGCATTTATTCTCGAAGCCGATGGTTTAACATTTGATGACAAACGAGTTTTACATTTATTAGAAATAGAATTTTGATTACTTGTACTTCTCTTAGCTGATCCCATAGTTGATTCGTTGCTAATATTACTTTTTAAAATAACAGATTGATTGGTGCCATCTTTGCTTTCATCACTTACTTCTTCAATTTCAGAACTGTTTCCACTGCTATTTGTCGAATAAGCCCTTCTTTTCATAACTTCTTTTAAAGTAATTGCTTGAGTTTTGGTCCGCTTATGGATTTGGATCAAATGTCTCGTAGCGTTTGATAATTGTTTGAATGCAAGTGAACACAATGGACAGGGATATACAATACGACGAGTTGAATGAATAGTCTTCATATGTACTCTCAATGTTTTGGTCGACGAGAAAGTGGTCGCTGAGAGATGTGGACAGAGATCACACTTTAAACTCAATGTCTGATTCAACTGATTTTGATTAATATTATCATTCACTTCTATTTTGTTGTCCACCGGTGGAAGTATTTCCTCAACTCTTTGTCTTTTCAGTTTTTCACTCATTTGCCTAAAATTCTTCATTTCTTTGAATAAATTATTGATAATTTGTTTTTTATCGCAATTCGTGTTATTTTCATTACAATCAGAATTGTTTTCAAAATCTTGAAGACTTTGAAACACGGCGTTAGAATTGGATTTAATTGTCGACAATTGAAGCTCCAATTGTGGTGACTCTTCGTGTCGCTGTTTTTCGTCATTAACTTTATTAAGACATTTGTCAATAAATTGACACTTTTGTATAACAAGTTGATTATCATTTGGATTGACATTTTCAACACAACTGTTTGTCGCCGAACTCGAAGACATAGGAGAAATGATATCTAAAGATGTATTGCCACTAATAGCTTCTTCAGGTTCAGGCGTTTGTTGTGTATGTATGACTGTCTCGACCACATCATTATCATCACAATTATCTTCCATTTCTTCTTCTTCATCATTGAAGTGTATTTGTGTGGAATCAAAGAGAAGCATTCGTTCGCAATAATGGTTTTTACAATAAAACCTTTTGTGTGATATAAAGTTGGCTAAACTTCTGAAGAGATTTGTACAGATCTTGCATTCATATATGATATTACATTCATTTAATATAAGATCTTTCACTTCAACTGAAGAATCTTTAATACAATTAAGAATCTGTCGGACATTTTTGACACCCAAATTAATTGGTTCCCGAGTGAGTGAATGGTCAATATTATCATCATAGCGATCATCATTTGATACGCTATCGTGAACTGCTTCTCCATCACTATTGACTTTCAAAGAACCAGTACTTAACACTGGTTTTAATATCTTTGACGGACAATATGTGTTGTCTGTTGTCTTATTAGTTAATTGTGTATTTAGTTTCTTGTTTTGTGGAACTAATAACTTGAATGCTGTTTGTGTTTTCCTTAACTTTTGCCTATTTTTCCCCATTCTGTAAAATAAAGCAAATATCATATAATAATTAATCAAAATTAGACCATTAAATCATATGCTATTAAGTTGTTCACTGCGTAACCAATTGCAAGACCATTGACTGCAATAAGGATGTCATGTGTTTGTGGGACATCACCTGATAGCACCTCTCAGCACATCTTTGTCTACAAGACAATCAATTCAATCAATTTAATCAATTGTTAATCTAATACAATCAGTTCAATGTTTGCTATTATGATTGACATCAACTGATGGCAGTAAAGGTGATAATCAGTCGTTTAAATAGACTTTTAGTGGTCTCTAATGTCTATTAAGTGTTGTACTCATTAAATACAACATTTAACACAACAGTTAAGTCCACTTAAATCACTTAAGACTGGTCTCAAAACAGGTTGCAGTGATCAACAAGAGTGACATACGTTGTCCTAAACCATGTGATAATCAGTGGTTAATAATATTATCAATCAGTTGGTCCTTTAAATACACATTATATACAATACGGACAATAAAAATGAGAAAATCTTTTACATAAGTATTAGTCCATAGATTGCATTGCAGTCGTCATTCAAGTCGTCGCTGTGTTTATACTTTGCTAAAGACTTTCAATGTTTTCATTTCGTTTTGTTTTGACTTTCATCTGATTGTAATCATTAAATGTTTTAAAAATCAGATCCAATGATGAACTCTTTAGCCAACGTCCCACATCCCGGAGCTCTTGTAAGCAAAAAGAAAAAGGCATTCATAGGATTGCCGGCACCGTTGGGTTATGTGGCCGGTGCTGGTCGTGGAGCCACCGGTTTTACCACTCGAAGCGATATCGGTCCGGCACGTGATGCCAGTGATGTTCCCGATGATAGACACGCGCCTACTAAGGCTCAGATCGTCAAAAAGTCTAAAAAAGGTGACGAAGAAGAAGACGAAGAGGAAGACTTAAATGATTCAAATTATGACGAATTCAATGGTTACGGCGGAAGTCTTTTTAGTAAAGATCCGTATGATAAGGATGATGAAGAAGCGGATCAAATTTATGAGTCAATTGATAAACGAATGGATGAGAAGCGCAAAGAGTATCGCGAAAACAAATTGAGGCGAGAATTGGAAAGATATCGTCAGGAAAGACCTAAAATACAACAACAGTTTTCCGATCTTAAAAGAGATCTCAATGCTGTCTCTGAAGATGAATGGCTAAATATTCCAGAAGTGGGCGACTCTAGGAATAAGAAGATGAGAAACCCGAGAGCAGAAAAGTTTACTCCGGTTCCCGATTCCATTCTGGCCCACAACTCAGCGATGGCCAGTGGAGAGACTGTTGTATCAATTGATCCCCGAACTGGTCTTAAAACTCCATTTACAGGCGGAACGTCCACTGGTTTGATGACTCCGGGAGGTTTTTTGACGCCTGGAAATCTAGATCTTCGCAAAATTGGTCAGGCGAGAAATACATTGATGGACATCAAGTTGAATCAGGCATCAGATTCTGTTAATGGACAGACTGTTGTTGACCCGAAAGGTTATTTAACAGACTTGCAGTCCATGATTCCGGCTCACGGAGCAGATATCAGTGATATTAAAAAGGCTCGTTTGCTTCTGAAATCGGTTCGCGAAACGAATCCCAATCATTCTCCCGCATGGATTGCTTCAGCACGACTTGAAGAAGTTACCGGAAAATTACAAACGGCTCGTAATCTTGTGATGAAAGGCTGCGAAATGTGTCCGAATTCAGAGGATGTCTGGTTAGAGGCGGCACGACTTCAACCGCAAGACTTAGCGAAATCAGTTATAGCACAGGCTGTCCGTCAGATTCCATCATCAGTTCGCTTATGGATCAAAGCCTCAGAATTAGAACAAGAAATAAAAGCAAAGAAACGAATTTTCCGAAAAGCTTTGGAACACATTCCCAATTCTGTTCGATTGTGGAAAGAGGCCGTTGAGCTGGAAGAACCAGAAGATGCACGTATTCTGTTGAGTCGAGCCGTCGAGTGTTGTCCAACAAGTGTCGAGTTATGGCTGGCTTTGGCAAGACTTGAAACTTATGAAAATGCTCGAAGAGTACTAAACAAAGCCCGAGAAAATATTCCAACAGATCGACAAATTTGGATAACAGCTGCAAAACTGGAAGAAGCTCAGGGAAACATTATTATGGTTCAAAAAATTATCGACAGAGCTATCTCTTCACTCGCCACTAATGGTGTTGAAATAAATCGCGAACAATGGCTTAAAGATGCGATGGAAACTGAAAAATCAGGTTCAGTATTGACCTGTCAGGCCATTGTTGGTGCTGTTATTGGTTATGGTATCGATGATGAGGACCGTAAGCACACTTGGCTCGATGACGCCGAAAATTTTGCTAATCAGGAGGCATATGAGTGCTCCCGAGCTGTCTATGGTATCGCTATTAAGGCATTTCCTAATAAGAAGTCTGTTTGGTTAAGGGCTGCATATTTTGAGAAAAATCACGGAACATATCAAAGTTTAAGACAATTATTACAATCAGCCGTTCAAAGCTGTCCACAAGCAGAAGTCTTATGGCTTATGGGAGCTAAGTCTGAATGGTTGGCCGGTAATGTCAACTCTGCTCGAGAAATACTAGCGCTTGCATTCAAAGCCAATCCAAACAGTGAAGAGATTTGGTTGGCGGCCGTTAAGCTTGAATCAGAAAATGAAGAATACAATAGAGCGAAGAAACTATTAGAAAAGGCAAGACAAAGTGCACCCACTGCTCGTGTCCTCATGAAGTCTGTTAAACTTGAGTGGCAATTGGGAAATATAGAATCCGCCAAAAAACTTCTTGTATCAGGTCTTCAAGATTATCCAAATTATCCTAAACTTTGGATGATGTCCGGACAAATTGCTGAACAAGAGAATCGAATAGATGACGCCAAAGAAGCTTATAATAATGGTATCAAAAATAATCAGACATCTGTTCCTCTATGGATACTATTGGCCCGATTGGAGGCCAAATCACGACTCGAAAAGGCTCGGTCTGTATTAGAGAGGGCTCGGCTACGAAATCCCAAGTGTCAAGAGTTATGGATTGAATCGATTCGTATTGAGAGAAATGTTAATAAGGAAGCGGCTATTCCTATGATGGCTAAAGCACTTCAAGAATGTCCACAAAGTGGTCTTCTGTGGTCTGAAGCAATATTTATGGAGAATCGGCCGCAAAGGAAAAGCAAAAGTGTAGACGCATTGAAACGTTGTGAACACGACCCACACGTTTTGCTTACCTGTTCTTTACTATTTTGGACCGAAAGAAAACTAAACAAAGCGCGACAATGGTTTACCAGAACACTTAAATTAGATCCAGATTTAGGCGATTCTTGGGCTTACGCTTACAAGTTTGAACTTCTTCACGGAACTAAGGTATCGCTATTTGAATTTACGAAATAAACTTACATTTATATTGTTTACAAATCAATTTATTGAATGATTTTTTAGGAACAACAGGAAGAGCTCAAGAAGCGATGTGTGGCAGCAGAGCCCAGACATGGAGACAACTGGTGTAAGGTTTCCAAAAATATCTACAACTGGAGGCTTAAAATCGATGAAATATTAGAGCAAACGGCACACAACTTACCGATTCCCACATAAATTGCTATCATTTAACACTAAATTATCACACATTTGTCAATTAATTTGCATTTTTTTTGTTCATTAAATTAACATAAAATTAAATAATAATTTGTTTAATTTGATAACTAATTCATTAATTATACTATAATTTGAATGTAATGTCTGTTATAATATGTCGTTGTTTTTGAATGAAGTGCTCTAAACACGTGTTTATTGTTATGAATGACATTATTATACAGTAATATCTGTGAGTAACTGTCATCCAGTTATCCATGGATTCAATCAATGATAACAAAGATCTTATTAATCACTATCTTAACGATCATTTGTTTCTTAATGTCTTAGAGTTGATTCCCATAACACAACTGTTTAATCTAAGACTTGTTTGTCAAAGATTCAAACGATTAGTTGATTATCAGTTGACTTTTAGAAGATGTATCGCCATAGCCATCAATATTGGATGTGATGACAATACTAATGATGAAGACGATGATGAATATGACTCGAAATGTGATTGCAATGATTACAGACATCGGTTCACAACAAATGATTGCTTATATAAGAGCTGTCGACAAGTGAAAGACGGCTCAAGAACTTTGTATGTTTTAAACGACAATCAATTGATCCAATTGTTCACATTTTGTCCTAATATCAAAGCTCTGAGTCTTGAGTCGACAATTATTGACAGAAATGTTTGGCAACACTTCCGCGACAATTGTCCCAAAGGTGTCCAACACATAGACTTTTCCAATTCTCAGGGTTTGATCGATGAGGTGATCCGTTTCATTGTTATCACTACCGGTCAGACACTTCAACACATCATTCTTAATGATAGCGATATTAGTGAATCAACTCTTGAATTTATTTTGAAAAACTGTCCAAAACTTGAGGTTTTAAACGTCAGTAAAAATGTTAGGATTACTGGTCTTTGTTTTGGACTTTTACCACAATCTATCAAAAGACTTGTTTTAAATAACTGTTGGAATCTAAGTCTTGAAGCAATTAAGTGTATTGTCACTGGAAGTGCTAAATGTCTAACGAATTTAGAGATCAATGGAGAGTTCATCGACAACAAGATTGTGTCTGAAATTTGTGAAAATTTATTTAATTTACAGATTTTGGAGATCGACTGTTCAAACATTGAAGACAAACATACTTTACATAAGTTATCCAATTTAAGACATTTGGAGGAATTGAATCTTTTTTTACCATCAATTAAATTTGATTATATATTGTGTGATATTTTGAAAAATAATTATTATCTAAAAAAACTAAGTCTTGACGGCGCTATTGTTACCGATTACTCGATTCAGTTTTTGCCACAATTTTGTCCACATCTTGAATACCTATCGATTGCATTTGAAGAATTGATTATCAATAATAAAATTAGTGATAATTGTTGCGAATCATTGGCTAAACTTAATAATTTACAACATTTGGATTTACAATACACTAAAATTGGTGATAAACTGATTCAAGTGATAACTGATTGTCCAAATATATTGACCGTTGAGATAGAAGGCTGCAAACAAGTGACCAACAAATTGATTGATTGTATGATTGATATCGCAAAACAAAGACCTAATAAATCATTGACTCTCTTTGCCCGCGAAACTCATTTAAATGAACCTGAAGTCCAAATTCCCGATAACTTACAACTAATTTTAAATTAATTATTTTTTGCGCAAAATTCAATCAACACTCATTTAATTGGTAATTATTTATTATATGTACCTAAAAATTAATTGTAATTTAATATTTTTGTTATTTAAATTACGGTAAGTATTACCAGTAGTGTAAATTGCATTTTATAATTAAAATTATTTTCTAAAATTCATACCTAACTAACTGTAAACTGCATAACTAATTTCAATGACATTTGTTGTTGTTTTTAAAGCATCTTTACTTAAAATATTTGTTATAATTACATATCTATTGTATTCCTTATAAGGTATTTAAAAATAATAAAATTACAATATATCAATATCATATATACTGTAGTATATCATAATAAATAGTATTTAATATTAATAATAGATTAAATACTATTATTATAATTTTGTACATTTCAAATCATTTATAAAATTAATATTAATACATATAAACTATTTAATGTCTGCTAAAAGTTTTTTGTTAAATCTTATTAAAAATTTTGAATACAATATTAATAAGACCTATTGAAATGCCATTATTGAAAAATACATTATGTATTTTAGTAATTATTAGTTGAGACAGACAACACATTTTATTATACTGTATTTAAATATCCTATTTTTATTTTTAAAGCTTTAATGATTAAGTATTTATAAATACAGTAGCTTTTAAAAAGGTATTATATTTTAAAGGTATATCATTTAAATAAAAGCTTATCCTGTAGTGACTGTTATATATATATATATATATATATATATAGAGAGAGAGAGACGGTTGAGTTAGAGAGAGATTAAGATACTATTATACATGGAAGGAATGGATGAATGAATGGATAGGGAGTTGTAGGTTAGGGATGGGTAGTGGAGGAGACAGATGCGCGCCATATGACCAAAGCCTACAAATTATTAGTAAGTGTTTTGAATGGTTTGATCCAATAGGAACTCTTGTTTACCACAAAACAGTTATAGCAATACAAACACCCAAACCATGGTTTATACCATTTTCAGACATTTTCAAAACCATCGCTTTTGTCTATAAAAATACATTTAAAGCAATCGTTAATTATATGTAAAGTTGTTTATAATTTGCTTAATTATTGATTGCATTTGTGTTTACTCTGAAAGCTTTCGTTCAAAGACTAATTGATTGCTTCAATCAAAGTAAATGTTAGTTTCATTGCAAACAAATCCATCAATTGATTGTTATATTATCTGTCATTGAAAGTGTCAATGCATTGTATTTATTGTTTATTCTATATTTTGCAACAAATCTTACAAAACTTTATTTAATTATTAAATTAAAAAATGATAAAATTATCTAATTATGTTATTTTCCATTATTTTATAACAAAGATTACATGAGAAAAACTCGAAGAAATGGCTACAAAAGATCCGAAATCAACTGAGACCACAAAGAAAGAAGAAACCATAACTAAAGCACCAGAAACTCCCAAAGATCCGCTTCAAGAGTTTAAAAGACGCTCAAGAATTGATTCGTTGGGATGTATTGTCTTCATTGGTCTCTTATCATTCATCTTTCTCGACACTTCTTACCTTAACCTTAACATTGGTGGCAATGCTTCAGGAGTTCAGGTGTCATCCTATTGGCACAAACTTGAGCTCGTCTTATGCTACCAATCACTGAGCACTGCATGGCTTCTATTTAACATGTTTTACGTAATCTCCCGGCGCTGTAAAACTCAAAACCCCGACCCATTGGAAGCAAGTCGGGACCCGAAAGTACAAGAGGCCAACCAAATGTTTCGTAACTCATTTGAGCAGTTCTTGTTGTCGGTCTTCGCTCAGATCATTTCCATCAGTTTCATCGACAAGAGTATCCTAATTAAGCTGATCCCATTGATTAACGTATTGTTCATAACTGGAAGAATTGCATTCTTCTTCGGTTACCCCAAACGTCGTACATTTGGCTTCTTATGTTCAGCTATTCCGACCACTCTTCTCATTAATTACAATCTCATCAAATTTATTCAAAGTCTCTTCTTTTAAACCAAACTTTCAAACCATAGCTAAACAGATCACCCATTTGTTAGAAAAGTAGTACACATTTACGAGTAATGTATGAAATTTATTAAACATTTATATGATTAATACCATTATATCGTATATCATATGTATCTTAAATATCATTGTCACATATAAATTGTAATCCATATATCATATCATTATTTATAATTTCATTTCATTTATAGTTATATAACATTAATATTAAAGTATAAACAATTGGTAGATATCTTGAGATACTTATTGATGTAATGACCAGTTTTTAATACTTTAAAATAAATATATATTTAAATAAAAGAAATTTATTTAATTGTAATTATTAATCAATCTAATTGTGTTTGCAATAAAAAGACACAAAATTGAGTGATCAGTAAAAGATATGTTGTGATGAAGTAAGTGATGTCCATATTTGAAAATTTACCATCGATGGTACTTTTGGTGATAAAACATAATATAAGAAAACACAACGACTCAATCATTATGACAATTGGTATTATGTGATCACTGTTTGTCTTTATCACCGGAATCACTACATCAACGATAACACCAACGAAGAGACAAATTAATAATATGACTAATATAACGACCGGAATGTAAGTCAATCTAAACATCATTTGAGACCAATTGATGTCTTTAGTTCTCATGTCAGTCATTGAGATAATCATTCATTTATTACAATAAACTATTCATTTAATAGTAAACATTAATTAATGTCAAATAATACTTTTTTAATTAATATTTGTCATTAAATATCTGATTTTAGTTCACATCAAATGTATCAATAAAATTGTTTTACTGTTTTTAAACATTTAAAAGTTTAATAAAAGTTAGCACACATTGTTAACTTGAATATTTAAAGTACAATATAATAAAAAACAAAATAATAATATTAATAGTATTATAGTATAATTACTAAAACGTTATGATGCAAAATTATTATCATTCTTAAAGTAATCAAAATTTAAATATCATCATTAATATAATAAAAATGTAAATTTTTCAATAATAATTTTTAAGAGTTAATTTATATTAATTAAAAACATATGGCATAAATAGTATAAAATCTTGTATCATATAATTTATAAAGCGATGCATTAAACAGGAAGTTAATTGTCGATATACAGTATATATACTTTAATTGAATTAAATTTAATTTACTTCAATGTTAGAAAATTTAATACTTATTTTTTAACTACAGTAGTTATTGACACTTAGATTAATATCTAAAGTGTTTGGTAACTATAGATTTTAAGCCATAAGGTAAGCATTGTTTAAATACAATCAATGGTAACTATTTATTATCACAAATTGTATTATCAGCACCGGTTACTTATTACAGTATAATGTATTATATTTATGTACAGATATAGTGTAACAAATAAAGAAAACTATAAAAATTCAGTCAATACTAAAACAGCATTTAATAAAATCTCTGTCAATATATAATATACAGTACATAACAAATATTTAAAATTATATAATTTAAATATTTTATAAATATTACGGTAAATAACAAACATAAAATACTTTTACCGGTAAATAGTTATATTAATACTAAACAAACAAACAGTGCATTTAATAATGTAATGTTAAAATTAGATGAGATTAGGTTTATGTGGACATCCAGTGGTCAATATCTCGACGCGACCCGAATGGTTCATCAGAACGTCGTCTTCAACTCTCATTCCTATTCCTTGAAACTCTGGTTTAATCATTGCATGACTTTTATGAAAATAGAGTCCGGGCTCTACTGTAAAACAATAACCGGGTTTTAGGGTAAAATTTCTAGGAATTGATGGACAGTCGTGAACATCAAGCCCTAAATAATCATTAAAATAATTAAAATTATATCACTATTTACTATATATTTATAAACAATATCAATAATAAATATTATTTCAAATACATACCTAAATAGTGAGAGACGTGATGTGGACACAATCGGTAGGCCAAAGATATGGCCTCTTGTGGTGAAACAGTTATATTGAAAGCATTAAAGTCAAGTAAAACCTTTGAAAGTAAAGTACACATCAGTTTGAAGAGGAGATCCAATGTCATCATTGAGTCATTAGAGACGGCAGATATTAACTCTGATTGCACTTCACACAGAGCTTCGTGAAGATCGCGTCGTAATCGTGAGACACCAAAGTCACCATTGATTGGCCACGACCTCGTTATATCACTATTATAGCCATCAACATCTTCACAACCACCATCTATCATAACCCAGTCATTTGGAGAACAGAATTGATTATTATTTCCGTAGTGAATAATTGTTGATCTCTGACCCGAACCACAAACTATAGGGAAAGATATATTTCGGGCGCCATTAAAACGGCATTCAAACTCAAATTTGGCCGCTATATGTGCCTCATTGACAATCGTGTTTTGTGATAATGAATTGGTCCATCCCATTGTATTAGCCATCGCTAGACTACCTATACTACACACTCTTCGCATAGCATTACACTCAGCTTTGGATTTGCTAAGTCTTAACTGTTCCAAAAGTGGTGACATTTTAAGTATAGCTGTTTTTGAATTGAGATTCAATAAGTTTCTCAAAATTGGGTTTAATTTATCACAACTTTCACTGCTATTTGTGTTGCCATTTGTTTGATTGAAACCTGACTTTGAGACAAACAATTGTCGAGAAGGGCTATGAGTAGACATCAAGTCTTTCAATTTGGATATATCTCTGAAGTCATTGCAAATACTATTAATCCACGGAGACTGCTCTCTGAGGTCACTTCCGTCCCATAGTTGCTTCATCTGTTCACCGAAAGGCGCAAACATTATAGACTCAAGTGGTTCGCCGTGACCTCCAATTAAGGCTAAAACACAATCAGCCGATTGACTGGTCGTTAGTCCCGTTAAATAAATAAAATCTGAGTTTTGTTTGAAATGAGTGCACGGGATCCTCGTGTCGGCCAAATGTGGACGACTGGAAGCGCTCACCAATATTATGCTCGGTTTGTGTCCAACATATGAATTCTTGTCAATCAATTTCATGAGGTTTTGGTGTCTCTCTCGGATCTCTTCGCTTGTGATCAATGAAGACATGGCTGATATAGGAGTCAATTGTGGCACTGAGTTCTGGTCTTCGGCCGGACACTCAACAGCAGTCGACTTCAATATTGTCGAAATTTCGGGTGAAAACTGACTGAAAGTAGTCGACGATGACATCAAATGTTTGGCCAACTCGTGAGGTGACTGAACCGATAATAGCAATCGTTTGGCAAATAAGTTAATCATAATTTGAAATAATTTAATAAATAATAATAAAATCGAGTCAACACTTGTAAATGAATTGAAAACAAAATATAATTTTAATGATATTTAATGAAACATTAAAACAGGTTTTAAATATTTCACTTAATTATTAACTGTATGTTTGTTACAAACATTACATTACAATACATTGCATTACATTTCAATGTCAATAACGTTGACAACAATTGACATCACTTTCTACTGTAAAACACTTAAGAATATTCTCTAATTATATATCATTAACTCAAGTGATGTTCAAAAAACATGATATTTATGGCACTAAATGTGTTCATATAATTTTGATCAATAGTTGCATTTTTTAAATAAATTGATTTATATTTTTCTAAGTGTTTGATTATTAATAATATTTCTAATTATAACTATCATACATGTACTAATTATCAATTGATAAAAATTTTATAATTAAATAGCATTTACATTATTTTGAGTATTTTATAATTTCATTCCCCTAAATTTTATCATATTATTTTTATTGTGAATTATTTTTAAAAATAAATATTATTACTAGTACTAAATAAATACTATAATATCAAAATATAGATTAGTATAGCTTATACTACACTGTAGTAATAATATTTATTTACTACATTTAAATTTAATTATTTTTTGTCATTGATGTGTTTATTTTTTGTTTTTATGTATTATAAGTATTAATGAAATTTATTGACAATGTTTCTATAATTACATACTCTTATGTTTATTTAGTTTATGTGATAATACAAAAGTTTATATTAAATTTATCAAATTATTGCAATTTATTATGGCGTGAGATATGAGTTTATAAATTTGATAAAATTGAATGAATTTGTGTATATATTAATTCATACTTAATTATTTAATATTAAGATTAAATTATTCATAATAATGTACTCTAATGTAATGTATAAATACGGAGTCTATTTTATATAAAGTACTGAAATGTGTTATCATTTTGAATTATTTCCAAGTTTTTGTTAGTTTTAATAATTTTTTTGCAAGTAATAAACTTTAGACAAGTGTGTATTAAATATAGACAACAAATATATTGATATCTAATTAATATTCACATTATGTTTAAATAATAATTTATTATTTATAAAAGTAAAATACTTTGATTACTAAGAATACTGCAATTATATTTTTATTAAATTATCATATATATTCATATATATTTATAAATTAGAGCATAAATAGAAGATAATTTAATTAAAAATATAACAAAAATAAATTGATAAAACTTTAATAAATATTTACTAAATATATATATATATATATATATATATATATATATTTATATCTAATTAACGCAATATGCTATAATTAAAATCTAATATTATACTGTATTATAATTACAGAATTATGACTTATTAGAAGTAATTTATTTAATATTTATTGTTTTATAATTATATTATATAATTAAATAAACGATTTAAAATTTTAAAATGTACTGTATATGTAGTACTGTATTTACTCAAATTTAGATAATATAATTGAAATTATAGTAACATTAAAATTATTCTATAAATTATATTCACGTCGATAAAAATCAATGTATATGTATAATAAAATCTATAAATTTTGATTTAAGTTAATTTGACAAATTTCCGATTATACTTTAACATTATAATAATACAATTATTTATATAGTGAACATACAGTTATACTGTAGTTTATTTGGAAAATGTTAAAAAATATGTTCGGAAATATACATTGATTTTTATCGCAGTGTAAGAAATGAAAGATATAATTTCTATAAAAATATATTAATTTTAAGTTAAAATAAAATTGTTAAGATTTTTTTCAATTCAATTATTCTAAAAGATTTTGAACAAAGAAAATTCAACAAAATATAAACAAAGCACTGATAATTAGGGTTCGATAAAATTCCCTCTTTTTTTATTAACTAAACGTTTCTTATATTCCCTGGGAATTTCTAGTGAATTTATTTTTTTGTGTTACCACCTATTGAACCTTAAACAACATGTTTTATTATGATGTTTAAAAACAAATATTATATTAAACTGTATTTTGAGTGCTATTGATAAACACCATCACTAAGTTTATTATATTGAAACTTATTTTTAAATATTTCAATATATATTTTTGCAAAATATTTAAGTTTTTGTACTATTAATTTTAATTAAAATGTATTTTTCATTTCTAACTATGAAGGAGGAGAATAAAATATTTTCCGGAAAAATTGGATGGATTTTATTAGTAAACTTTCCTACCTGGGAAATTTTCTCGAATTCTACTGATAATATTTTAGTGGACATTTCTAAGAATATTTCCATGCGTTTATTTGTTATTAATACTGTAATATAATATAATACAATTGATACATATTGTCGAAAAACATGTTGTTGTTTAAGAATTACTATTTTTATATTTTTAGTTTATTAATAAAATTTTATTTAAATATGTATTATTTAAAAATTTCGATATCGGTATGTACTAAACTAAAGTAAAGTAAACACGTGTTATTATAAGTAGAAATAGAAATTTTCCAGATCTTTATAAGAATTTCAAGTGCTTTATATTTAATCGTTTAAATTTTCAAAAATATATTTTATTTATTTGACATTTCTTGTTACAAAAACACTACTACTACTACTACTTACTAATTTAATACTCAATTGTCATACATTAATATATAAAATTTTGAAAAACATTTCAAATAAAATGATTTGAACTAAAATTATTGTTTATATAAAATTTGAAAGAATTTTGTGCCGCAAATGCGCAAACCGTATCATTTGTATTGATTTTTAACTCATAAACTCTTTTATTTGATACATTCATTGATACACTTATAAAAATATGGCAGAAATTATTAGCAAAGAATTTACTAATAGAATTAAATAGATTTTGAATGACTAATGAAAATGTCGGATCAATTATATGATAATCCAGTGATGAATAAAAATATATCTGAGATTAGTATGAATACAACAAATAATTGTAATGAAGTTCCTGCACATCACATACTGTTTCAAATGGCAAACATTTGTTTTGTACTGTCATATACTCTACCAAATAGCAAATATTGTATTTTAATAATGCATTCAGTGTTGGCATTGGCATCACTGTTGATGTCTGTGTGGGCCTGGAATTTGATCTGTGGTTCGGGAGTAATGACATGGAATATGACATTTATGTTCATCAATCTGATCCAAACATTTTACTTATTATATACTATGAGACAAATCAAATTTTCTAAAGAATTAGAAGAAATATACCAAAGTTTGTTTGAACCGGTGATGATATCGAGGACTATATTTAAAAAGTTGGCCGCAATCGGACAGATCATGATATTACATGCGGGAGAAGCATATGCTATGGAAAGTCTAACCAAAACTGATAGATTGGGACTTCTTATTAGTGGAAAGTAAGACATTCGTCAATATTTATACATATTTATTGTATAGAATATTATTTGTATTAATTAAATATTTTTATTTAAGAGTTAATGTGATATCTGGTAATCATTTTCTGCATTGTATTGAAAGTAAACAATTTTTGGATTCGCCTGAATTTGAGTCCAGTAAGTTAGGAAGTGATGACAAATTTAAAGTATCACTGATTGCGGCCACTTCTTGTCGGTATATCTTCTGGCAAAGAGAATCACTTGAATTTCTGTTATTCAAACAACAATATTTAGCAAATATTTTAAGTCTTATATTATCGCGTGATATAACTAATAAACTCTATGCCATGAATGAAAAGGTAGTAATAACTTATTATCATATTATCATAAAATTAGATTAAATATAATTTTTGTTTATTTTTTTTAATAAAATCAGATAGTGGCTGATAAGGGATCTCAGTTGGACATACGTTTGCCGATTATAATAACTTCTTTATGCAATTCAGTCTCAAGTGTTGATCAACAAAATGAATCACCGATTACTTCCAGGACACCATTGCGTGAAAAGGATCAAATTGTTTCACCAACTGCTGTCTATAAAGGGGCCCGAAGTAGAAGTTTGCAAACTAATAGTTTGGGTTTGGCTGTAAGTCCATCACCACGTGTGACCACACGGGCTAGTGCTCTAAAATTGTCACCAAAAAAGGATTTTATTGAATTGAAAGATATTATTACTGAAGAAACGGATATCGATAACAATAATAAAAATACATCAACAGCTCAGGGCGTTAAATTCAAGTCATATAATTCATAAACTGATATTTTTAGTTCAAAACCTATTTTTTATATACAGTATTAATTTATTATATATATCTATAATAATCCATTCATTGAAGTTCTCAATCTTTTATCTTTATTTTTAAATCATGAGATGATTTATATCGTCAAAACATTACAGTATGTATTGTACATATGTATTATATAACAATTATTACTTTCTAAAAAGCTATAACATGTACTGAAATTATAATATTGAATAATACAATATACAGTACAGTATATGACAATTATTATATAAATAATGTTTTGTGATTACCGTCCGATGTTTAGTCTATTTAAGATTATGTCAAAATTTAATTTAAAATAAATATAAATTTATATGTATATAACATAATGTATTAACTCTGTTAAATTAATAAATTTTGTTAATTGAGTACATAATTTTTTATTTGTTTAATTTATTAATATTTTAAAATATTAATATAAATCAATTTAACTTTAAYTAAATATTATCAGATAAAAATTATATAATAAATTAGAAAAAATTATAGTATACAAATATATATCACTTTTAATATTAGTTTAATATTAGTATGCTATTAATCAGACAGTTTTAATAAAAACAACAGATTAAACTCCATTATTGAAAAAATAATAATTAATTTACAATAAATTATATAACAATAATAAAAAAATGGATAAATATCCATAAAAAAAAGTTAGACTGTGTATGTACTGTACTATTACTATTATACTAACAAATTTTGTTTTTTTACTATTATTTTTATGGTATTTCATTTTCGAGTGGTATTTCCATACTCTAATAAAAACATATACAATATGTCATACAAAACATAATTTCATCTAAAAATTTTGGTGAATCTCAGGGATGAGTGCTTTATTACTATCAAAGTCCCAATTTTACCTCCCATTATAAACAAAATGTATTTTATTAAATAAATTTTTAACCATTGAATATATTTATAAGATTGAGCTGCTATTTGAATGTGATGTAAGTCAACACTATCTATTAAAATGCTAATTATTAGTTGTGAATTAATATAAGCAACTTTTAAAAAAGCAAAAGCTCTACTTTAAAATGTTAAATACTAAAAAATTTTATGTGTTATAAACTTTGTAATATTTTATAAGCTAATAAATTATAATATCGTTTATTACAGTATAATTTATAATATATAAATGCAACAGAATCACTGTAAATATTATATAAATAATATATATATTTATTTATTATACAAGTGTTTAATTTTTATACGACAAAATTAAAATTCAATTCTAATTAACAATTTATTATAATAATTTTTAAAACATTGTGTTGTGTTACATTCAAAAAATATTGTTAATATTGATAATAAATATAAAACTACACAATCGCTAAATAATAGATCATTTAACTAATAAATTACTTATAAAAATAAAATGATGAATACATTTATGGGTTTCAAGTTTTTTTAGAAAAATTGAAGGTATTATCAATAAATGACTTTTAGTGCTATGAAGTCGTGACTATAAAACTGATTTGTGTTATACAAGAGTTTATATAATAAATAGGTTTTATTAAAATAGATTATGAACTAAATCTGTGTATTAGATCTCTGGTTTGTGCACAACATTTCAAATCTGATGGTATTTTGATTGACAGAAGAAATATAAACAAAACATTGAAAATTAGGTCAGGGATTGTGTGATTAAGTGAAGATCACTTCCGCATATCATCATCACTGGTATATCACTTTCAATTGTTCTCTCTCTAAAATGTAGAACTCTTTCAGTTGGCAATCAAACAAAATATTAAAATATTAGGTATAAACTGAATGTTACTTTAGATTACTCTTCATTAACTGTTGAACTAAGAAATCGGACGAAAGACTGGTCTAAAAGTTTTCAAATAGATATACAGTTATAAAAATCTSTCAATAATTTTGTTATGTCTTTGTATATGAGGAATGAATTTAAATTTAAAGAATATGTTCTCAAATAAATTTGTATCAATTTATTGTGAACTTGTTTATGGATACAATAGTCATCACATCCTTGAACTACAAAATAACTTTAATTGTGTTCATCATTACGTAAATTAAATGAAATGTCAATATTATATATATTACTCGTAATCTCATATTTGTTCATCACATATATTATCACAACTCATACATTCACACATGTAATCAATTCAAAGTCACCAAAGAGTTTACTACTCGGCAACTATTCGGACCTAATTGTGGACATCGATGAAGATATTCTTCTTGAGTGTGATCAAAGTAATAATACCAAAAGTTTTGAATGGTTTCGCAAAGAGAAAAATTGGTTTAATGAGGAGTCACCTGAACAGCGGATCCCATATAATGAACAATATTTATTAGTAAATGAAAATAAAGTGTCGACTATTCTGTATAAATGTATTACTACTGAATATTCTGGCAATTATTTAATTAAATCATACAAACTATATGTCGATCGACTTCCTAAACGACAGAGAGGTTTGTTTGCTTAATCTATTGATATATTTAAATAAAATAATTATAAATACAGTAAAACTATACCGATATATAAAAGCATAATATATTGAAAAACTAATTTATTTGTTGAGATATTCGTAAGCGATGTTTGCCACCAAAATGCAAGCCATACGCCACTGTATGGGAAGCTAAATGCGATCGCGTAGTCCTAAACCTAACATATCCTCACTCACAGCACGGATACAACTCAAGCACTAAAGTTTGGGGAAATATCTTATGTGATGATGAAATCGGAGGCTTTCAGATATGGGTTGTCGGTTATGGTATACTTAAGCGATTTCTACCACGTAATGTCACATATACTACAATACTACCTAAAATTATATTTATATTATTGCTTTAATTATACTGTATTATAGAGGATACAATAGTTATCGAAAAGTTGACTCCGGGTAAGACATACTGTTTTAATGGATGGGCATATAATTCATGCGGTGCCGGACCTGTCTTTACACTGGAAGGTGTTTGCGCTGAAAATGTATTTGACTGTCAAACACAATCCACTGAACATTGTGAATATGATTATAATTATAATTTTGATTAATTATTTTCATATTTAAAAAGTTAATATATTGTATTTTAAATATAGTCATAAATATACAATATATCAATTGTTTTGTTTTAACTATAATTCAGTATATTTATACAGTAAAAACTAATTTGTTAAGAATATACTAAACTATAGTGAAAATATCATTTCTATCAATACCTTCTATAATATAAATTTTATATTTTATAGTTATGAATCATTATAAAACATTTATATTATAAAACATATATTATTGTACAGTAGATATTGTAATTATCGGTAATTACTTTATTAAAAAATACAATATGTTTATTACCCGTACAAATATTATTAATGTTTTGCATTTTATGTACAAAAAAATAATATCAAAGTACAGCACAATGTACGCACATATTTTATTTTATAGTTTATATTTTTCCATATTGTTGATTTATCAACTAATTTATCAACTAATTATCATATTACCAAAAATATATAAATATATCAAATAAATTATCAACAGTTAATTTCCATAAAACTTTACTTTCAAAACATCACACAAACCAAACCTCAGTAATCAACTATAAAGTCAATTAACTACTCTATAAATAAATCCCTGTAAAAGCTTTACTTATTTTTTATTTATATAATTTTCTTAATATAAATAAATATTATAATTAATTTGTATCATTGTATGTGTTATTTTAATGTTAACTAATTGTATTCATTATTTAATGTTTAAATTTTATAAATAGTTTTATAATTGTCATATATATTGTTATTATGTACTGTATATATTTGATATACAGTAGTACCAAGGTCAGATTTTTATTTTTAAATAAATAATTATCAGTTAATAAAAACAATTAGTTTTATTATAACAAATATTTACATTTAATGACAATCAAAGAACTATTTTTTAAATTTCTTTCGTGACTTTTGATTGGTTGACATCTCTTTCGAAGAAATATCATTAGTTTCTTTGGTTTCACTATAAGACTGATCTTCGAGTTTGCKTTTATGACAAATGTTATCCTTATTTGTCTCATTGATGATGGACTCAGTCTTTGGCTCCCAAAGGGCTGATTTGATGAATCTTTTGGCTGCTTCTGTGTCCAGCTTTGATGCCTTTCTTTTGTCTTCAATATCTTGTATTCTCTGTGCATAACCTTTAAGTCGAGTGATCTCATTCTTGATGGGCTCTTCATGAGGATTGACTCCTTTTGTGGTCAAATATATCCAAAACAGTGAATTCATWGCGTAAGCGATGGTCAGCTCAATCTTAGCTTTCATTAATGGATCCGATGCTTGACTTTTGATAGCAGTATATTTGCTGTTAAAAGTGGTCAGACATTGTTTGAGATCGGCTAACGACTCGTGCAGATCCCGAATCGGTCGCACCATTTCCTGTGGAAAATCTTCAGATTTGTCGGAACTCATTATTATTTGAATATAACATATGATATCTTAAAATATTGATAATCACTGAACACGTGCTGACCATAACATCAAAGCAAAAGACGTGGTTTGTGTTGTCATTCATTTGTTTTATGTCTTTCGGCACAACATTAGCGCCAATTGTGACAAACATTGAAAACATAAGACATGTTTTTGACTGACATTAAGCAACCATTTGTCGACAGATGTAGTGATTGTAGTGTTGTTTCAAATGTCAGACCATTTGAACGATAACTTAACGATTTGTTTGTGACGACCGACTGATTTACTCACGAAGACATGACCTCCGAAACTATTGAATACAAAATACCGGCCGATAATGAGCTGCGATTTGAAGCGGATGAAGAAGTTGTGGTCTGTGAACTCAAGTCRGGTTTGGCCGAAATGTTTGGCACCGAACTTATGAAAGGCCACAAATACAGTTTCGGCAGCGGATCCAAAGTAGCCATATTTACATACCACGGATGTATCATTGAATTGACTGCTAACACACAGGGTGTCCATAAAAGTCAATATACCTCACGTGAACATCAAATGACTTTTTATGTCAATTTGAGCGCCGCTTTGGAATCGTTAAGAATGAAGGCTCAAGAAGAAGATAYAATTGGACCCAAAGTCATGATTGTTGGTCCGTCTGATTGTGGAAAGTCTACTCTATGTCGCATATTATTGAATTATGGCGTCAGACTCGGTCGGAAACCACTTTTTGTTGATCTCGATCCCGGTCAGGGAAGTGTTAGCATTGCCGGCACTATCGGTGCCGTTACTGTTGAAAGACTAGCCGATATTGAAGAAGGATATTCATTGGTGGCGCCTATTGTTTATCATTTTGGCCACACATCTCCCGGCGCAAATATAAATCTTTATAACATTTTAATGAAAAGTCTGGCCAAAGCTGTTGATCTTAAGATGGAAACCGATTTGAAAACTAAATACTCTGGAGTTGTGATCAATACGTGTGGTTGGGTTAAGGATGGCGGATATAATGCCATTCTTCAAGCAATCAAAGATTTTAAAGTCAACATTATATCAGTCTTAGATCAGGAAAGGCTTTACAATAATTTAGTTAAAGATGTGGCAAACAATTCAGTTAATGTATGATAATATTTAATAATAATTTTATATTAAAAGTTGTAATTAAATTTGTTATTAACTAAAATTTAGGTTATATTTACCCCGAAAAGTGGCGGAGTTGTCCCGCGACCGCGAGAATACCGAATTGAATCGAGAGATGCCAGAGTTCGGTGGTATTTCTACGGCACTCTCAAAGCTGGTCTCTATCCATATTCATTTGATGTACCATTTAGTCAACTAAAAGTATACAAAGTCGGTGCACCAAATTTGCCCGATTCTTGTATGCCAATAGGTATGCGGACAGAGGATAACCTAACAAAACTGGTCGCTGTTGTGCCCACTCCTCAAACACTTCTCAATCACATACTGGCTGTTTCAACGGCCACTTCAATTGAAGATAACCTTCAAGTTCTAGAGTCTAATGTCTATGGCTTTGTTTGTGTTACTAATATTGATGTCGAGCGCCAAATGGTTACCCTTTTATCACCTCAACAAAGACCACTTCCAGTTAACTCTATATTACTTTTATCTGACATTCAATACATGGATTCTCATTGAAAGTATATTTATTTTGTATTATATATTGTAATATTTTAATTTATACTCTTTTATATTTATAAAAATATATATTATTTGTTTATAAATCAATAAAATAGATTTATTGCAAAATAATTTAAGACTATTTTTTTATTCAATTACTAGTAATATATATATATATATATATATATATATATATATATATATATATATATGACATTCTAATTATTTATATCATATAAATTATACAACTCGTTGATATACATAAGTATATAATACTGTATACTGTATATATATATATATATATATATATATATATATATATATGACTATTAATTCTATAATAATAATTTTGCATTCATTTAAATATTTTATATATTATAAGTTATTTAAATTTATAGCTAAATATTGTAATTTATTTTATAATACAATTATTGGTCTGTGAGTTAGGATCGGTCAGAACACCGGATATCTATAAAACTGGACCAACGGGTGCTCTCAATTGTAAGCACTGGTTTGTATTTTAGGTCGGATATCAAATCCACAAACTATTCACTTTATAATATAAGTATAAATTATAATACCTTAATGTTAAACCATAGTTTAAACTATTAATTTTATTATAAAACTATATGTACTGTATATAACTGTTATATGAATTTATATATATCAAGATAACATTTTAAGACATTTGTTTTGTCTGTTTGTTTGTCTGTCTGTCTGTCTGTATGCGTGCACATTTCATCAACAACCATATTTTAATTCAAATGTAAAAATGTATTGTTTTATTTTCATTTTTTATTGAAAGCAATGTTATTTCTATGGGAAATTTTAAATGATTATTAGGTCAATAGATTTTGAGGACAAAGAAGCAGGTATTGTGAATTACATTTTACTATATTATATGAGTCATAGGGCACCGGGAGGTTAGCTACCTGTGCTAAATTTTTGTAAAATTTTCTCAAATGCAAAAATTTTCAATTTGTATTAAAATTTTCAATTTTTTCAAAAATTATATATTTTTTAAATTGTATTAATTTAATTATTGCACGAGAAAAATAATTTGTTTATTTATTATTTATCATTAAATACATAACAATTTTAATAAATCGCGTGATTTAATAAATATTTAATAATCGCGTAATTTAATAAATATTTAATAAACGCGTGAAATATAAATTTAAAATAATTAAAAAAATAAAATTTTAAATATTGATAAGCAGTTTTAAAGACGTTTCTTTTGATAGCATAAATTTATTTTCCATTATATTGTAACTACATATGAATTATACAATATAACTAAAAATAAAAAATTAAAAATATTGATAACAGTTTTAAAGACGTTTCTCTTGATTGCGTAAATTTATTTTTACATATATTGTAACTGTATATGTAAACAACATTATACTAAAAAATCATCAAATTTTAATAGCGCGAACTTTTTTTATTGACGATTTTATTGATAGCATAAATTTATTTTCCATTATATTGTAACTACATAAGAATTATACAATATAACTAAAAATAAAAAATTATAAATATTGATAAGCAGTTTTAAAGACGTTTCTCTTGATTGCGTAAATTTATTTTTACATATATTGTAACTGTATATGTAAACAACATTATACCAAAAAATCATCAATTTTTAATAGCGCGAACTTTTTTTATAGATGTTTTTATGGATAGTATAAATTTATTTTTACTTAGATTTTAACTACATATGTATTCTACAATCTAACTAAAAAAATAAAAATTCTAATATTGCTTAACAGTTTCAAAGACGTTTTTTATGATTGCGTAAATTTATTTTTACATATATTGTAACTTTACATGTATACAACATTATACCAAAAAATCATTAATTTTTAATAGCGCGAACTTTTTTTATAGACGTTTATATGGATAGCATAAATTTATTTTTACTTAGATTTTAACTACATATGTATTCTACAATCTAACTAAAAAAATAAAAATTCTAATATTGCTTAACAGTTTCAAAGACGTTTTTTATGATTGCGTAAATTTATTTTTACATATATTGTAACTTTACATGTATACATTATACAAAAAAATCATTAATTTTTAATAGCGCGAACTTTTTTTATAGACGTTTATATGGATAGCATAAATTTATTTTTACTTAGATTTTAACTACATATGTATTCTACATTTTAACTAAAAAATTCTAATATTGCTTAACAGTTTCAAAGACGTTTCTCTTGATTGCGTAAATTTATTTTTACTTAGATTTTAACTACATATGTATTCTACAATCTAACTAAAAAAATAAAAATTCTAATATTACAGTTTCAAAGACGTTTTTTATGATTGCGTAAATTTATTTTTACATATATTGTAACTTTACATGTATACAACATTATACAAAAAAATCATTAATTTTTAATAGCGCGAACTTTTTTTATAGACGTTTATATGGATAGCATAAATTTATTTTTACTTAGATTTTAACTACATATGTATTCTACATTTTAACTAAAAAATTTTAATATTGCTTAACAGTTTCAAAGACGTTTCTCTTGATTGCGTAAATTTATTTTTACATATATTGTAACTGTACATGTATACAACATTATAGCAAAAAAATCATCAATTTTTAATAGCGCGAACTTTTTTATAGACGTTTATATGGATAGCATAAATATAGCAAAATAGTCATTTATAATCAGAATTATAATTGTAGTTGACTATTGTATATGTATATCTATAGGTCTCATTATAAAGAATTTTGTTAAGCAATTAGTAAGAGTATGCAATACTATACATGTTGCGCGGGTAAAACTAGTATATATATATTTATATTGTTTTTTAAGTTTAAGTTATAAAAGTTTTGATTAAACAACAAAATTGATAACAAAATATAATGTCATGCTTTTGTTCTACTTTCAAATATCTAATATTGTTGTATTAAAATATTTAAAAAATTTTATTGCAATAAAACTTTGTTATAATTTAAATTAATAAATCTATTAATTATAAAACTTTAATTATTAGGTATTAAAATACCATTTTAGTCAATAAAAACATTAAGTTAATTTTAAACAATATTTTTCTATTTAGTTTAATTATTAATAAATAATATTGTTGTACTTTATAATATCGTGTGAACTTAACATTAGCATACTTTAATTTCAATAATTATTAAATAAATGATATTTTAAAAGTTAGATTAATATTAAATTAAATATTTTCACAATTATCAAAATATCTAAATAAATAATATCTTAATAAATATACAGTATATTATCTGTTATATTTTAGATTCAATTACTCTTTAAATGAATAATAATATGTATAGTAATAGTTATTTAAATAAATCCTTACCTTTTCTATATTATTCAACTAATTTGTAAACTATAATTAAATATAAAGGAAAATTAGTTATACTTATTAGTATTTAAGATTATTCTATTAATTTGAATTGAATTTGTCAAAGTTTATAGTGGATATATTTTTATGATTTATCATTATTTTAAACTTTTAAGTAATACTATTACGCAATTAAAAACAATAATAATAATTATTAAATTTATATAAATGTATTTTATATAGTTTTGACTATTTAATGAAATAAAATCGCAAATAATCATAACACTTAATTATATAACCCATATTCAATTTAATCGCTTCCTATTATTATAAATTTATTTACAAAATTTACAAAATTATTTATATATTGTATTAGCAGTAACGATATTTAAAATAATTATTTTACAGTTATATTTGAATGTTTGAGGAATTAAAAAAATATATATAATAATAACAATATATAATTTAACTATTAATAGTAGTTGTGCAATTTTAAACTATAAAATTGCTGTCAATAACTTAAATTGCTTAATTAAAAATTATTATATTTTATTTTTTAAATGTCTATATATAACCTTTATGTTATGACTTTATTATCACCTATATTTCAATTATACATTTCTACAATTATTTTGATTTATTTTAGTTATAATAAGAAACTAAAAACTATTTTATTTATAAAATGGATATAAAATTGCTTAATAAATAATAAAATGTAATAATACTGTACATTAAATATATATAAATAATAAAATAATTGTCTCATCAAATTTACAAAAATAGTTTTAATTTTTGGCATATAATATAAAAGCAATAATAATAATATAATTTGTCATAAAATTATTGGTTATTTGATAATAAATAAGATTATAATGATTATTCATTTTATTATAATTGTATAGTTACTGTTACTGTATATAATTTGGTGTATAAATCTATTTGACGTTAAATTACTGCTGATTAGTTCAAACCTCTTATATCAATATTTTTCTATAACCTATAACTAAGAGAACAATAAACCATTGATTTTTTCAATTAAATAAAAACACATTTTAAAAATAACATTATTATACAGTACTTAAAATATTCTTACAGTATATTTAAATAACTTTTATTTGAGGTCACATTATTGTCGGCTTTCTTTGAGTGATTCAATTGTCATTTAAAACGCTTTTTCATTTGATAGCTGTTTCATACGGTATATATATAATAAATTTATATATAATAAATTTATATATAAAATTATAAAATTTTCTAAACATATTAAAATTTTATTGTAATATTAATTTATTTATGATCTATATTTATTATTTATTACTTATTTAGGTTACAATACTGTAAATAATATTTTAAAATGTAAAGACTAAAAATAATAAATTTTTATTTTATATTCAAAGTAATTTATCCATAGTTAACAGATTATAATAAAATAAATATTTATCAATTTAAAATAGCTTTTATTTAGTTTTTATAATATGATTATTTAAAAAAATATTCATTTTTATATAAAAATATTAATACAAAAATTTATAAGAATAATGATAAAAAATAATGTCTGATGATAATAATTATTATTTATAAAACTTGTATAAATATTATGATAACAGAAAAATTGAATATGATATATTAAATAATTGTAMACAATTATAATGATAATTATATTAACTGAAATTATTATATAATAATAGCAATTATGGCACAAAGCCTGTCATTGAAAGATATTTTAGACATCAATTAATAATAAATTTATAAATACAATATATATGTTTATATTATACCGGTATATACTACTGTATATACTGTACTATTAATATAATCTACAACTTTACAAAAGTGTGCGCCTCTTATTAATAAAAAAAATATTTGATTGTTATTTGATTGTAACACCAAAAGCGATAAATAAAGCTTTTTCTAAATGTAAGACATTAGTGATTGAAAATGAATGTATTCACGATTTATTTAATTGATTGACTGTTTTTCTTTTTGCTGAAATACAAAACAAAACACATCCGATAATTAGGAATAAACCAAAAATAGCAGCGAAGGCAACAAACGGGTGCCAAATGGCACGGATTAATGGACTCGTCGTCTGTTGAATACTTGTGCCTAAAACTGAATAACAATTATATTTGTTTTTATTATATAAGACACGAATGGTTAACGTTGTCTATCATCTGTTATACCTTTATATCGAAACCATTTTAATATATTGACCTTTGATTGTATGCCACAGTCAGCCCTCACAAGAATGGCGTTTGGCTGTTGAACTATAGGGTTACGGCTGCACAGGTATGGCGGCGATAATGTCGAGTTGTTGTCAAACTCCCAGTTTATGAGTGCCTCGTGTGCCCATCGGGTCGGTGACAGGTAATTAAGCCAACGAGTGCCTAATGACAGATCCTTATAATGAAACGTTAGGCCTGAACTCAAGAAAATGATTGACATTATGAATGCCAATACTATAGCACCGGTCGATTGCTTATCAAAAGTCCAAACTATAGCTATTGTAATGATTCTTAGTGTTAGCAAATAAGATATGATTAATAGGAGATAAAATGATAGGTTTTGTTGGAGACCAGCCATTGAACAGGCGGGTAATGCAAACGCTATGTACACTATCACACTCTGAGGCAATGAATATATCAATTTTGACATAAGATATGCTGTTTTGCCATAAAATCGATGCTTCACTTCACTCAACACGTATTGCTTTTCTTTATGAACTATTGGTTAATACATATTCATTAGTCATAATTAAGTTATCAAATATTTAAATTATATAAATACCATCTTTAAGTTCAATTAACATTAGAGGAACTGAAAATATAGTTAAGATTGCTGTGTAAAAGCCAATGCGATCCCATATGTACTCCTGTTCCCGACCACCCCTTACGTGCCAATATATGACACCACACATAACTGATAGACATAATGCAAATAATATATTGAAAAATATATTTATGACATTATAAGGAAACGTGAATATCATTGCCCGACTATTTAAAATAAGATARTTATTTGCAATTATTTATTATCATAACTATAACTTTATAAAACTTACATCCAAATGGCAAGAAATTGTATGAAAATATTTGCTCTTTTTATAGAAGGAGGTGTTATAGATGGAGGACCGGGAGGTGATATTGCAGTATTAGGTTTGCGCGCATATAATTCAACTAAGCTCTCGATTCTTTGACTCGACTCAAGCATTGCTTCTGAGCTCAAGTTGTCGAGTGTAACCAAATCAAGATAATAGTCACTCGGATTTTTAAATGCAGGACAAGGAAAGTCTATTTGCGAAAAATATGTCAACAATTCACTCCTTTTACCAAAATATACAATTCTTCCCGAAGATATCAATGCAATCCTCGAAAGCATTGTGAAGATCTCATAAGTAGACGGACTGATTGTCATAATAACACATCTGCCGCTTATTAGTGCCCATTGTCTTAAATATTCAATTAAGAAGAATGTGTCGAATATATCCATTCCTTTGGTTGGCTGATCCAAAAGCAAAATATCTGTGTCTAACAATAGATTTATAGCTATAAGAAGACGCTTTTTCTCAGCGTCTGTTAGATCACTAATACATGTGTGACGAACTTCGCTCAGACCTAACTCTTCTAACAGAGCATTGGTTCGCTTTTTGGTATCAAATGAGCTCTTTTTGGTTGGTTTTTGGACTAATGAGGTAAATAACAGTGCCTGACGTGTAGACATGTTGGGACACATACATGTGTCTTGACTCACATACGCCAACAATTGTGAGAGACGTTGGCCACTGACAGTCACACCATTTAAAATAAATTCTGCCTTAACTTTACCCCGAAATTTGTCGAAACGGTTCGATAGAATATCCAATATTGCCGTTCCCTCCGATTCTATATAATTAATAAATATTTACAATAACACAACAAAAATCATTATAATTATAATAATACTAAACAATTATATTTGTTTGTCATGAAAAATATTATTATTTTATAAATAATCTATTCATCAATCATTCAGTATATCAATATATATTTATACTGTATATATTGAATATATCAATATATAGAAACAATATATCAAAATGTTAAATATTATATTAATAAAAGCATAAAATTTCCATAACATTAATTTAATCGTCGTTTAATGAAAGGGCTGGTCCTGTAATTGTCTTTTTTAAATATAATTTATTTCTCATTAAGCAAATTAAAATAAGTGCCAAATTAGATTTTAGCGGTTAAAACAATAATTGCAAAATAGTGACACAATTGTCACCAATTTATATGTAGGCTAAACAGTAAATGAAATACATARTTATATTTATTCCTAAACTGATTAAAACAAAACACAAACACTTTATTATTATTTTATTAGTATATCTTGATTTTAAACTATTATTATAAAAAACTAGATTTTGTAGTAATCTTTGAAAGCTTAGAAATTAAAAGGCGTTTTCTATTAAATTATTTGTTGAAAGCATTAGTGAATTATAAATATCTTATATTTAAGAAATATTTTGAATTGTGTTCTATTTTTTATTATTTTTATTAAAAAAAAGTAAAATAGCAATAATACTAATTTTATTTTTAAAATAATATAAATTAATAACAACTATATCCTTATACGCTATCAATTGCTAACCTTGTATTCTATTTTTTTTATTAATAAATTAAGTCATTGCAAAAAAATAACTTTTTAATATATAGAAAATGATTGATAAAATATTTTTCAATAAATGATATAAAAATAAAATTGCAAAAAGCATTCATTAAATGTATTAACTAAACAACGAATTTATATGTAGATTGTTGATAATGTATTTTTAATTATTATAAATAGTTATTAAAAATAAATAAAATATTTAATAAGTAAAAATTATAAATATTATCTTTTATAAATAAAAAATGAGATATAATAAAAATAATATCTTTTTAGTAATTTAAAAATTTATCTTAATAATTATTTTGATGAAATGTTTAAACTAGTTATCAAAATCAATTACAAAATTTTATTCCCTATAGATATCAATAATATTTTTAAAGATTTTAGTCAAGATTGTTATTCTTTTAAATATAAATATTTATATATTATCTATTAATTGTTATGTGAAAATAATTATCTATATATTTATTTACATTAATTATTTAATATATTTTTAATGTGATTATTTCCTTAATAACTAAATTACTTCACGATAAATAATAATTTATTGTTAAATTGTATATCAATACTGTAGTTAAAATATTAATAGTAGTTAATTAAATACATGTATATTATATACAGTATATATAAATTATAAATAAATCGGTAAATACTGTATATGTATTTAATAAGATTTATATAAGATTAAGTATATTATATTTATAATAAATAAAACATTTTTTATTATTATTAAGTATACAAAAATAATTAAAAATAATTATACGCTATAGGAATTTAAAACTATAAAAATAATATTTATTTTTATTAAAATTTCTAGATAAACACAAATTTTATAATTAAATAGTTTTAAAAAATAAACAAAATCATAACCTTAAATTATGTCTATACCCTGATCAAACCAGCGTAACCATAGTTTGCATAACAAATAAAAACCATATAAATTACATAAAATTAAATTTTTTAGTGAGAATTTTACTACCGTATAAAAGCTGTGACAAAACACATAGGAAAATGATTTTATTAATCTTTTTATTAATTTTAAAACTAAAAATTTAATACCAAAAGTTWATTCATCATAGTATGATAATTATAAAAAGTTATATAAATTTAACTATAAAAACAACATATAATTGTTTTGCTATACAGTTGTAAGTGAAGTAGAAAGTAATTTAAAAATTTCTGAAAATTTTAATAAAGTTTCTTTTATTTTGTTTTGTTTTATAAACTTTGTTATATATTTGTGAACTTAAAAAAGAAGCCACAATTTAAATGTTGAAATAGTAATTAACTTTTGTTGTCTTGGAGTTAAAATAAATAATCTACTGTAACTATGTGTAAATATACTGTAAATATTATAAATTTTAATGTATAATAAAAATAATCAATTAATGCATTAACAATAACTGTTTAGAAAGTTTTTAAGTAAATTTTTAGGAAAATTTCTCATAGAAAATTTATAATATTTAACATGTGTTGAGTACATTCACTCGTTATATGAACTCATAGCAAATATGACACCAAAAATGCTAATTCATTGAGAAATGAGTTCAMATTATAATAAAAAGTGAGGAAACTTATAATTTGCAAACAATTCCCACAATTAATATTCATATCATATATATATTATAAAGATTGACCACTTGTTATATAATATAATTTAATACATGTATATATAATTTAGTGTTTGTAGTAAAACATATGATTCATTCAACAAATAAATGATTTAAGACTTACCACAAGTAGTCATAAGTGCGAGCATTTCGCCGGCTCTGACATCAAAACTTAAATTATCGAGAATTTTGAGTTTCTGTCGGCGGACACCACATAGTCGGCGCCAATTAGACGACTTGTCCACCTCGTAGTACAGGTTTCTTACAATAAGATGAGGATGTTTTGCTGGCATAGCACCGGTCATATCGAATTGAGAGATGGAAATGCCATCGTTTTTTATACCATTTAATTTGCTATTAAATCTGACATCAGTCTCACTTTGAGACTTATTGTAGCCATTAATCAATGATTGACTCGTTATATGCTTGGGTTCTGGTCTTTGATGGTGTCGATGGTTGCGCTCGTAATGTCCATTCATGAGTGTTGACTCTGTCTGTGCTCTCAACAGATCCGGATCACTCTTCCAAATTCTTTTGGCTTCTTTGTGTTGCATATATGGAGATTCAGAGGCATTGCTTGAGTCAGTGAATGTCTGACCAATAGGTTTAATGTGACTATTGATGTGTTCAGTTGTTTGTGCGGTAGTACTCATGCCATCAGCCTTTCTGATGACTCCGATCTCACTTTGTGTAGCTTTAACTCGAGGTAAGCCAAACCTGAGATATGTATAGGCGTCCTGATTCTTGATTCGGGGGCCATATTTCGGGTGATTTAATATATTGTTGGCCGTCGACTCTTTTAGTTGAAAGTTACCAAACGGTCGCTCAGAGTTTGAGCTTTTATTGACTCCGAGGGCACTCTCACTGAAGTCTGCGTTTAGATTCTGTCTATATATAGACCACGCATGAAGATCTTCAGATGTATTAAAACCAACGTTTCCTCCGGTGTAAGGCATTGAGTATTTTCTATGGCCCTCTAAATCCCACATAATATTTCTTACTATTTAATACAACAAACAAAATAATGAAATTAAAAAATAAAAAGTTATTTGAAAACATGCAAAACATATGTATAATATTGTAACTTAACATCAGATAAACAATCCTTAAAATATTAAGACTTTCACTAAACAATTGGATCATTTACTTTGAAATTCATGTTTTCAAAACAATTTGAATTGAAATTAAGTTCTGAAATCCAGTTTAATTACATTTCAAAATCTTTAATACAACTAATAATTTTTTATTGAAAATATTTTTACAAAGTCTTGTTATATAAATTTTCTTTGAATAAAAATTTTAAATATAATAAAAATATACTCCCAATAGTTTTATTTTAATAAATGTTATATTAATAATATAGGATTATTTGTAAGCTGTAATGAATATAAATATTTTAAAAATGGTTGGTTTTAATGCTAATTTTATTACAAAAATGTTTATTACTGTTAGCATAAATTGAATATGTTATTTAACGGTTAATTAAACATAATATTATCATWTATTACATGATTATGATCTTACATTTGTTGACATAACTAATAATTTTTATATCAATTATCTAATATACTGTGTGTGTGTTTGTGTGTAATTCATGGTTAAAAATAGTTTGTTTTACATGAAAAAAATGTAATTCTAATCAAAATGCAAACCTGGATTATTTCGACTAAACATAAATAACTAGTGATTATTTTTAAACATAAATTTTCAATATTATTGTATACTAAACAAAAAAACAAAAACAACAAAAATCATATAATAATGTAGTAATAGTAATCTAACAACTTTTTAATTTAACCACTTGTTTGGCATTATTGATAACTGAGTGTATAGTTTGTTCAATAGGATAATAAATCAGAATACCGGTAGTAATTTTAGGTAAACTATGGGAAATATTTTTCATAAAAATAATACAATACATCGTCCAAACTCTAGTTTTTTTGGTTTATATACTGTATATATCATATATATTTTAAAAATGTTATATTTTTAATTTATAAATACATTATTCCAGACAACAACTGGTTGTTTGTTTCATATAATGTTATAAATAGCAACGCAATAACATATAATTTTGCAAATTGAAAAAAATTGTCATTTTTTAAATTAAGTTATACTAAAATTAGCCGATTTTTATGTAAGTTTATACTGTATATATTCATTGTAGCAAATACACTACAATAAAAATATCTATTAATAATTTTAAATAAAAAAGAATATTTATACAAATAATATTAATAAAAGTAGTTTTTAATCGTTAATAATGTAATTCAAAAGCAATTATAAATATATTAAATTACATAAAAGTAAAAGTTATTTTTAGGATAAATAATTCCCATACTAAACTAAGTGTCATATTTTATTTACACTTATAATTAATTTTTATAAAAGCTGTTAAATTTGAAGATCAAGTTTAATTGACAATAAAGATAATGTCACATTGATTAATAGGTTTAATTTATATTTAACGTTACAAAATAAAAACGTTATAAAAGTAAGTATTCATATAAATCTATAAAATTATTTTTAATATACTGTCAAATATTTATATAAAGTAAATTTATAATTTAAAAATATTTATTTGTAATAATGAATATATAATAATAGTATTAAGAAATATAATAAATTATTAAAACAAAGATATGGATGACAAACCTCATTGAAAATGCTGTGATATTAAACAAATATAATAACAAATATTTAAAAGTATTGTTATGATGAGTGAGATGTCTATTAGATTGAATCAATTATAACATAATATAAACTATAAGAACATAGGGTCTGATGTATCGCTACAACGATTTATAACAAAACTTTGATATAAACTTTTATCTGTGAATATAATTCAAATTTTAATGGCTTTCGGTGTTTTAAAAGGAGAAAAACAAAATGAAAGGAATTTTTGACTCATGTAAGCCTTGCCTCAGTTGTACAGACAGTTGTATGGGCACAGGTAGGCACAGGTAGGAGACGAGTGTCTCTCAAATTTTTCTCACTCTCTTCTAACTACAGGTACTTCTAAACCATTATATTATACGTATGTTTTGTTAGGTAAAAGGTATGAGCTGTTCATCAAGAGTTTACACAACAGGTAGATATTGCGAGTGCATAGTTGTGTGAACTTACCAATAGGATTACCCCAACTTACCAATAGGATTACCCCATCTCCGACCTAATTATAGCCCGAACGTCGTCGACCTCCATAAGCAAACCTGTTCTCTAATATCTATCAATACAAATGAGGCGTTCTCTCCATTTCTAATTCAACTTTTATTCAATTGTTTGACAACATTATGTAAAAATATTTATGTTTATTGTAAAACCAACATTCAATTCATAGTTTACATCAATTTCTTAATAATTTATATTAATTAAATTTGTCAATATTAGAGATTTGCAGCAAATATTAAATAATTATTTATTATTAATATTAATAATAATCGATATTGTGTTTTGTTTTAGAGAATAACAATAGCATTGAGAGTTACGCTTCGATACATTAAAATCGGTTTTAATACCAAACAATCAACCAATTGATTTACAAAACATTTTATACGGATTTAATTTTTTTAAAAGCATTTAATTTTTCGATGGACACTATATATTGTTGTCATAACCTATTTTAATTTGATTGTGATTTTATCATTTTATTAAAGCTTTAGGTAAGAGTTTTCTAATGTATTATTTTTTTAAACACATATATTTTTTGTAATTAATTAAATTACTTTATTTTCATGTAAAGTTTGTAGATTAAAGTTAGGGTAAAAAAGTAAAATTTATTTAAAAATTACTTAATTGTTATTTTTATGATTAAATCAGTGATTAAACAACGTATTGTACTTAATAACAAATTATTAAGTTTTAACAGTTTTCTTAACTTAGTTTATTGTTTTTATTTTTATATATTATTTAATATAATGTCTGTTAAAATTTAAATCAATGAAATACTAGAATTTTTTAAATACATTTATGAAGGCTTAAAATTTTAACCTAGATGATAAAATATTTACAATTTTTATGTAYAGTAGATGGATAATTATTGTATTTTAGTTTTTAATTCTTTATCTATAATATTTTTAAAATTTTTATATATTTAAATGATAAGTAGATAGAGATAGTAATAAACGTGAAAAACTAATAAGTAATAATAATTTTATTTAATATTAATTATATAATTTTTGTGGTTTTAAATAGGTAAAAATAATAATTAAAATAGATTTTTTAAAATTATATATACGGTATATRRATTAAAAGTGAGATAACTTGAAAACTACATTGATAAACATATTGTTTTACAGTATATATTAACTTAGTGTCAATTTCATATAAAAAACTTAAATGCAATATAGATTTATGTTAGAAAATTGTTTAAACTTTATCATGATTTTTATTTATTTTATTTTTTTGGTAATATTACTTATGTTAACTAATATGACTTTATTGAAATTAGGATGAGTTTTGGAGCACCTGCTGGTGTGGAAACACTAACAATTCCACATATGCTTGAACTTATAGGAGTATCTCATAGCGGACCAATTGTGCCCAACAAGACATCGTTTTGGTCTAAATTGACCGGATCTATAGCATCGGGACTAATACTTAAAGATATATCATGTGAGGTATCATAAAGTATATTACAATAATACAAAAATACAATTTATAATAATTTATTAATTTAATAATATTTTAAAAATGAACTATACTTTTAGATTCCTTCGGGTGAAGTAATGGCTATTTTAGGAAGTAAAGGTTCGGGTAAGAAAACATTGATTGATGTGATGGGTCATCGAGTAAATCAAGGTAGCACTAGAGGTCAGATCCTATTAAACGACGTTCCTCTTACTCTACGGCTATTTCAAGAACAGTGCGGTTTTGTATCGAAACGAACGCAACTCATTGACGGTTTAAGTGTAAGACAAACACTGACTTATGCCTCTCATATGACTATTAGAGGTAAAGGTGCTCTGAAACGGGGTCGGGTTAAGCAAGTGTTGGCAGATCTGGCCCTAACAAGTGTCGCCAAAAGAGATGTCATAGAATTGAATGTATCGGAACAAAAACGTCTGGCAATTGGCTTACAGATCATTAGAGATCCATTACTTCTGATTTTAGACGATCCGACCAAAAATTTAGATCCGCTTAACACTTATTTTGTTGTTTCAATTTTATCAAATCACGCTAAGAAATACCAGAGAATAGTTATCCTAACTATGGATAAGCCGCGCTCTGATATATTCCCATTTCTTGATCGGGTCACCTATTTATGTCTGGGAGATGTTGTCTATACTGGAAGTACTAGAATGATGATGGACTACTTCAGAAATATCGGCTTTCCCTGTCCAGAATTGGAGAACCCATTAATGTATTATTGTAAGCATTAATATAATGTAAACTTTTCATAGTTTTGATATTTGTTTTAAATTTAACTAATTATATAATTTTTTCAGTGTGTTTGTCAACAGTTGACCGCAGAAGTAGAGATAGATTTATTGAGTCTTCAGCCCAGATCGCGGCACTGGTCGACAAATTTAAAGTTGAAGGACACGAATACCGCAAATATATGGCAACTCCTTTGCAAAGTCCAGTAAATATTCCTTTGACGGCATACGGAAAGGCCTCGTCGTGTAAAGTAATGACATCATTAATCTCTCGACAATTCACATCAATGTTCACTATGAAGAAGCTATTCATCCGTATATTAGTGATACCAATGTTCTGTGCATTGCTTTACTGCTTCATAGCTCCGGTATTAGACAACACACAGAACTCATTGCAGTCACGAACTGGTCTTATATTGAATGTGTTGTCTGCCATCACTTTTATCGGTCCGGCGATCACAGCATACAATTGTAAGTATCAATAATTCTTATAAAAACAACTTTTTATTAAATTTATTGAGAAAATGATTAAAACGATTGAATTGAATAACATTTGAGGCATTACTCGATTCAGTTGCTTCACATCGAAACCGTTTTTATGAAGAATCGTCGCGTTTGGCCTTATATAGGGGTCCTATGTTTATAATCACACAAATCATTTCTAATTTACCACTAACTCTACTCTCTGTATGCTTGGCCGCAACCATTGTCTACCTGTGCACACCGTTACGCTATGACGACTACTGGATTGAGAGATGGAGTATATTTTGTGCTATACTTTGGGCTATATATTCATTTACAGAACATCACACCATTGCTATCATGTGTTTTATCAAATCACCCTTTATGTCTACCGTCACCTCTATATACTTACTATGCTTTTATTTAGTATTGGGAAGTACTACTTTAAGGTCTATGTTGGCGGCACCCGATTGGCTMTATTATATTAACTTTGGTAACATCTACTACTGGTCCAGTTGGACATTACATTTCAATGAATTTCAATACAATGAAGCACTTGTAAGGACACCATTCATAACAGACAACTCAACAATGGAGTCATGTTTGGCTAATATAATACCCGGTAAATGTGTTTTCTTGAGTGGMAATCACTTTTTGGACCAACGTCTCCGGGATGTTAAGGATATACAGGAGTGGTCTATAATTCATTGGAAAAACTTTGCTTTTATTTACATTTTTGTAATCGCTATGTATTTATTTAATACTATCATATATATAGTCCCACTTCCGGCTTCACTTAAATCAAAATTTCGCGATTAATTAATTTATCATTTTTTCATAAAAACACAATAATTAGTTTTTCCATAAGTCCTTGCGTTCYGTAAGTCCATACAATTTGAGTAAAAAATACGCAGACTTTCCAAAAAATAGTAAATATATTAATATAAGACTTTATAACTGTAGTAATACTGTATTAGTTATATAGAAATCATTTTATATAAAATCTCTCATCTATTTTATAATATAAATATAATATTTCAAATTAATATGTATTAGCAAAACAGTTTATTATGTATTTAAATATTGTATATATAATTTTATAATCATTTGACAATTAAATTATAATAATGCAAATTATTTTTATAAATAAAATACTCAAATAGTTAATTTAGTAAAAATGACATCAATGTCAATTCAATTGTTACAATAAAAACCAATTTATCGCAAATAATAAATGTTGTAACAAATAATGAGTAATGAACTATTTTAATAAAATATCAATTATAAATAAATGGCAAAAATCGTGTTTTAGGCAAACCATTTATATTTATACTCAAAGTAAAAATCATTTCATATGAGTTCAAGAGTTACTATAAAGTGTATTATATTATATATACAATTGAATTGATTTTTACTTAATAATACAATATATAAGTTTCAGTCAATTACAAAACAATCAACTTTCAATAATAAGGCTATATTTATGTGGTTAACCAGATAAATATATAAATATATGGAAATCATCCTATTTTCTATCATTGATTTTAAAAGTAAATAAAATCCAATAATAATGGCTATATTATATACAAATACTAATATATTGCATTGATTTATTGAAAACATAATGGTTATTTTTAATCTTAAATTTACTAACCATTAAACTACTGTAGTTTTTAAGTTTGTTAAATTAAGTAGTAAGTAATCTACAATTCATTATTATTAAATCTAAATACATTGAAAACAATATTTCATGATATATTATATCTCAAATATATGAAATCTCATAAATTATCATCTATTTTTCAAATCATGCCGTATAGTTAATATTAAATCATATATAATCATTAATGTTATTTTCCACAATTGGTCTCATAAGTGGACACTTTATTTTTGAGTACAATAAGTTGTTGTCTCAATTCAAAGTTATCTTTGAGAGCGTCATCCCTTTCCTGAGCCAACTGATCGAACTCAGCTCTCAAGTCATTATCGTCGAGACAAAGAAGTCTTTTCATTTGATTGATGTCTGACTGATGACTCTCAACCTTAGCGCTGACTCTCCTTTTCAAATCATTAATTTCATTGACCAGAGCTATGCATTGATTTTGAGAAGTATTCAAAAAGTTTTTCTTGAGAGACGACCGCAGAGCTGACACATTGTTTTGTGACTCTTTAAGTCTGTTTTGGACTTTTTTAAGCTCTCTTTCGGCATTTTGTTTGGCATTGATAGCCATTTCTAATTTCAATTTCAAATTATCCTTATCTTTATCAGTCAACCCATTAGACAACTGTTTTGTTTTGGTGTTGACTCTCTTGAGCTCTAAATATCTCTTTTTCCAGAGATTCCAATCACGAGATATTTGTTCGATGTCTAGACTATTACAACCCATTTGTCCGACCATTTCAAACAAATTATTCATTTCAATGTCAAAATAATCAATACTTTTGTAATTATTTGTAATATAAATATTGTTTGGCTTAATATCTATTTGATGACAACTGTTAGCCATATTTTGAGTCATTTCTGTGGATTCAATGCTAACCTCATTGTTATCGACATCTTCTGCTTCTAATATGACTTTTCCTGTTTCATCCACTTCTAACTCAACATTAAGATGATCACAGAAATTATCAATTTCTTCTACTTCTTCTTCGACATCATTGCTATACTCATCATTTGCAACAATTACTTCATTATTATTAATATTATTGTCAACACTTTCAACATCACAAATGTTAGTCTTAATCTTAATGTTGTTACCGATTGTTTTAATCTTTTTGATTGGCAATGCATTAGTGGACAAATCAATTGATTTATGTTTTTTATGACCATTTGGTAATTGATTGTGAATTAGAGACAATCCTTTGTGATTAACATTTTTTGATACATTTGTGACACCCATTGGCCGCACGCCTTGAGATCCGACATCAATGGACAGTCTCGAGTCATTTGGATGGTGCAGATGATATCCGGCAGTGGAACTGATAATGTCATTAATGGTAACAATAGTGGCCTTACATCCTTTGGTTCGGCACTTCCAGTATGACCTTTCGTCCACACTTTTGTTTATATGATAGAAGAAACCGCCCAAACATAAGGCCCGACCGTTCCGACGGGTGGCCACAAATGTGACGCCACTGTCGATCACAGTGTTGCCGCTCATTGTCCAAATGCAACCACTAATTGTTCCGATGAGTGATTTTGCCGATATGTGGTCAACAATACAATTGGTTTTTCACACAAGTTTTGTCACAACAATAACAATACAAAACATAATAATAAATACATTGTTTTGTTTTCACTAATGTTTTCTATTATTAAATATTAATATCACAAACATTTACACTCAATATCTCACATAAATCACGACTTTTTAGTTGAATTTGTTATTAAACTTTTAATTTTATTTTAAATTTAATTTAATTGAGTTATTAATATAATATTTAATTGATTGATAAAATATGTGATCATTTTGATCGATAGTCAGAGTAATTAATGTTAAAAACTCTACTGATTTCTAATGATATGTAATCACTAAACATGTGATGTATTTGAATGAATAAACCATTGGTTGACATAAAAGTGTTTTCACACAACATATGACTCAATGATCTGATATTTGATTTGTTTTTTACAAACTTTTAAATTATTTAAACATTAAGTTATAACTAAATGATTGTATTATTGTTTTAATTTTGAAAAGTATACTCAAATGGTAGCAACAGTTGACTGTCAAAGAAGTTAAATCAATTGATAATACAGATGAGTTCATCTGAGCGACCATTATATCGATCACCTTTGGTGTCCTCTCTGTCCACACCCGAAGTGTTTCATACATTCATTACAAATCACGAGAAGGGACTGAAGGATGGCTTTTATAACTCCATTGCATTGATATTCTTGATGTTTGTGGTGATTGTCATCTATAACTGCTATTGGATTCTTCAGCCATTTCTTAGACCTCTTGTATGGGCAATACTTTGCGGATCAGCTCTTCATCCGTTTAAACGACAACTACAACTATGTTCGCAAAAGTGGATAACAGATCTGAAAAGTGATGGCAAACCCATAACATTGGGTACACTATGTCTACCATTGATTATTATCAACAGTGGACTCGATGTGATAATTGGTTTTATTGTTAAATATTGGAGAATATTCTTATCCATTGCTATATTCATATGTTTTCATCACTTATCTATCAATTCATTAATTTTTGATATGTTTTATGATATGAGTTATAAGTTGGCCATCAATGCCATCAATTTAATCACTTTATTATTATTTTGTTTAACTAACACTAATAATACAGTTTACATAATAACATTAATAATAGTTTATTTTACTATTTTATCATTTGGTTTGTTTGATTCAACAAAAATTATTTTCTCAATGTTGTCATCACTTGTTTGGCTAATAGTGTTAATTCATGTGATATCACTATTTGGTACTTCCGGACAAATTTTATTTTTATTATTTATTTCAATTATAATTATCGGTCTTTTAAAGACTTTAATTACTGGTCAATCTATTTCTGGTTCTAACGATCAAACAGATGGTTTAGTTGATATGTCGATTAAACTCAAGAATATATTTAATTCTATGATCGTGTCATTCAATAATTTTATTCGTTATAAGGATACTGAAGAACCAAATGAAGAAATAGAAGATAAAAGTGGCGAAAATGTTAGCAATGATGAGATAAAAATGTATAAATCTGTTGCCACGAGTCCACAGAACTGGTCTGAAGTTAGCAATGAATCTATTAGTCGGAGGAGTAGTAATGTCTCAAATAAATCTTATACTAAAAACCAAAGCAATACTTATTTATGTACTGTTTTATGGGCTGTTGTTTTTGTCCAACTTTGGTCTCATCGAAGTATCATTTATTTGGTTTTGATTCCCATTGTATTTAAATCATTGATTATATTCTCATCTTATTTATCAAGTCTTTTATTTGAAGAAAAAGATCGACTCATTAGATATATTGAGAAAAAAAGTGAAGTTATTTTCACACCATTTATACAAAGACTTTGGAATTACTTCAAAATTGGTGATAAACTGGTAATCAATTTAATTTATACCGTAATTCAATATATTTATTATATTCATTAAAATAACATTTTTAAAAAGATAATGGATCTGATAGAGGCATCGTTGAACAGTTTRACCAGTTTATCAGTTATATGTCTGACTGTTATCTCAATTTTATTTATCGGAATATTCATATCAATTCAGGTATTATTAAATATAAATTAATTCAATAATATATTYTCAAAAATAAWTTAATAATAAATTACTTAATATCTAACTAACGTATTATTTATTTGCAATGCATACAATTTTTACTGTATTTTTTTATAAAAGATTTATGGAGAAAGCTTGCAATTAGTTAATTTGATGGGAAATATATTTAATAAAACAATTAGCTATTACCCAGAAGCCACCCAATTGTTACCCGAAAGTATAAAAGGAGTGGACGGCATGTTGGATCAGATGGTCAAAAATGGTTATGAATACGGGCGACAATATATTAAAAATTCCATAAGAAATACATTAGACGTCGACTCTAATGTCACACAAAGTAAAGCCGTTGAAAAACAAATACTTGAAGTAAGAGTTTTAAACCCAAAATATATCTTAAAATTTATTATATTTATATTTTTAAATTTTAATTACCGATAATGTAAATTATTTATATGTGACGGTAATACTTATTTAGATATGGGACAGGGCTTACCATTTATGGCTTATCCGTAACACAAATGAGACCAATTCGGTGCCTAAGAAGGGCCCGTATGAATTTGATAAGCTATACAACGCATTCAAGACATTGAATTTAAATCTTGTCTTCAATATAGTCAAAGAAAATATCGATACATTGATCTCAATATTTGAATCCGTATGGCTTCTCCTAAAAGGCAATATCTCATTATTATTTACAGCTTTGGCCGCCGTTTTCTCCACATTATTAGGCGGCGGATTAGGTCTCATGAATTTAGTCTTAAGTTTTGTGAGTTTATTTTACTTGTAATTAATAAAATTTATTTATAGAAATAACATTTACTTATAAAACAGATAATCTTCACGACTGCTCTCTTCTATTTATTGTCTGCAAGTGGAGAGTACTATAAACCGGTAGAACTGGTAAATCGTATATTTCCTTCAGAAGTGACTTCACAAGAAGTGAGTGTTAGTTCCAACAACAAGTTGGGTCGTGCGGTTGAAGAAGCTATAAATGGAGTTTTTACCGCATCTCTTAAAATGTCCGCATTTTATGGACTTTACACTTGGCTGACACACAGATTATTTGATGCAAATATTGTTTATATACCTTCAGGTAATTTAGATTAAAAAATACTGAAACATTATTTTTAACWTTATTTCAAATAATGACAGTAATGGCGGCCACATTCGGTGCCATACCATTCCTCAGTGCCTTTTGGGCCTCTTTTCCTGCTTTTTTGGATCTATTCTTTGTTCAAAATGAGACAACAAAAGCTGTTTTATTGTTAATAGTTGCCTATACGCCCTCATTCTTTGTCGACTCAACCATATATAGTGAGATTAAAAGGTAAGTCAATTAGTTTTTGTTATTTGATTGATTAGTTCATAACTTTTATGATATTTCAGTGCAGGACATCCATACCTAACAGGTCTGGCCATTGCGGGTGGAGTTTTCTACTTGGGTTTTGAAGGGGCACTTATTGGACCTATTCTTTTATGTTGTCTGTTTGTGGCCTTTAATATTTACAGCTCTATTATGCAGGAAAGTACAGCACCGACGGCAACAACAGGTCACTCACATTCGCACAAAAGAGATTTATTTAAACGAATGTTATCACAAAACTAATTACCGTAACTGTAATTATTAAATAATAATAAATTATATTTATTTTATTTACAAATTTATTAAAACAATTTAGAGATGAGACTTGAAGTTTAACCGATACAAAGTTTTTTCCTTCCTCTGACTCGAACCGCTTCCAGTCTTTTTAAGACATCGTCTTTTGCTTTTGCTTTAACGATACTCTTATCGTATTCGTCCAGAAGTTTCACAAAATTAATGTTTGGATAAGAATTTTGAATAACTCTTTCCAAAACATAGAGATCAACGGCTCTGTCCTCAGCTGTTGTAGAGAATGACGACAAACCAAAGTCTATAGGAATCAACTGATTGTCTTTTGTGATCATAAAGTTAGAAGTGGTTAAATCGCCGTGAATTACACCACAATTATGTATCCACGATATTGTTTGTCCCATATTTGCCATCAATTTATCTATCATTTCATCGCTATGTTCTTCAGATAGATATTTGGAAACATTGACTGAGTTCTCGATTCGGGTCAGTATTATGTTATTTTCGTCGACAAATTCAACGGTTGGGACCAATAAACCCAATTCTTGTGACTTTTCTTTAATTTTTTTAAGAGCTTTAACTTCAGCTCTAATTCTTTCTTTGGTTATCTTTGAGTCCAATTCTTTAATTCTGTAATTCTTAACAAACCTCTCCTTCTTCACTACATTTCTTCCGTTATAAACTCCAACCCAAAGACGAGACTCTGCGCCTTGAAATACAAGAGTCCACTCATTGTTATTATTATTATTAGTAGCCTTAGAGCCACTCTTATGACTTGTATTGTCACTATTATGACTGTCATCCAWGTCATCCAAGTCATCCATGTCTTTAATCTAATCTATTTATACTCCAAACTAAACAATGAATTAACATATTCTTTAAATTATCTTAAATTAAAAGCAAATCTCTGTATAAACACAATGTTATTCACCGCTAATATATTGCAATCGTATAATTAGTCCTTTAAGTTACAGATTCTAATAGAGTTGATGTTAGAAAAGGTCTTAATGTTAAATGTTTTGTAAAGACAACACAACCACGTGTTTGGCATTTCATAACACAAATACAAAACGTTTTTTCAATCAATTGAATGAATGGTTTAATTGAAGACTAAATGATAATGAATGTCGAGTACTCTTTGGGACCCTTTTGTAATTGGTTTCTTCCGTCGTGTCTCGATATCTGGTCATCACGTGATGGTCAACAGGTGTTGTGTTCATATGGCGCCCGATCTATGGTTTGTTTGATGTCTATAACTGAGACCAAAGCTCTTAAATGTTACGATAGTTTAAATGTCTTCAACAACAATAAATCTATCATTTCTTGTAATAAATTCAACAAAAGATCACACGAACCCTTTCTTTTCATTGGTTCCAATGATGGTGAGGCAGCTGTTCTTGAATGTAATACACGACAAGTTATTTACCAAAAAGAGACAATCAATGATTTTTCATTACCATCGAAGAAGGTGTTGTCTGCAGATTGGTGTGTCTTTAATGACAACTCTATTGTCTATTACTCAATACATTCTTTGGTTATTTGTTGGAATCTTAACACAAAAACTGTTAATAAGTTAAAAATAGGAGAAAATTATGAGAACAAGATTGCCATTTCTTGTATTGTCGCCTCTCATTGTGGTCAACAAAAGTTGGCCATCGGGTATGTCTTATATTTGATGCGAAAATGTATTACATTGACTAACACTAAAATTTTTTATCAGATATATGAACGGAGATATAATTATCATAACTCTTGAAAATATGTCCCAAAACACTGAACATGTTCTTAGCGGTCATAACGATGACATATGTTCTCTAGCGTTCAGTTGGTCTAAAGGTCACTACGAAGAGGGCATTTTGAGTTCAGCCTCACGGGACGGATTCGTCAAAGTGTGGGACGTTTACAACAGACACAACATTGCAGACCTTAAATTAGATGCAAACAAATTAAAGCAAAAGAATTGGTTTTCTTTAGCTGTTATTCCTATGAAAGCAAATGAAGGAAACAAGAGTTCAACAAAATTTGAAATATTGATTGGTTCGGGAAATGGAGACGTCCTCTATATTGAAATACCGACCAAACCTCCCGACAGCAAAATACGTGTTTTTAAACCTTTAAATTTTAGCAGAAGTAAAACTTATTGTCATAATTCAGTCATATTTAGCATATCTGTAGACTCGAGAACAATGACTGCAATAACCACATCATTGGATCACAATATAGTTATTTGGGATCTCATTGAAAGAAAATCCGTTAACTTATTCAATACATTTAGTCATGGAGTGCATGACATTTCATTTTCACCAATAGCTCCCTATAGAGTGGCCATTGCTATTGGCGAGTGTTATCAGATTATTAGATTTGATGAACAATTAAATGTTGTGAATCAACGCAGATATCAATTAGTTAACAGAACTAAAGATATAAAAACATTGGCTATTGTTTGGCATCCTATATATGAAAATCGTTTGGCTTACGGCTCATCGCTCGGAGATATTGTTGTAATTGATTTGAATTCATCACAAAAGGCACCCAAATATAGTACCAAACGGACATCATTTGACAATACAAAAGTATATGCATTATTATGGGGACCATCTTTTGAAGATAATGAAGAATCAACACTATATAGTGTCCATCAAAGCGGAAGATTGTATTTGCATTATATCACTAGTAATAAAGTGTATCCGTTTACACATTATATTAATGATGATATAAAAAGGACTGATTTAAGATGGAAAGCAAACTTTAAGCACTTATGTGTTGGCAATGATAACGGAACCGTTGATGTGTTTGAAAATGTTAATAAGAAATTACTTCTTAAAGTAAAAATCAATTCATTTAAAAGATCCATTCTTTGTCTTCGATGGAATTCAAATAAAGATGAAGAAACATCCAATTGGTTGGCCGTCAGTTCATATGACAATAATATTCACTGCTTTTCACTCAACAACTATTTAATTGGTAACCAAATTATTGAAGAGTCAGATATAAAATCTGTTGTCACAGTTTCAAAACCCAATTGCATCTTAAGAGGACATTGTGAACGAGTGTCTTCAATGGATTGGTGTCCGTATGATTCAAATAAATTGGTTTCCGTCTCATATGATATGAAAACTTACATTTGGGACGTGTTATCACAAAGTTTGTTAACTAAGTTTACCGCTCATAAGGGACTATTATATTGCGTTCATTGGAGTCCATTTGACAGCAATCTAGTCTTCAGTGGCGGTGAAGATAACTATTTGCATGTATGGCGTCCTTCCAAACAAATTGAATACAATGGTACTAATGGTACAAATGAACTCAACAATCGGCCTCRCATTGAAAAGAGCGAACAAAACGATGATAATTGTGTTGAAGATGTACTCAAAGAATTAATAAATAGAGTTGTTTTAAATGAAGGTAATCTTTCAGCGGATGGATATAAAAATTTTAATGATTGTAAAAGAAATAAACAAAAAAATAAGAAAAAGAAGATAAACAAAGAAGTAAAGAAAAGTTCATTATTTCCTATGAGTAATACAATAGAGAACTGTTCCACAAAATGTCAAAATCTTGAAGATATAGAAAGTCTTTTTAACAAACTTAATGGTAAACAAATTTCTTCTGATCAGAAATCGAGGATATTATTGTATGGAGACTGCGATGATATCAAACAATTTATTAGTAATGAAATATCTTATCATATAAAACAAGAAAACAAAGAACAAAAAGATATTGTAAGTCTATTATATGATATAAAATTGACAATTGAAGAGTCCATTCAACAAAATCAAACGAATCCATATTTAGTATCGCTTTCATCACTTGTTTCCAGAAATCATTGGAAAGAATTATCAAATCTTTTAGCACAAGAATTACTTCGTCCAGAATATGATCCAAACGTTTATTCAATGTATAGAATTGAAATGTCAGCCATTTTGTTGTTATCACAAAACAATGTCAGAGGAGCTATTGATTTATTGATATCCAATCACTTATTCCGAGAATCACTTATTGTCGCCAAAACCAGATTAGAAAGTGAAGAAGTTGTTAGATATATAATGAATGAATGGGCGACTTATCGTTTGAAGTGCGGCGACACTGAGGGTGCGGCCAAATGTTTGACTTCTATTCGCATGTTTTCAGAAGCGGCAGAAGTTCTCAAAAATAGAAATGACCAACAATTCAGTCATACCATCTCTTTACTCAAATCAATTAATATTTAAATTATATACTGATTTTTATAAATCAATATTTTATTCATAAAAATGATTTRTCAATTAAAGTTAACTAAAATTAATTATGATTTATGAAAATAAATATATATATTACTAATTAATTTTTACATAATTTAAAATAATCATATTAATAAATTATAAAATTATTTATATTTATATATAAATTACTGTCTAATAAATAAATCATTATATACAGTATACAATATACAATATTTTAATACCAATTCATTACCAAAAAACTTGAATTTAGGAAATCTATTTTTGAATTCACAAAAACAAACTAATGTTAAGTAAATATTTACCGAAAACTTGACATTGTTTTGTGAATTCCTGTTGACTACAAATAACTATATTTTTAGAGATAACTTTATATAACTTGACATTAAAGGACTCAATTTATTAGCGATAGTTCTAATGATAATATCCATAAAAATGCATATCTCAACATTATTATCAAATTTATTAATTGGTTTAATTATTATTGAATCTACCGGTGCTCAACTTTTTCGACCCGGATATGAACCTCAAAGCAGTAAGTTTCTCAAGATTTATATACAATTTATTAAATGATTTTAATAAATTAAATTTAAAAATAAAAACTAGTCATCAATTCATTATTAACTCCGGCATTATATCCTGTGAGAAGTGAGTGCGTGGCCACTGCTGACAGTAGGACCGGCTTATGTATGCCAAAAGCAGCCTGTCTTAGGTAATGATAAGCTCTATTCAATGTATTGTAATCTAATATAATTTTGATTAAAAGTTCCGGCGGATACGTTGCCAATACATGTAATTTTGTATTATCATGTTGCATTTGTAAGTATTTATAGTTTATTTTTATGTATTTTATTTAAATCAAATTTAATTGAATCCATAGATCAGGGAACCTGTAGGTCAGTGATTACAGCAAATGAGACATACTTTGTATCACCGCAATATCCAGCCCTGCATACCGAGCGCCTGGACCCTCCTTATTGTATATTTACATTACAACGGAATTCCCCATTTATCAAATGGCCCGTATGTCAAGTTAGACTTGATTTTGAAGAGTTTAGTTTGGCGCCTCCTGTAATGGGTTCGTGTGGTAACGGCACGACCGACTCATTTATAGTGTCCGGTGCCTCCACTTTCAATCAATCGGGACTACCTGTAGACGGCGTGTGCGGAGAATTGACGGGACAACACAGTATTATTTTTATATTTATTATTTTATACTCAAAATTATAGGTTAAAAATAACTTTAATTTTATTGATTAGTGTATTTAGATGTCGATTCCAATAATATAAACGATCCGTTATTGCTTGTGATTAATACGGCTAATGAACAACAATATAACAGGAAATGGAGTATTCGTATCCAACAAATCCCGTGTCAATCACCCTTTAGAGGTAGTCATCAATTTAATAACTATTGTTTATAAAGCAAATAAAATGTTTTTAATATTGACTTAACAGCACCACCCGGTAGTCTACAATATTATACAACCCCTTCCGGAACTATAGAAAGTTTCAACTATAGAGGCATAACCAAAGCATCACCCATTCTGCCTCCGGGTCAATTTTTCCAACCTATATACCCTAACGTTGGTATCGGTGGTTTACAATCATCGAGTCAATTGCCGTCACCCAACTATTACAATAATATGCATTACGGCATAACTATAGCCAAACAGCCTAAAATGTGTGGTATCCGCTGGTCAGCTGATACCATGGATTTTGGTGGCGAAAATGTGGGAACGGGTTTCACTGAAACAAACAGTTGTATATTTGTTAACATTGATGAAGACAGAGGCGATTATATTACAATTCCCGGCAGTTCTCGAAATGGCAAAACATTTTTAGTCAATCGATTTTGTGGACAACGTTTGACTCCTGAAATCAATTCACAGGGAAGTACTATCAATGAAGATGTCATTTGTAAGTCTTGTTTTTAATTTCTAAATATATTTATATTAAATATGAAAATATATTATATTTTTTATTTATTTTATAGCATATATGAAACCATTTGTTTTATTTGTGCACTCGGATCCCAATCCATTATTAAACCCCAATACCCAACCCGGAGCTCCACTCTACAGTCAAAAGGGCTTTCGATTATTTTATCAACAAATTCCTTGTTAATTATAATTACATTTTTACTATTAATTTAAATTTAATCAATAAGTACGGTATATATCATAAAATAATTAAAACTTAAAGATTTTATAACAATTAAAGTATAAAATATAAAACTTGAATATATAATAGTTTAATAATAGTTATTGTCAAATTAATTCTCTTTGAAACTTTAAATAATTAATTTATTGAATTTACATTAGAAAATAATTAACATTTATTTAAATATATATAATTAATATATTACGTGTATAAGTTATTATAAAAATATGTTTTTGTAATAATTAAAAGTAAATAAAATTGACACATTAAATGAATCAATAAATCAATAAAATATACAATTGAATATTAAATTAATTTTTTTTGTGAAAACATTGCTATAACAACCAAATAGTTGGCAACAAAACATAGATATTAATATAAATTGATATTAAAATATCAAATTGTGATAATTTAAGAGATCATGTCTTGGGAAGCGTTTCCAGTGCTTTACTTTAATCTTTCGGGAGAAATGATTTATATTGTTGAACAACGTTTGACTGCTCAGAGTATTGATATATCAAAGGCTGATAAAGGTTTCTAATGTTTATTTAATTTTATGACAATTTATTTCAATAATTATTTGTAACTAATCATGATTTTGTGATTATTAAATTTTATAGTAATAAACGATATTTTAATGGCAATATTTARTCCCAATTTAATTGAAGAAGTATTCAAAAAGCAGAAGTTGTCGACAATATATGCATTGAGACAAATGTTTGAAAAGTTGGCCCACTCTTCCATTATGAAACTCAATGAGCAGAGTATGAATAAGGTATGTCCTATTATCACTTGAATTTGATCTCAATTTTATCAATATATACTGTATATACTATATATATATCACATTTATGTGAAATTGTAATCAATTATTATTTATAAACTCTTTTGTAATTACAATTTTCACATTATAACCATAACTTTATTTAAATTATTGCTTTATTATAAAGCTATTATTTAAAATGATTAATACTTAAAAATAATAAATAATATAATAAAGTATTGTATTTTATACTATATATCTGACAAAATTGTTTGYAAAGCTATTTGATTTGATGGTAATGGTGACCAAATATCAAGTGGTATTCTGTAATTCTCCCATTGATTTAATACACATAACGTTAAATCATTTTGAGAGTATATGTCAAATGAGTCGATATGAGAATACATTGAAACTAATTGAGAGCTCAAAAGACAAGTTTATAACAACTTATAGTGACATGAATTGCAAGAAATTACAACACATTCGCCAAACTATTCTGACATTTCTTCAGGACATACAAACCAGAGTTTCTATTTTCCTTAGAGATGGTATACAAGAAAATGACGGCAAATTTGTCATCAAACCGGTTGGTGTCGTGTCTTGTGATTGTCAATTGCCCGGAACTATCAAATACTTTGATCAAAACGATGCAATCAAACAAATTGACAATTTTGTGTCGTCCGGTCAGTACATTGTCTCAAATGAGAGGACTATATTGGGCTTAAATATGTAAGTTGTAGTAATAATACATTATATGCATAAATGATTATAATTTAAAAATCAAATCAAATTATATTTTTATAGATATTCTAAAGAATATTCTTTAAAAGAATTATCTTATAATCGCTTTAAAAATGAATCGCAAAGTGATGAACAACAGAGCAATCATTTGAATGAAACAAATGAATCGGCAAAACATGAATTGGATTTATTAGCAAAACTTATTGGACGACAAAAACCTAATGAAACAGAACTCGAATTTTACATTCATTTGGGAACTGAAGACTCAATTTTAGAAAATCAAGAAAATGTCTCAAATATTAATGAACTCAATATAACTGAAAACAATCATAAAATAAACACAAATTTAGAGAATATTATAAATGATTTAAATATCGATGAAAATAACGATAAAAATTCAAATGAAAATGATTTGTTAGAACTTATGGATTCATAAGTTTATAATTTTTATAAATTATTTTCCATACATTTTATTATTGGAAATATTTTTATACTTATAAATAGTTGAAACATATTAGAGTTTTGACTAAACAACTGAATAAAAATATAAATATCAAACACATACTTAAATATTATTTTTAAGTAAATCAATTCAAAATATAATTTTGTTTTTTGCTAATTATTTACTTACAATTTCTATAATTTTATTTAAGCTAACTTTACTAATCCGAATTTAATTAATAAATTATAATTTAATGAATGTATTTATCTAACTTTAAAATTTTTGCACATTTTACTTAATTATTGTTATCATTACTTTTATATATTAACTATTTTGTGATTTTGTCTTATTTATAAGCAACAATTAAATTCAATTATTGAATAACCAAAGTTAAAAACATTTAACAAAAGAAATTTATTATTTTTACAATAACTTTAACTTTATTTAGTTATACAGTAGGAGTTACTCTAATATTATTCAAACAGTGATTAATAATTGTTAAATGAATATTAAATCTAAGATAATCTAAAATTTATGTTAATTTGATTTTCAAGTGTTTTTTGTTTGATAACAAATGACAATCTATTGATAGTTTTTCCCCAAACCTGTTCAATAGTTGGGTCATCATTAAGATGACAATCCATTTCAACATTTACTTGATTTTCGCTAAAATCAATGTATAATTTTGTTTTATTGTCACCTAATATAATGGTCTCATTTGTTATTTTATTTATCGATAAGTGTGTTATAAAATGAATTTTTGAAAATTTAATAAATTGCGTCAATTTATATGTTTCGGTGAGTTTCACAACATTTGTAGTCCTATTAAAAGTCCATTTTCTGTTCCACTTATCTACCTGTGCTTCATAAGGATAAGCACCAGATATGTCCGCTTCAAATATTGAAATATTTGCCTCATGACTATACTTAACACTGTTAGCCATGAATTTAGGTCCACATCCCTGTTGTATGCCATTGATTGTAGGAATGTTGTGCCACTGAGACTGGAAGTTCCATATGCTGTATCTCTCGGGACTAAATGTCTTAATAGTATAGGTACCCGAACCGACATCAATCAAAGCGGGTCGTCCATCGACATACAAGATAAAACTTCCCACATCATTGTGATTATGCTGAGTGTCGTCTACAGTAAATTATAATTTACCGGTAATCCATTATTTTTTTAATTAAAAAAAATCTTACCATTTATTCCCGCTTTTATACCCAAAAAGATGCCTTTAGCTGATTCTTGTGTTGTTCTCAATGTAACCAATTGGAGATCTGGAAACCAACTTTCTAATGGCAAAGGAGCTTTTGGAGGAATATTTTCCAATAAAACATTTGCAGACATTTGAATACCAATTTGATTTAGTTCACCACTTGAGAGACGGTCTAAAATGATTTTGTCTTTTCCTGATAATTGAGTTAAATATGAGGCAAACTCTTTCATAGTTTGGTCATTAAACACCTTTCCGTATTCAAAAACAACTGAGGAATCCGGTATCTCATTAGCCCCAGAGTCTCCATAATTAAAGAAATGGTTTTCATTGATATGCACTTTCCAAATGTAATCACCGGTTTGTTTCAGCAATTTATTAGATGACCAGTTGATTGTGTTTTTAGATGCAGAAGACAAAAGGCTTATAATTTGTATGAGTCGACCGCCCGCTGCCACCCAATAATGGGGTCCCTCATTGTCACTGCCATCATTAGGATAACGATTAACAAAAATATCTGAACTATTTACTAATCTATCAATAACTTGGATCCGGTATGTATTAGGCAAACATAACAAAGCTGTCATTAATATATTACTATTAATCCAAACATTCCAGTTGTTGCCAACATTGCTATCAACGAAGCGATAGCTATCAAAGCCCATCCATGGCATGTGTGGGTCGTCCAGAAATGGACGTACTATTCGGCGATTTAGTTCATAATCTATACGCTTAGAGATTATTGGAGATATTTGTGATAATTTTTGGCCTAATATTTAAATGTAAATTAAAATATAATTCAACTTTAAATGTCTAAATTTATTTATAAAATTATAGTCAAACCTATCAAAAGTTGTGTCCAAGCAATGTATGCTGATGTCTGACCGGCTCCTAAGTCTATAACAATTTGTTGTGGATCAGGTAGTCCGAGTCCAGCCTTTTGTAGGTATAGGTGCGCCGGCCATATCCACGAACTTTCTTCCAGTAGAAGCCAAACTCCATTTGCAATCTCTTTGATATATTTGCCGCTTTGAGTAACCATTTCAGCCAAAACCAAATCCATTAATTTTTTTCTTCTTTCATTTAGAAATCCCTGATAATGATAACGATCTCCTATTTGTATGTATTCTAATTGAGTGGAGACTAACAGTGCTGACCAACTAGTGTTGAGTCGACTGTCCCCTCTTTCAACTATATTATTGATAACATTTTTTGAAAGTTTAAGTAAATTTTCTTTAAATTCTTGTCTGATATTATTTTTCCAAACGTCAAGATTTTCCAAAAATTTGCTTTTATTATTATATTCATTAAATAATAAATTTCTTTTTTCATATGATTGACACAATTGTATATAAAATTCAATTAAAATAATTATAACAAAGTTTATATTTTTCATATTTATCAATTCTGTAAAATTATTATTATTATAAAACAAGTGTATTTATTTTGAATTTATAGAATTTATAAAATTTTATTATAGAAATAAAATTTTATAACAAAATAAAAAATATGTTATTTATTTAGAAAATATAAATTTAAACCTTAAATATTAATACTTAAGTGCATTGGAAAAAGTTATCTTTGATTTTAATAAATATTACATACTATTACATACGGTATATATTATTTAAAAGACAATTAAAAGTTTATATTAATATAAAAAGTTTTTTATTGTGTAACAGAAAATAATACAATTCGATACAAATATATTTCAAATTGATATAACTTTTAAATGATAGATAATATTAATAAAAATTGTTTTCAGTTTTATACACCTAAATCAAAAGTACTTAATGTATATATTAATTATATTAAATATTAAAAACAACTAATATATATATAATTAAAGTAAACATATAATATATACACTTTTGACAACATTATACATAAAAATATGTTTCCCATACTATGAACTTATTGACAAAACTTGAGTTCTTTAGAATTATTAAGATAAATGACAATCAATATATTTAATATAATAAATTAACCATGGGTATCTAATTATCTATAAACATATGTTTGAACTAAAACATTATTTTAATCATATTATATATATCAGGGTTAAGCAAAGTGATAGTGTTAGGAGTGTTAGGAAGGGTGTGGCAAAAATACTCACCTCTAAGATCCATATTTTACCCACACTTTTTGACCAAATCGCTTAAAATTAGGAAAAATGACTCCCCWTATAATTTAAAGCCAATTTTTTTAATTAAAAAAAATAATAATTTAATTAAGTTTTATTTCTTAACTGATTCTGTTCTTAAAATATATTAAAATTTAATTATTTACTAAAACAGTAAAATAGTTTAATTTACGTTAAAATTAAGCCAAATATAACATTATTTTAATAAAATTATATAATTAAAAATTTAAAAATGAATTATTTGTCCAATAAAGTAGTTGTTACAAGTAGTGTTAGATCAGATTCCCTTTCTCGTTTTATAACCCCACCCCACGTCACCCCACCCCATGTTTTAAGCAAATTTCATGTGATTTTCAATTATAGTTTTAGAGATATTAAGCCTCAAAGAGTCTGAGATAGTATAGATTCAAAGTGTATATAATAATTATTATTATAAAATTCAATTATTAATATTTATAAAAAAAAACTATTTTAAAATATGTTAAAAATTTAATAGAAAAGTAAAAATCTTGAAAACTTGATAATTACTCTTGTATTATATTATAAAATCTAAACAATAATTATTAAAATATCGTAATATGATTTTAATTAATTTTACCAAACAACTAGAAATTGGATAAAATGTAGAAAAAATTTTCAATTGATTTATGACAAGTATATGAAATAAAGATTATTATTATTATACAGTAGTAATACAGTAATACATTTGTATTTATACATATCATTTTACAGTACAATAATTTTATGTATTATTTAAATTCARTCAATGTTGAGACCAATTGAATGTTAATTTAATATATAATACTAAATGTATTTTTTTTAAAAGTTCATTTATTTTCATATAATTGCAAAACTATTACATTTCAAAACTAATTGTTTGTTACATTCATATAATATCTGTCAGTTTGCAAAAAAATGACTGAGAGATCAAAATTTGATATCTCCGTCAATTGATGATCATCTGATCATGGTCAATTTAGTGTTAACTAACCCATGCTAAAACTAATCAATTTACATAGGGGCTATAATATACATGTACTAACTACCCTGTTTGTGTATTGTAATTTATTTAATTTATTTCTCAAAAAAGCACCAAGATCTTTTATAAATATGAATTTATGTATAATTCTGTGTTTTAGACAAATTTAATAAAATTGTTGAAATATTTACCCAAAAAACATATAATACTTAATTATTTATATTATACACAATAATATAATAATTATTTAAAGTAATAACTATTTCTAATGTATTATTGGATACAATGATTGATTAATATTAATATTAAACTTATTTATAAATTGTTTATAAATAAGTTTAAGTTTTAAGATCTCAAAACTGCTATCTATTGTACACTTAAGTGACTAATAGACTAAACATTACAATATTGAGTGACATATCATATGAAATGATTAATTTGTTATTAAATATTAATATTGTAATCAATTTTGTCATCAATTGAGTTGTTTTAAGACATTGAAGACAATCATTGACCAGAAGTACAACACAAGTGATGGACAAATTGCGTCGCGCTTTGAGTGGAGATGACTCTGTAATTAGCGGTGACGATGAAGAACAGGGATTAGCCGCTCAGGTATGTCACTGACAGTATGTCTTGATTTGAATTTACCAACAATTGTCTCATTACTATCATATGTATTGTATGTGTCTTCAGATCAATTCCGCCACAACCCTGAGTTGGTCGACACGTATTCAGGGATTTGCCATTTGTTTTGTTTTAGGCTTTGTTTTTTCCATTTTGGGAACTGCTTTGTTAGCACTTCCCAGAGGATTGATATTGTTTGCCATGTTTTATACGTTGGGTAACATCACATCAATGGCCAGGTATGTCATGGATTAAGTGGTATTTTGACAAATGCTAAACAAATGTAATGTCTGTTTAGTACAATGTTTTTAATGGGTCCAATCAAACAAATCAAAAAGATGTTTAACGAGACCCGAGTAGTGGCCACACTCGGAGTCTTTGTATTTATGATATTAACACTGATGTCAGCTCTTTGGTGGCACAAAGCCCTCCTTTCTGTTATATTTTGTATTTTACAATTCTTGGCGTTCACGTGGTATGAATTAAAACAATGTTTTCATCAAAAGATGGTTTTACTAATTGCCGGTTCTTTTCATTAGGTATTCCCTGTCATACATACCATACGCCAGAGATATGGTCCGTAAAGCTGTGACTTCTTGTGTATAAATCTCAAGTGAATCTCCAAATAAATCAAATAATTTGTGCCTTAAAATTGATATTAATTTAATATAATTTATTTGAAAATTTAACAAATTATTTGATATACCAGTAAACATGTTTTATCAGATATGAAATTACAAAAATCTTACGGAAATAATAATGATTTTTTTAAAAAAATAAGTCCATTTATTACTCATAACATCTATATTGCAATTATATAAAAACTATATTTTTAAAAAATATTTATTTTATAAATTATTAATATTTTAAACTATTTGTACTTAAATTATTTTCTCTATAAAATATTTTTATTTCTTATAATTACCTAAAGATATGAATTTATAATTAAAATTGCTATTATTTAAGATGATTAAAAATGTTATAATCAGAAAAATAGTTGTAATGTATTTATAATTTTAGTTAGCTTTAGTTACTTAACAATATTAACAACAATTTTAAATAAAGATTTTAAATAACCTTTAAAATAACTGTTTAATTGGAAATACATTCTCCATTACATTGTTTTTATTATCAATTTTTATGTTTAAAGTTATGAATACAACTTGTTATGTGTATATCATTGGTAAATAAAATTATTATTATGGCTAACGAGGTCTGAATGATGAGTGACGACAATGTATTAAAACTATTTATAATTAAATATTAAATTGTATTTATGCAGTAAATGATAATTTAGATTTAAATAACATTTGATGATTAAATTACTGATAATTAGAGTTCGGAAAACTTTCCGAGRAAAGGAAGTTCTCTATTAAAATCCCTCTAATTTTTCGGAAAAATATAGAAAATAATTTATTTTCTTTCCATTCACTGTTTATTATATTAATATAAAAATTAATTAATATAATAAATAGTACCAAAACTGAAATATTTTGCTTAAAATTTTATTAAAATATTTAAAAATAAATTTTTATTACCAAATTCAATAAGTTCAAGAAACTTATTAATACTATTTATCAATCACTTAAAATACAGTTTAATATCCGTCAGTTTGATTGGATAAACAAAAGCTTATCAATTAAGTTATAAAATATGAATTTTTGTCATTTAAATAATTAAATTATATCAACAAATTATAATTTATAAATTATTATAAAAATGGGTTTAGAAATAACCAGTTGTCACACATTTCTAGTATACGAGTACTGATTACACGTTAAATACAATTGTATTTATAAGACGGTAAAAAATTAACTAATTTTATTAGTTAACAAAAATATCAACATTTATTTTTTATAAAATATTTATGATCCCAAAAATAAACTATTATTACAATAAAATAAAAACATAATAAACATATTATAGTATAACATTAATTTATAAATTATAAAATCTATTAAAATTGTGAAACACAACACATAAACATTTAGTCGATAAATATTAATTTAGTATTATTTTAACATAATATTATGTATATTAACACATTAAATAAGCAGTATTTAGTGTTAAATAAAGTATATAAATATTTGACAAACAATATACAATGCACTGTAGGTCATAGGTCATGTTGTTATACAGTAGTACTCAATATTAAATGATTAATCAATTAAATGTTATGTCTTTTTACGTCTATAAAGAGGTGACTTTGACGGCGACTTTACAGAAGATTTGTCTATACCTAAGAACTTGTAGAGATATGGCGGCCAATTGCTGGTCAACTTTTCCGATTCGGGAATTCGATTTGACTTTGAATGTAGTTTTTGAAAGACTTGTTCGAAATGATTGTCTGGAAAGAGTTGTTGAAGAATACCTTCGAATAGTACTAATACAAGCCTTCGGTTAAGGTTTTCGTGTTGAAACATCTCGAAGACACACATCATTCCCTTACGACTCGTTTCGCTACCAATTATACGTTTCAAGTCATCCGAAACACTGGTCAACAAAAGCATTTTGGCCGCAACTCGAGTCCGCATTTTTGTGGCTTGACTTCGGGCAGGAATGGGTTGAGCTAAATGACCGGTTGGCCAAAATGAGTTCCTAGATATAGATAATCTCTATTAATATCAATTATTTTTATATAAATACTTAAGTACTCTATTAAAACAATTACTTAAATGCTTTGATATATTCAGCAACAGATGAAGGACTAATTGAGTCTTCGACGTAATCAATAATTTTCTTATTGATTGCATCTCCATATGTCATATGAATGATTTGTCTTAAAAATGTAACAATTCTTCTCCTAAGCCATAAATTTTTATGTTTTAAATCAAACACTTCATCCATTAATAACAACATAATTCTTAGAGGAATATTATCTTCACTTTCAATATCAAGATTTGCGGACACTTTTGAATTTTCAATGGGTGTCATAGATTCAAGTCTTTGATTAGTATTTTGCGATTCATTTTGTAGATTCAATTTAAAGCTACCACTTCTTGATATCTGTGATGTTTGTGATGTATTGATAGATGTGATTGAACTCAATCGACCTAACTTTTGCAATCCATCCAAAAAATTACCGGAACTGCTTTTAACAGCATTACCAACATTTATAACGGATGTCTTTAAAGGATTGAAAATAGAGTTTTGTACTGTTTTTGAAAATTGAAATTTTTCTTTTTCGTAATTTCCGGGTTTAAAAAAGTTGATTACACTTTCTCTAAGATCTGATCGTATAGTAGATGTCTTAAGTAATTGATTTAAATAAGTATTCAAAAGATGTCTTCGCTGTTCAACAAATTCTTTATTCATGTTATTAAAAGTTCTTTTTCCTGGAAGTGCTAAGCCTTTTAGATTTGGAAATTTGTCACTAAGATGCTTATGAAATGCATAAAAGTCTGAATAACGTCTGAGAACAACCCATTTTTCATCAGTCGCTCGGTTTGACCTTTTGGTTACATTTATTACATAAGCCGCGTATGCGTTACCAAACTCGCGAACGACACCCGTCTTAATGATTTCAGCAGTGATTTCCATTTCTTCATTTGTTGTCGTATTTGTAGTATTATATCCAGAAGTAGAGTTAGATTTAGCCGATCCTTCACTAGTTATCGATATATTATCAGATGTAAATGCAATGTCTTCTAATGAGTTTAGACTATCACAATCATCGAGATTTAATGAATTGCTATCATTATCATCTGATTTAGTCGAACGATCATATTCTTCATCTTGTTTATTATTTACTTCTTTTAATAGATCCAATTCTGCTAATAGTTTGATGTAATGATTACTTTTTTTAAAAGCAGAAAAATAGTTATCATTATTCATCATAATATCATAGACCTTATGGAGAGAGGAATCAAACCAATTCTCTGATAACTTTTCTGTCATTATTCTTGAATGAATTGTTTTACAAATTGTTTCATCAATTTTAAGTTTATGCGATGCCTTTTCAGATAAATAAGTATCATATATATTAATAGCAGCCTCTTTAAGACTATCCAAATCAATACTATTATGTGAATTGGATTTTCCGAGTCGTATTAGCTCTGCCTCTGATATTTGTTGTTCAGCAGATACTTTGAAACCTTCGACATTAAGATAGAAGTATATGTATCCCTGAGCTCCGATACTGGACATGAATTCTATGAAATATGAGAGACCAATATTATTCTTGAGGACCACTTCGAAGGGTAATGAATATAGCTTTGTTTGACTCCAATCTATTTGCTATAATTACAAGAAATATATTTTATATATTAATAATTTGCTCTTAAATATAGGCTAATTATCACTTACTGTCGGCAAATCAGTAGAGTCTGAATCAAAACTTCCCTCATTTATAGATTTGAGTCGACATTCAATTAAATCCTTCACAAATAGCAAACTATTTAATTGTTGTTTAATTTCAAAATCGTCGTCACCACCCATATCCTAGATTGAGACAAATAAATAATTTTTTCAAACAATTTATTTATTTTAAGCCAAACCTTAGATCTTAGAAAAGCTATTTCGTGATTAACCATTTGTCGGACAGCATCCAACTCATCGATTTTATCGGTCAAACGCAATACACTTATAAATGTATCGCTTGAAACAGCATATGATTTATAGAGCCAAACAATAGTCTGATTTATAAAGTCTGGATCCGATAACATCTCAAGCAATGGATATAAAACAGACTTTACAACTAAACCCTAAAAATATTATTCAATTGATAATCAGTCTAATAGTTGTATTAAAGTTTACTTACTCTAAATAACAAACGAAAGGTGCGATTCTTAAAGCTATCAATTGGTAGTAATAAATACTGAAGAATATCACAGATTTGAGACAAATATTCAGTACAACTGTCAACGTCTTCACTGACTAGATCTCGACAAATATTTTTTTCCATCGATACTTCAAAATCAAAGAATATCGATAGCAAATTGGCGTTTGGATCTAATTGTAATAAAATATCAGTTGTAAAATAAATTGTCTTAACAAAAGTCACTAAAAATACCATTGACTTTAAGCTCTTTAAGTTTGTTTTGTGATAAACGATAAAGTCTTAAATGAGATGCAAAATCGTCGACTAATTTAGTGGTCATATATGAGACGATATCCATTGACTGTAATCTGTATAATATATAAATATCATATACTGTATATTAAATAGTTTATAAAATACTACAGTATATTAAAAAAAATTATTAGCAATTAATTGAATGATACCTTTGTGTAACTGATTTGATAGCCATTTGAGCGATACTATAGAGATGACAAGTGAACTGTTGATTTGGTGATATATAAGCATACCATGAATTTATGTAATCACGAAATGTCAACCGCAACACATCGTTTAGTTGATCATCAATTAGTTGATGACCGGTAAAGATGTCTGACTTTGGCAAAGTGGCCACAACTAAGTCTTTATTTAATTGATTCAAAAAGTTTGTCCACTCATTGTTTGAATCAATCATTTCAATTGAATGACAAGATTTGAATATTTGGTAATCGCTTTCAACGGATGCGCTCTTTAAATACAGATATGTCAGACATCTGAAGGCAAATAAAAATTCAAATTAATATTTATTATTATAAATATCATTAATAAGTTTTTTAATTATATAATATTTATAAACCCTATTATCATAAATATAATGCAAGTCATAGTCAAGAAAAGCAATTGTGGTGAGAAAGTTGTACTCATGAGGATCACTGTCAACGCAATCCATAACCAATCGGATGCCTTCATCGTAAGTGGACATCAATTAATTGATCAAATGATAATTCAAATGATAATTCAAATGTTAATTATTATCAACACATGTTTGGCCTTATAATTGACATTTCATTTCAATTACTATTTAATTGTTTTATTAATGACAGTCACTATCGCTTACATTCAGCTGTTAGTCAATCACTGCTAGTATTAGTAATAACTGTAATTCAATACATCAGTGCTATTGATATGTCATTTAATCAGTTGATTATCACATAATGTTTAATAATTTCAATATAATTTAATATATACTTCATATTATAATCTATATATTATTATTATTATTATTATTATAATTATACACTAATTGATTAACAAATAGCTTAATAAATACTGTATTTGACTCCATATTTAATCAGAAAATATGTTATACTGTAATAAAATGATACACAACTATACAATACAGTACAGTAAAGTACATTACATTCTGTACTTTACATACAATAGTATTGTTATATGAATACAATTTAAATTTTATTTTCTGTATTTTACTAAAATTAATCATTTTGTTAATAAAATAATGTACAGTATTATCAATTATCAAATAATAGTATTGATAATACTGTCATTTTTCAAATATATATGCTAATGATATGATACAATTTTTATAATATTATGGTACTGTACTGTAACTTATTTGTTATACCAAACTATTATTTTATAAATTTAAATTGTATTAATTTTTAGAGTAATTTATAGTAAATTTAGAGTAAAAAGTGTGTAAATTTTATTCAAATATTCAAAAATATATTTATATTGAAAATTCATTATCTACTGTATATAATAAATAGTGGTAATGATTGGATTAAATACCCTAATAATAATATTCTGTATATTATTTGCTTATTACTAAATGTAAATAATTAATGCATATTATATTTTACCATAATAATTTTATTTAAAATTTATACAACAATTACAATATAAATGATTAATTTGTTTAATTAATTAAATTTTTAGTTTTTTATTTTTATGTTTTTTAAATCTATTTTTATTTTCGATATGTTGTGACTCTTGTTCTTCGTGTTCAAGTCTAATCTCTGCATCTTTGATGGCAACTGAGACCTGTTTCATGATTGATAAAACACTCTTTTCATCGATTTCTTGAACTTTCATTTTGGTTTCTATAAAGCTTTCAATACTTTTAAACAAATCGATATCATATTGTGTAACAAAAGTAACTGATTTTCCTGAATATTTGGTCGCCAGTTGTGTCTGTGTTTTCTTAGGCTTCAATTGATTAGTTCCCTCTCTTTTGTATTTCTTATATCTTTTCTCATCTTTTTTAGTATCGTATGTTTCATCGATTTCGTCTAAAAGTTGTCGACTATTAGCAACAGGTTTGAAGTCAGGCTTACGACAGGTTCGCCCTACTCTATGAACATAAACAGTGGCAGACTTTGGACAGTTATAGTTAATAATAAGGTCTACTTGTGGTAAATCAAGACCACGATTGGCTATATCAGTGGTCACTAGTATTCTTGATTTCAATGAACGAAACTTTTCAAAGGCTGCAAATCTCAAGTGTTGTTTCATATCTGCATTAAGTATGACTGGATTGAGATTAAAATCTGGTCCATCAAAGCCTAAAGATATCAATACTTTGTGGATGAGTTTTGCCTCCTTCTTCGTCGAACAAAATATAATCATTTGTCGAAATAATAAATCAAGAATGCATTCAATCAAATAAACAAATTTAACAGATTCGGGACATAATATGTATCGTTGATCCAGTTCTTCATTTGTAGCCAATTCACGTTTAACGTCATCAATGGTCGGTAAAAGGTTGATAACTACTGGCTTTTCATCAGTTGATTTCTTTGCAATCAATTTTTGTAACTCTTCAAGAGCTGTAGTCAAAGAAGCACTAAACAGAAGTGTCTGTCTCTTATGATTAACCTTTGCTGACATTCCATCCATGAATGACAAGATATCCTTAATTTGTTGTGCAAATCCAGAGCTAATGAGTTGGTCGGCCTCATCGAGAACCAGACAATCAAATCTGATGGATGTCTTTTGTCCGCAAACATCCAAAAAGTTTCTGTTGTAAAATTGGTCGACAAGACGTCCCGGTGTGGCCACAACAATGTTTGGTTTACCAAACCATAAACCCTGTATCTCTTCATGGTCTTCGCCGCCGATTACTAGCAAACTCTTGACGGCATAAGTGGATGCCGTGAGTGCTAAAATCATTTGGTTTATCTGATGGGCCAACTCGCGGGTCGGCGACAGTATCAATGCAAAGTACGGTCGGGGGTCACGAACCAAGAGCTCAATAATGGGCAACAAAAACGCCAGAGTTTTTCCACTTCCAGTACGACTACAACCAAAAACATCCAATCGTTTCGGTGATAATATCAACGGAATGGCCGCACTTTGAATGGTCGACGGGTTTTCAATACCTAATCTTTTCAATGATTTCAGTAACCAATTACTCAAACCTAACGATTCAAACGTTTCATTCATTTCTCTAATTGATTGTAAATATTAATTCATATCATATATAATATATTATAATAATTTTGACAAACTATGTGTTAAATAAATTGTGTATTAAATATCATATAAATTAATATTAAATGCAATTAAATGATAACACGTGTTGACAACTGATTGAAAACAAATGGTATTTAAAGTGATGTTCAATAATAACGTGATTTCGCAACACTTATAGTGAACTCAATATTAATGGTTTGATTGACATAACTATAGAAATGAAAACAATGTCTCAAAATCGGGTAAAATATTCATCAAATCTTCTGAAATACTTTGTCTTCAACAGTGATTGGGGTTCAGATGAAGGCAGTGAACACTTGAAGATTGTCTACTTTTATAAAGCCAATTGTGTAGATGTGTTGACCGATGAAATGATCAGTGAGTGTGGACTCGCACAGGCGGTCATCACTTTTGTCAACAACTTTACCACAGATAAGGACTCGTGTGAAGCACTTCATGGTATCAAAAATAGACTTATCTTTTACGAGATGGAGACTAATTTCTGGTCTGTTATTGTACTATCGGTTCCCTATTCTGTACTGAAATCCAACGAAGACTCAAATCAAATCATTGAATACCATAACGAAGAGATTAATGACTCTTTTATTAAATTAATTTTGCAAAACATTTACCAATACTTCCGACTCATCAACGGACCCATTGATAAACTGTGGCAAACATGCAATGAAAATAGAGATCAATTCCTCTCCGTTTGCAAAGTATTTTATGACAATATAATACCAAATATAAGATTATCTCCAATTAGTTTGATTGAAGTATATTCTGCTATTCAATACTTACCATTAGATTCGCTAACATTTATGTCAACACAAAGTTTTGTAAATCACCTGAAATGCATTGATTGTCAGCTGATCCGACACACAATGTTCTTATATAATGATCAATTAGTTTGTAGTTCTTTACCGCTCAACGACACGAAAACTTTGTACAATTATTTAGTCAGTGTTATCATTCCCGATGCCGTCTGTGAAGAAATAAGTGGTCAACAGTCAGCAAAGACTCGTTGGATTTTAAAAGACTTAAAAGTTTATTTACAAGATTGTGATCAACAATGGTATCAAATGAGTTTATACCGGTCTATAAATGGATCCACTTTTGTGTTATTATTAAGTCAACCAAACCAACTGTTACTAACCAAATGCGAAGCTCTAATGGTCTCACGTATTGTAAGCTTAACTACAAAATTAGCTGAAATAGCCATCAAAATCAATGGTACCACTAATACCAGCACTGATCCCGTGGCCAAAGAGACGTTCAAATTTGTTTATTTTAATTCAAGTAATAATGCTTTCAAAGCCAACATATCGGCTCTCTTTGATCAAAGAAAGATCACTGAATCAGAGTTTGTTAAACTAGTAGTTGATATCGATTCAGACTTACAAACAGTTATCAAAAGTCATAACGTCTGTGAAATAATTAGTAAAACAACAAACGATTCGTGGCTTATAGTCCATCACTCGGATGACAGGACACTCTTCTCTATGCTTAACCATAAAAATGCTAATTTAATTGAAGCCTCCGATACTGTCAATGCATTGACGTGTAAACAGTTTAAGAATATTTTATTTGTTGATTGATTTTTTATGCATGAAATTATTATTTAATTGTTATTATTTAATTAATATTTTGTTGTATTATTTATTAAATTAATTTTAACAATTTTATTTTTAAATTTATTATTATGAAACTGTATTTATATATTTTATTTAGTAAATTGAAAATATATTGATAATTTATGTATACTTTAATAGTTTTAGTAATACTACCGGTAGGATAAATTTATATTGTAGAGGGTTATTGTATTTTTCATCATTTAAATACTGTATGTATGCTTATATTGATATATATTAAATATAATCAATATTTACGGTAATAATAATAATAAGCAAATTAAAGACAGGCCTGTGGACAGTGATGACAGGAACATGATTTGGTGCCAATAATAGGCGATTCATTGCATTCAAATACTGTTTGATTGATGGGTTGGTAAACATAGTTATCTATGATTATATTATTTGTTTTAGTCATCTTAATATCCAATTGAAACGGTGAATATCCTCCCTTTTTATAGGACAGTCCTATAAAGTCAAACCATTTACGAACCGAACATTTATTTATATGACCCCACTTTCCACACACAGAGTTGATTAAAGTGCCATTGAATAGTGATTTACACGAATCATATAAGGTTTGTGCAAAATTAGAGTCAACGTAAAGCTCCAAGTGATCGATCACATCAATTGAATCCAACTTTGTTGTGTCCAATACTCTGATCATACGGTTTTGTTTTGGTGAACACGAGAACTGACATACAATTTGTCTTAAGTTATGCATACAAGAGGGACACTCACCGAAACCTAATTTGTCCATTGCTTTGAATATTGAATGCATATATCGTATATAACTGGGTTGACAACAGGTCAACAAGTGATCAGCTTTTGCTAAATCCGGACAAATTGTTTTAAATAAATTTAATGACTTTTTATCATTTAATTTAAATGGTTTTCTTATATTAACGCATGAAATATTTCCTATTGTAGAATATCTATATATAGGTAACAAACAAATAATGATATATTGTATTTAAATTCATATTTAATTTATTTCTACTGTAATTAAAAGTATGAATTAATTAAAATAATAAAATATAAATAACCTGCAATTATTGTCGACAATACACCAATTATCATTATCATCTTTATCATCATTTAAGTATAAATGATAATCTGTTAGATTGTAGACAATTGTCTCCAAATAATTATTGAAAATATTATTTTGTTGATAATTAGTTGATCTCTTAGTTTTGGATATAGCTTTAGGCAATTGTTTTTTAATTTCTCTGACTTCTCCCGCTTTACACGACTCTTGACAATGAATACACGGACAGACATCTTCATTGGTATGCAGTTTATCCCAACATTTATAAAACGGTTGTTTTGCTGGAATATAAGTGACGCCATCGGAAACAACTGAATCATCGTTAGTGAAGATAAAATTGCTATAAAATTAATTTTGTTTTATAATTATTGATAATAAAATTTATAGAAATTTAGTTATACATTATAACAAAGATAAAAATGACGTACATTTCAAAAGGGCTGTGACCGAAATGTTCTGCATTACCACCGATGAACTGCAAAAATCTTTGATGATTACAATCAACGGCTTTAAATGGTTTGCAGTAGTGATCCAATACATTAAATCCCAAACGATGTACTTCTTTACATGAATCATATATACCTTTAACCCAATCGTCATTTACAAAGTATTGAACTTCAGAAACCATTTGTTTTCCATCTTCATTGGTCTTTGTTTCGGTGACTTTCATAAAGTTATGCTGATCTCTACCACAAGACAAATGACAGATAATTTTTTCAAAGTTTCGCACACATGTCGGACACTCCTTTAAAAACATGGATAGCATTTCAAATGTTTGATTTAATCTTATAACCTGTTGTTCACTACAACAAACACTGGGACTATCACTAGTAGCCAAATGTGGACACATTTCTTTTAATTCTTCCAAAGCGATTGGATTTGATATGGAAGTGGGCTCTTCATCGACAACACAAGGAATGGCACCAAATGCTGTTTCACCACAAATACCTTTCATTAGACATTTTTCTGTATCTCTTTTAGAGCGTTCAAAGCTTACATCTCTTTTGAGAGCATTACCACTACAAGACTGATGACAATTATGACAATCACAGGCCTCTAAATCTTTTGTGGCTTTTTCTGAACATTTGACAAATGTTTGATTTAAAGGTTCAAATGACTTATTATCGAGAGTTATAATCTTTTGATTTGTTAAATGAAAATTAATTTTAAATGGAGAAACACCACTCACTTCAATACTATTACCCAAAAAGTTAAGCCAATCACTAGCTTTGCAATCATCACCTTTAAGTCCACCACAAGTAGAGTCAACAACTCTGCCCTCAAAATTGTTGACATATTTGCACGAATCAAACAATTCTTGAGCTGACAAATCTGTTATATAATAATCAATTTGATCGCGAAAATCATCACCAGAGTTGGTCTGTTTGTTTTTGGTGACACTAATAAATTGATTTTGTTTTGGAGAACAATTCATTTGACAAAAAAGCTTTTCTAAATTCTTAAGACATGAGGGACAGTGATTGAAGCCCAGGTGCGCCAAATTGTAGACAGTTATGAACATACTTTCCAATTGAAATTCGTCACAACAAACGGCTTCTTTTGCTTCATAAAGATGTGGACACATTGTCTTCAATAGTGTCAGCAATCGTACGTTTGTCTGATTTTCAGTTAAAGCTATTGAATCACTTTTAGCGGAACAGTTAACTGATGTTAACTCCGCGTCATTACATATCCCTCTCATAATACACACTTCGTTTCTTCCATCGATTGGTTTTATCTAAAAATATCATTTTTATGTCAAATAATATCATCGAAAATAAAATTATTATTTTCAAATCTTAATAACTAAATCTTAATAGTAATATACCTGAATTATGTTTAGAATTATATAGAATAATAATAAGTAATACATTGCTAAACAATTTTATAAAACTTTTTTTTATATTGTAGTAAATAACTAAAATTATAAAAATTATATTCTGCTCTTAAAATTTAGTCAAATCTTATTTATATATATTTCATTAAAATACAATAGAAATGGTTTTAATTGATTCATTAGAGGAAATGATTTTTATAATATAATTTTAAATTATAACAAATAAATTTATTTAAATACTATTATTAAAATAAATTATAAGAATAATATATGATAAATATTCGTGATAGAGTTCATTTAAATTTTATTATGAAATTCATATAAACTAATAAATAATAATTTATCGAAAACCTTGAAACTGTTAATTAGTTATTTGTTTGACAACTGCAACTTAAAATACATTTATAATCAAATCTTAATTAGAAATTCATTAAATTACATTAACCATTACTTAATCTAATTACAAATAAAATTTTCAAATATATAAAAAACAAAAATATTTTTTAAATCGTTTATTATTGATATAAATCTAATTCATTGTAAACACATATTTTGTATTTGAATAGCCAGCCATTGATTTCTCAATTGCCTCTTTATAATCATCTAAATTAATGGCCACACTCTTAGGTGGTTCCAGTTTATTGTCTCTAATCAAATCGCATATATTTTTCATCATAACATGTCTTTCATTATTTCCACTATTATCTCGATACCAACGAGTCATCCAAAATCCAAAAAATCTGTTATCTTTAAAAATAGGAGCACCAGTAGGTATGATAAGGGGTTGTTTAGACATTCCTCCATAAGTAACCATAACTCCTTTATGGTCCAAATGACGCATACAATCGGTAGCGTTTTTACCACCGATACAATTAAGTGCTAATTTTGGTTTTGGTATAGACTTCCATATCTCTTCCATAACATCTTTTTGTCGAAGTTCTTCTTCAGTTATTACATAAGTTGCTCCTAAAGATAATAATCGCTGTTTAAGTTCTGTAAAATCAGGTCTATCTCGGACTACATTCACTGTATTTATCTGCCATTCTTTAGCCAATTGTATGGCATACACACCAACAGCACTATTAGCACCGTTTTGTACAACAGTATCACCTTTTAGTGTAACAAATGAAACATAATTACAAACTAAATTAAATTGAATTAAAAGTAATTAAAATAAGCAAACTTACAAAGGCTGGGCAATGCAATAATAATTATTGTATCAATTATTGATAAATTTTTTATAGAATATATACAATAAATTTAATTCATAATGAATTTAATTCACAACATATGATATATACCGCAATACAGCGATAACTTTTAATTGTTAATAGTTTATTAATTGTGTGTCTTTTATACTAATTTAGTTTTATTGATTGAATTAGATTGTGGGGTGGGGTCTGAGGGGTGTAAAAGTAAATTTAAATTTAGTAATTGTATAAATATTTACAGTATATACTATATATATCATTGTTTTTAAAATTTTAATTGCATTCCCAGTCTTGTATTGTTGAATCAAACCTTTGTTTAAATTAACAAAATCTTTAAGCATTCTGTAAGCCGTACAGGGATTGACTGTCAATTGTGAAGCCATTAACAAATCAATCTCTTTGTCAATTAATATTAAATCCTTGTCCTCTAATATAGCATATGTCCTCCACGTGCCCGAAGAGGAAGTACTTGGGATTACATGATCACCAACTTTGAGATTCTTAACCTGTGATCCTATTTCGACAACTTGTGCCACTCCTTCGTTGCCACCGATGGCAGGAAAAATCGGTTTAATAGCATAAACTCCTTGAATGGTATTTATGTCCGCAGGGTTTATGGGACTCGCTTTATATGCCAACAATACTTCGGTTGTCTTAAGCGATCGATTAGTTTTGTCAGAAATATCACATTTCTTGAGTACTTCTAAAGGATTGCCGTATTGTTCATAAACTAAGCCATAGTTTGTCGACAAACATCTCTTGAAAAAAATATTCAAATTATTTGTTTGTGAATACAATTGTCTGAAAATATATTTTGAATACATTGACCAATTGGTGCGATATATTTAATATTAATTAATACAATCTCAACAAATAATTATTGTTAATATAAAAGACACAAACGATATCATCAAAAGTTTGTTGCAATCAATTGATTCAATTAAATATCATAAATGACATCTCATATCAACTTTTATTTACTGTAAGTATAGTCAGTCACGCATGTCTTGAATCACGTGTTTATATCATAATATAAATATTATGCAATCTATTGGTAATCATAAGTCATAATAATTGATACATAAATCTTGTGTAAGACATACCGTACTCTTGACAACTGATCCGTCAATTCGTTGTATAATACAATACAAGTCAATAGTCGGGTAATTAACAATATATGTACTCATATAGTATACTGTATATAATTATATGACATTAAATTTATTTACGGTTAATGTATTTAATTAATAGTTGAAAGATAATGCCTGAAGACAAGTCTATCAATATTAAAGACAACAACAACAAGACGGAGGATAAACCAAAGTTGAAGCCGTGTTGTGCCTGTCCTCAGACTAAAAGACCAAGAGATGAATGGTTTGTCATTTACAGTATATATGATATTAATATTGAATTAATGGTAATAATTGGTAGAAACTATCAATTATTCAATTATTGTTACCGTAAATCATTGATATAATAATAGCACCAATTGTTGAAACACACAGTTTGAGCAATTGGTAATTAATATTTAATTAATACATTATTTACGGCTATCTTTATATTATCGTTATACCCGTTAAACTGAATAATTGAAATATCATTTATCTTAAACCAAAACCTATTGACAGTATCATCGAAAGGGGAGAAGAGAATTGCAGAGATCTAATTGAAGCCCACAAACAATGTATGAGAAATCTTGGTTTCAAAATATAGATACTGTATATTATTCAACACTTATGTATTTTCATTAAATTAATTTAATAATAGGTATAATAAAATAACATTAGGTATACATTGAATTTATTATTTTATTTATGATTACATTTACTAAATATTATAATCAATAAAATCAATTGTTTGAAGGTTTAGCCCATTCGACATTCAGTATGAGATTTGCATAACCGTAACCATTAACAGCTCGGATAGCTTTGGCCGCCTCTTCCTTGCGCTCATAACTGACAAATGCAAAGCCCTTTGACTGACCCGTGTACTTGTCTTTAGCTAAGAATATTCGGAGCACTCGACCGAATGGAGCGAACAGTTCCTTCAAATCTTGGTCTTGAATCTCTTCGGGAAGATTTGTTACACGAATAGTGTTGGCCTCATCCTTAGTACGACTGGCCATTGTTTCTCCGCGTTTATTACCGCCTTCTCTCATATTTGGCGGAACATATTTAGCTTGTTTGCCCTTTTCATCGATCTGGTCATTCAGACAATAATATATATTACAATATATAAAAAAATATCAAATGTCTTACAGTAGTCCTATCCTGAGCACCATTAGCTTCAGGTTGTGGTAAGTCTTTATTAAGTTGGCCTAACTTATCCTTATACGGACATTTAAGTGACCAATGATCCATTCCGCAATGTCTGCATTGAACCATTCCTTTACCAGTGTTCTGCAACTTCTTTAGCGCATCGTCTTCACCGTCTGCACCTAAATTCTGGTCGTCGCGATTGCCAACAAATTGCATGAAAATATCTTCGGAAATGATAGTCGTGGCCGGATTGGGTCCGGGAGAGTCATTGGATGACAGACCAAACTTTGTCCAATTCTTGCGTCGGGCAATACTCGGCGGGACTTTCCTCTTCTCAATCTTATAATACCTAACAATCTTCACTTTCTTTCCGTTTTCATTAATCTTGTATTCAGTCACCACTTTGTTGTTACCATTAATCACTTCCGTTGGCTGCGGCAATGTGTCGGTGGCGTCTAAGTCAAGATGTTCATCCATCTGGTCAGCCCATGAGGGCTTCACTTTTGAGTCCATATCGGTAATCGACGGCATCAATCAATGGCCACTAATTGACAATTGATTGACAATAGTATTCAATGCTTTACTACAATATATTCACTAATATGTCTGCAAAACGTGGCGTTTGTTTGACAAACAAATGTAACATTAATTACGTAATGAATTGCACTAAAAGTTTGCATTTCTTAAAACTGATTTAATTTATACAAAATTATCGATAGTTTGGTTCATATATTTTGCTTTTATCATAATTCATATATTAATTAATTAAATAATGTATTTCTGTAACTATTGAATAAGTTTTACAATTTTTTCACAATAAAAAAATTAAGCTAAATATTATTATGCAATATAATCAATTAACATAATACTAATTGCTATTTAGTGCTAATTTATATTTCTTAAGTTTTTTTTAACTAATCATACAAATCATAATTATTATTACAGTTTTATTTATTTAATATTTTTAACAATTACAGTATTTCAAAACTTTTAACTTGTATTTGAACTTAACGTTAAATTGATGGAAAACTGTATTCAAAATATTTATGGCAATTAAGTGTAATAATGCAAAAAAATATTAGAGTTAATATAAAAAGTTTGCATTAAATATGTTTATTAAATATGATGTCTTGAATATATGTGTTGTACATTAAAGCTTAAAATTGAATACAATAATTAGTTTGCATACAGTTATTAATTTTAATTTCAAATACATGTTATTACAAAACTCTTGAAAAGGTTTTCTAAAAACTGCATAAAAAAGTTGTTTAGAATTACAACAATATTATATAAAACTTTTAAATGATTAAAAATCGTTGTATTCATAGTATTAAAATAAAAACTTGAAACTAATTTTTAGTTAGTATAAGAAATATATCTAATTATGTTAATAATTAATAAATTAAAGACACAACAAATATTATTAGATGTAATTTATAACTCATTAGATGTTTGTATTACTTCATAATACTCATTGAAATTATAAATACTGTAGTACTGTATCTCTTTGTAAGATTAAAGTATTAATTATGTTTTCAATTAGTAAATAAATTGCACTTCATTTACTAAATTAAAACATAATTGAATACATCTATTGTTACAAAGGGAATAATATACTGTAAATCAATTTATGTTATAAAATGTTATTTTTCTACTTTTATAATACTGTATTATAAAATAATTATTATACAATACTGTATTGCATTTGGAGTGCAGAGTAATTATTATCGTATTTACTGTATTTAGGGTTAGATCAGATTCCCTCCCTCGTCTAATATTCCAAAAATCCCTTATGTTCCCTGGGAATTCATAGGGAATCTGCTCATAGTTCATTGTGCTGTCACCTATTAACCTCCATGCAACACATTTTATTATAATGTTTGAAAAATAAATATATTTAACTGTAAATAATATCACTAAATTTTTWWAAATGTTTTTTTGCAAAATATTTAAGTTTTATAACTATTTATTCTAATAATATACAATTTATTATCCCTTTCTAACAATCAAGAGAAGTAAAATAAAGTATTTGCATATTTTCYGGGGAAATTGGAGGAATTTTTTAGGGAACTTCCCTYCCTGTAAATCTTGATTGAACTCTAACTGTATTTAATATTAATGTGTTTTTTGTATTAATATTAAAATCATTTCAAAGTATAATTTAAATATCATCGTTACAGTAGTGGAGAGCTTTTGACGATTGATACCAAAACATTAAGCCATCAAAAGTGAGTTTATGTAATAAAAGTAATGTGTTTTTATAGTAATGATAAAAAATTTGTACATAATTTATAAATGATAATTATATGCAATTATGCATTCAATGAATACAATTGTCTATTATGTGATTCCTATGTCGAGGGATAGTCTATGTGTTGCCTTAGAAACACTTGTATATAAATATTGAACAAACCGTTTATATTAAAAACTTTTATTTATATAATTACTAAAATATCTCAATATTTAACTTAATTATCATATCAATTGACTATAAATAACTTAATTAAATATAATTTTTGGGCTATATTTTGAACAAATAAAATTGTTATCAAAGTTATAGTACAGTACTGTAAGTAAGTTTGATATAACTTTGTTGAATCATATGAAAAGTTTGTTGACTATTGATTTGAATGTTTGCTCTGAGAATAACATTATATTAAGTTAATAGTAATTATGTTTAAATGATAGACTAATTAAATGAAATGATTTGAATGACTTGAATGACACTAATTTATAAATCAATATAAAATAGTCGACAATAGATGTGACACCAAATTGTGGTCATAAGGCGTGACATTATTGATGGTTTGCTCGACTACTGTATTATTGTATTAATGTTATTGTATTAATGGTATATAATATTAATATAAAGTGCTGTATATTGTATTCAATGTATGACTCACTGTATTGTATGCAATCAAAGGGTGGGAATAGTAAGCAATTGTATTGCAGTGTAAGTGTAGTGTAGTGTTGAGTGCTATGCTATGATTGAGTGCATACTTCTAGCCATACATTGCATACAATTAGTAGACTCGAGTCGACCATTGAGTACAACCAGTCATTGATTGACTGATTCATTGATTTGTTGACATTTAGTGACCAATACGTCAACACTAGTGATCACTTGTTTGTGTTGACCATTGATTGTGTGAGTCTGTCATCTGTGAAGACATCCAGTGATTAGTTGTGGACATGTCGTCAATTGACGCCAACGAGTGTAACATCAAAGTTGTGTGTCGTTTCCGACCATTGAATGACTCGGAAGAAAAGGCCGGATCAAAGTTTATCGTAAAATATCCACAAAATACTGAAGACTGTGTGTCCATTGGGGTATATCTTTGACTATCACCATAACATAACATAACATAACATTACATTACATATAATATCATAACTTATTACATCATTCATATGTTTTTATATATTATTGACTGATTATTATTGTTGTTTAGATAGTTATGTCATTTACTCATTAAGATGTTATATATTAAGACATAATTTCAAGTATTTTAAGAATATCTGAAATTTTTGGATAATTTTGTGGACAAAATAGTTTTGAAAAAGTCATTTGAAACGACATTTTAATTGAGCTCTCAATTGTATATTAATTTTAGTATTGAAAATAAGTTTTATATAAATTGATTATATGTTAGATTAACTAATATTTGCCATTTAATTGCAATCTGCAATCATTTTATAGTTTAGTTGATATTATAACCTATTTGACTACAAATATGCATATTTGATAATAACAAATAATTTTTATATACATTGAACTAATAACCTATGATTAGTTTATTTACATTTTATTATAGATTTTTATTATTGCTGTATTTTAATGTAATTTTGCATTAGACTTAAGGATTACTTTTGTATTCCTGTATTAATAATAGTATATTTTAATATTTGTATTGTTATTTAATCCATTAAATTATTTAAACTAAATTTTTTATTAAAATTATAATTTGAAAATGCAATATAAATAATATCTACTATATTATGATGTAAATATGTTTTATATAAAAACAAAATATGTGCCGTATTTTACTAAATATGACAATTTTAGACACAATCAGATGTGTATTAAGTGGTTAGTTAAAGAATGGTTAGTTTGATAGCCATATAGTGTATGAACGCTCTGTTAGTTTTATAGATAAGTTTAGATTCACGCCTCAGCACTTGTTTTAATAATATGTACCAAAACGGGTCAATAACTTATAATTAGTATTTTTCATGACATGACATTCATTTTCAGACACAACAATAGAATAATATTTTATATTTAATGTTTTAAACTTTGTTTATGATTTTTTTAGGGGAAAGTCTATGTGTTTGACAGAGTTTTTAAGCCGAATGCATCTCAAGAGAAAGTATATAACGAAGCGGCAAAAGCTATAGTGAAAGATGTTTTGGGCGGTTATAACGGAACTATCTTTGCTTACGGACAAACTTCGTCCGGTAAGACACACACCATGGAAGGTGTTCTCGGGGACAGTATGTTACARGGAATTATACCTCGTATTGTTAATGATATTTTCAATTATATCTACTCAATGGATGAAAACATTGAGTTTCACATTAAAGTATGTTAGAATAAATCATTAAATAATTAAATAACTATTTATAACATTTTATTTATATTGTTTAGGTTTCATATTTTGAGATTTATATGGATAAAATTCGTGATTTACTTGACGGTAAGCTATCATAAATTACTGTACAAAATAATGTTAATATTAATTATGTCTATTATTGTCACTATAGTATCAAAAGTTAACCTCTCTGTACACGAAGACAAAAACCGATGTACTTTTGTTAAGGGAGCCACAGAACGGTTTGTCACGTGTCCTGAAGAAGTTATGGAAGTGATAGATGAAGGCAAAGCCAATCGTCATATAGCAGTTACAAGTATGCTATTTAAACTCTAGTTTATAAGTTGTCAATTGATTTAATTAAATAATAAATATATTTACAGATATGAATGAACACTCATCGCGAAGTCATTCAGTCTTTTTAATTAATGTTAAACAAGAGAATCAAGAAAACCAAAAGAAATTAACGGGAAAATTATATTTAGTAGATCTCGCGGGGTCTGAAAAAGTTAGCAAAACGGGTGCCGAAGGAATGGTATTAGACGAGGCCAAGAATATTAATAAGTCATTATCGGCCTTAGGAAATGTTATATCAGCCTTAGCTGATGGAAATGTATGGTCTTATTGTTGTTATTATTATTATTATTAGAATATTTGAATTACTGGTAATTAATTATTGTCTTAATTGATGTACAGAAGTCACATATACCCTATCGTGATAGTAAATTAACTCGAATATTACAAGAATCATTGGGTGGAAACTCGAGGACAACTATTATAATTTGTTGCTCTCCGGCCTCTTTCAATGAAATGGAAACAAAGTCTACACTCGAGTTTGGAAAGAGAGCAAAAACTATTAAAAATGTTGTCGTTGTTAATGAAGAATTAACTGCCGAGGAATGGAAAAGACGTTATGAAAGAGAAAAGGAAAAGGTTTGCAAACTTAGAGCTCAACTTCAGAGACTTGAAGGTGAAGTGAATCGATGGAGAAGTGGAGAAACAGTGCCTATAGAAGAACAAGCAAATATGAAAGACTTGGAGGCCAGTACTCTTAGTTTATCTGAATCTGTCCAAAATATAAGTGCTGTGGCGGGTCCGGTCACATCGGACACACACATAGCTCAATTGATTACCTCTTCGGAACCGTTAAGTAATGAGGAAAGAATGAAATTCGAAGAGGAAAGGACCCGTCTTTACGCCCAATTAGATGAAAAAGATGATGAAATCGATAAATATAGTCAGCATTTGGAGAAAATTAAAGAACAAGTGCTCGAACAGGAAGAACTAATTGGAGCCGCGCGAAGAGATAATGAATTATTACAACAAGAAACCACTCGAATTCAACAGGAAAATGAATCCGCAAAAGAAGAGGTCAAAGAAGTTTTGCAAGCTTTGGAAGAGTTGGCCGTTAATTATGACCAAAAATCACAAGAAGTTGAATCAAGAAATCGAGAATTTGAAAATTTGAGTGAAGATCTGAATATTAAGTTAAGTGCTTTAAATAGCTCTCAATCAGAGTTACAGCAAATGAAAGAACAAAGTCTTCATCAGAGGAAACGACTCAATGAGATGCTCACTAATCTTATGAAGGATTTGGGAGATGTTGGCATCATTTTAGGAGCCAACCCGAGCTCTGTTATCGGCGAACTTAAAGTGGCCGGAGATAGCAATAAAATGGAGGACGAGTTTACTGTTGCGAGACTTTATATAAGCAAAATGAAGAGCGAAGTAAAGGCCTTGTGTTCTGTAAGGCCTTTATTTTATTATTATAATTGAATAGAAAACTAATTATGTTTTAATTGTTTACAGCGAACACAACAAATGGAAAGTCTTCAACAAACATGCAATAAGAAGATTGATGCCCAAGAAAAGGATTTGGCTGAGTGTCGACTTCTGATTAGTCAATACGAGGCTAAGATGAAGTCATTACAAGAGTCAATGCGTGACGTGGAGAACAAAAAACGATCGCTTGAAGAGGCAGTCGACCAATTGAACGAAGAATGTACTAAACTTAGGGCCGCAGAAGAGATGCACGACGTGACCACCAAAGAGAAGCAAAAAGAGAGAGATTCTGTCGAAAAAATGAAGAATGCTTTAGAACAACAAATTGAAAAACATAGGGAAAACCATCAAAAACAGTTGGCAGCTCTTAGAGATGAAATTGCAGAGAAACAGTCACTAATTGATCAATTAAAAGATGCAAATCAAAAGTTAACATTAGCTCAGGAAAGACTGCTTCTTGAATATGATAAACTCAAGTCTGAAGAACAGGTAAAGAGCGCCAAACTGCAAGAGATGACACTCATGAATGACCGACGAGAACAGGCCCGACAAGATCTGAAAGGACTCGAGGAGACTGTTGCTAAAGAATTGCAAACACTTCATAATCTTAGAAAATTGTTTGTTTCAGATCTTCAAAGTAGAGTTAAGAAGTCTGCCGCCGGAGAAGAAACAGAAGACTCAGCTAATTCTGGCGGTTCTGTGGCACAAAAGCAGAAGATATCGTTCTTAGAGAACAATTTAGACCAATTAACTAAAGTTCATAAACAAGTAAACATTAGATTTGTTTTGAATTATTTGATTAATTTATTATCATTTCATTGATAGCTTGTTCGAGACAATGCTGACCTTCGATGCGAACTTCCAAAGCTTGAAAAGAGATTACGCGCTACTATGGAAAGGGTTAAAGCTCTGGAAGGAGCTCTTAAAGAAGCAAAAGAGTCAGCTATGAAGGACAGGAAAAGATATCAATACGAAGTGGACAGAATCAAAGAGGCCGTCAAACAAAAGAATTTAGCCCGAAGGGGACATATGGCCCAAATCGGTATGTCATCACATAAACTACTTAATTATGATTACATATTACTGTAATAATAAACAATAATGTCTTTACAGCTAAACCTATCCGTGCGGGTGGTGGAGGAGTTCCCGGTAATAGAAATGCAGTCAATGCTAACATTCAAAACAATAATATGATTCGATCGGTCACTAGGAATCCTCAACAACGTAGAGGTAAATCAATTATTACACATATCATAGTTAAAAACAATTGTTAATAATATTTATTTATTTATTAATAGATATTATCGACAATTAATTGACGACTCTTTTATAGTAAGATTGTTTTAATGAAATTTTAACTCTTTTTACTTTATTGAAGATATTTTAATTAACTTTTAATAAAAGATTTATCATTTTATTTATAAACTGTTTTTGGCAGTGCAATATGTACTGACACATAAATAAAAATATATATTGTATTATATATTTTAACTATTTAAAAAAGCTTTAATTTATAACACTATTTTATGTTTCATTTGAATAAATGTATATATATTTTATTTATCATAAAAAGTTGAATATGTATTTTTATTTTTAAATTTCAACAAATAACAAAAATATAGGTATATAAAAATTAAAAATTCATCATAAAATCAAACTCGTTTTAAACATGATTTTCTTAATAGATTATACTGTAGTAATGTATTTGATATTTACAGTATAATTACCGTATCTTATTTATATCATAATTATCACAACAAAATAGTATAATAGTACCGGTTATTAGATTTAGAAAATATACAGTATATAACAGTACTGTAATTATTGGTAAATGCAATCAATGTATTGAATAATCGGATCAATTCTTGTGACTTTGTCTTTCATTTAAATCCTTATGTATAATATCGAGCACATGAAGTGCTGCAACAGGTATTCGTGTCCCTAATATTATAATATAATTAAAGTATGATATTATGTGAAAATGTATATAAATATATAAATAATGTCAAACCCGGTCCAAATATGGCAGCGGCGCCCATCTCATACAAAAATGTGTAATCTTGTGGTGGTATGACTCCTCCGACCACTATTTTGATATCACTGTATTAAATGATAGTTTAAATATTTGTTATAAAAATTATTATAAATTTGATACTTTTTTAGAATCTATAATAATTATTAGAGCATCCAATTAAAGTTACTAAAAAAGTATTACCGGTAATATTGATTTACTAATATAGATGAAAAATATTAATATAATTTACAGTACTGTAGCAGTATATGCACACACATTATCCTAATTCAGTATACTGTAAGTTACAAGTTATAGAATATAAGAAATTTTGTTAATAGTATTATTTATACAGTATAACAGTATAATTAGTTGCAATACCGGTATATTTATTATTATTATTATTATTATTATTATTATTATTATTATTATTATTATTATTATTATTATTATTATTATTATTATTATTATATGCTATTATTCTTGAGTATAAATAATAAAATATCGTGACTTACGGTCGTCCGTGACTTTTGAGAGCATTGGCCAGTAGTGGTACAAGAGTTCGATGACCTGCTGCTTGACTGCTGACACCAACACAATGAACGTCGGCATCAATTGCTTGTTGTGCCACTTCCTCTGGAGTCTGGAAAAGTGGTCCTAAATCGACATCATAACCCACGTCAGCAAATCCGGTGGCAATAACTTTAGCGCCCCTATCGTGTCCGTCCTGACCCATCTTTGCCACTAAAATTCGTGGACGTCTTCCTTCGAAATCTTCAAATTCTTTTATTTTTTTCTGAATTGCTTTCAATTCTTCAATTTCACTGTAAGCTGAAAAGTAAGCGCCGCTCACAAGTCGGTCTGCGGCCACATATCTGCCAAAAACTTTTTCCATAGCGAGTGAAATCTCTCCTAAAGTGGCCCGAGATTTGGCACACTCTATAGCTTTGGCCAAAACGTTTCCATCTGTTTCGGCAGCTTTAGTCAATTCTTGTAGATTCTGCTCAACTCTATTGTTATCACGACTTGCTTTAATAGCAAGTATTTTAGAGATTTGTTTTTCACGAACCACTTTATTATCAACGACTAGCACTTCCACTGGATCTTCCTTTTCGAGTCGATATTTGTTGACTCCAACAATAACTTCTTTACACGAATCAATAGCTGCCTGTTTTTGAGCCGCACACTCTTCGATCTTCATTTTAGGCATACCTTCAGCAACAGCCTTAGCCATACCTCCCATGGCTTCGACTTCATTAATGAGTTTTAAAGCTTCATTATATACGTTATCAGTGAGTGATTCCATCATATAAGAGCCACCCCAGGGATCAATTACTCTTGGAATACCAGTTTCCTCTTGAAGTATAATTTGGGTATTTCTGGCAATTCTAGCACTAAATCTCGATGGAAGAGCTAAAGCTTCATCAAATGAATTAGTATGAAGAGATTGTGTGCCTCCAAACACAGCAGCCATTGCTTCAACAGTAGTTCTCACAATATTGTTGTACGGATCCTGTTCTGTCTGTGACCAACCAGATGTCTGGCAGTGAGTTCTTAACATACATGACTTCATGTCTTTCGGATTGAATTGTTCTTTAATGAGATGAGACCACAATCTACGAGCGGCTCTCATCTTTGCGATTTCCATATAGAAATTCATACCAATTCCCCAAAAGAATGACAGACGTGGCGCAAACTCATCGATAGTTAGACCGGCTTTAATACCTGTGCGACAATATTCAAGACCATCAGCTATAGTGAAGGCTAACTCTAGAACAGCTGTAGCGCCGGCTTCTTGCATATGATAACCAGATATTGAAATTGAATTAAATTTAGGCATATTTTTAGATACATATGAAAATATATCGCCAATTATTCTCATTGAATAATTTGGTGGATATATGTATGTATTTCGAACCATAAATTCCTTAAGAATGTCATTTTGAATGGTTCCCGACAACAATTTCTGTGGTACTCCAGATTCTTCAGCGGCTACTATAAAGAAGGCCATCACTGGAATGACTGCTCCATTCATTGTCATTGAAACTGATATTTTACTTAAATCAATGCCATCAAAGAGACCTTTCATATCTTCAATAGAATCAATGGCCACACCAGCCATACCAACGTCTCCCTGAACTCGTATGTCGTCGCTATCATATCCCCGATGAGTGGCCAAATCAAATGCAACCGATAGTCCCTGTTGTCCGGCTTTGATGTTTTCCTTATAAAACTTATTACTTTCTTCAACAGTACTGAAACCGCCGTATTGTCTGATAGTCCACGGCTTCTGCGCATACATTGTCGGGTATGGCCCGCGAGTGAACGGGAATTTACCGGGAAGTTCATTACTAATGTCCGGCTGTACGTCTTGACCCAAATAAACGGGTCTAACTTTGATGCCTTCATTGGTCTCCCAAATCAATTGGTCACTACTCTTGCCTTTCATCTGTTTGGTCGCTAATGACTTCCACTCGTCCACCAAAGTGGTCGACGATAGTCTACAACCACTTCTAACCGCAAGATATCGCCGTAAAAGTCGGTAATAACTGAAGCCTGACTTTGTTGACAACATTTTTGTCGATTAATTTATTTTAACAATAATTGCAAACAAAATATTAAAACTTTATTATCCTATAAATGAAAAGTCGAGGAAAATATAGACATAACTCAGTGATTGTGTATTACATGTGATTATAAATGTTTGAATGTATTGCAAAAACATAACATTTATTGACTATAAATATATTGTTATATAATTTGTTATTAATTTTGTTGATTTGTATTGTTATTATCAATGATTATAATTTATAAATCAATTCAATTGAAATTCAATGGAACACTCATTCGATTTAACTGTTTGTTTGGTTAAGCAATACATTGGTTATGACGTCACTGATTATTGAGACATACAATGGGCTGATTGGCTATGATTAGAGTCATGTGACAGTACAGTACATGACAAGTGAGTTCTCTCTAAAGTATTGAATGTTTTAATATTAAGAGAGAAATTGATTTGATTTTTATGCAAATGGTTTATATGTGTTGTAAAGTGTTGTCAATTGAGAGCAAAACATTCACTCACTTTCTCTATGTATTTGTGTGTTGGCGTCAGTTATGTAACATTAAGACCAACACATGTATTGTTGTTGTTGTGATTGACTCTATGTTTATAAATAAGTGTAACTCTATTACTATGTGTTATGTGTTAGCAGTTATACCCATAGAAAGCAATGCAAATGATTAACACATTTAATGAGTGAATGTCTCCATAACTGACTAAAGCTGTTATTGTTTACAAACAATGATTTAATTGATATATGAATATAATTGTTGTGACCCATCAATGATAGCCATTATACTCATGACAACAACGGTATGTCTTTAATATGACATGTTTTGAATGACCGATAAATTTTCATATCATATCAAACATAACTATAGTTATATCATATCATACTATATGTCGACTTTATTAACCAATTCAAACACAAATCACTTATTATATTGAATTTGATTATAAAACAAATTATTTGTTTGTTTATTCAAATAATTTCTAATAAAATATAATATTAATAATAATTATATTTGTATTAATACATATGATATTTAATAATTAACTACAATATATGATATTTTTGATATATGTATGATATTTATCATATTTTTGATTTAGTTTGGTTGAGAAAAGTTATCTAAAAGGCGTTATGCCTTATATTACTTAACCTAATCCATCATAACATTGAAAAGTAGATCAGTTTAAGTATCGATATAAAAATGTTTAGAAAAAGACATTAAAAAAGTAGTTTTAAAATATATGTTTTGTTTGGACACAAGTTGTGTATTTTAAACATTAATTATTGTTGATTTACACTTTTTATTTGATGTATAATACCGGTGCATATATTGTATAACCTAATTGTATTAAATAATTATTGTAAGTTCAAGTAGTGTTGCCAAACACTCAACAAATTGAGTACCAAAACACTTGCAATTTTAATCATGTTTTTAGTTAAAGTAAATTAGTTTTTTAAAAATATGAAATATTAACTAATATTAAATTTTTAACTAATTATCATCATTAATTTTCTATAAAATTAATTGAATATAGTTATTTAATTTTTAAGATATCTTTAATTAAAAATAAAAATTTTGAAATATTTTCAAATGTGGTGTTGGTATCACTACTCTAAATGTAATTGTTTTGATAGCAATTGAATGTCAATATAAATACATTTGCTAATTATTGATGATTTAATTTTAGATGACCATGATCATATTATTTATCATCTTCTGTTTTATTTAATATTTATTTACAGACAGTATAACATTTATTTCACTTTAATATAAAATAGTTGACTTGTATTGCTATTTATAACTTATTAATAAATGAAAATATGAAAAAATATAATTAGATTTTATTATAGAGTCGAAACTTTAAAAACTTAACATAAAAAACAAATTATTATACTATAATTACTATGATTAATAAATAGCATTTTTAGTTATTATAATAATTTTTTATAGGATAAAATTTCAGCAAATTTATTAGACCTTAGCATAATATACATTATTTTCTTATAAAGTTTGAGAGTAATTATTTTGAATTTAAATTTATTTTAACTTGAAATATGAAGATAAATATTTGTTTGATAATTGAAACAATTTTAGTCTTATTTAATTTGTTTTATATGATTACAGTCAAGTAATTTATTTGATGAATATGAACGGCAATATTGAAGACAAAAAGTTAAGTAATGGCAGTGAAGATAATAAACTGAATGATATGGATCTCAACGAGAGTGAAAAATGTAGAAATATGATCAGTTATTGTTCATCACCCATTGGATCCAATTCACAGTTTCTTATAAATCAAGCGGACAATGATTTACGATCTACATCACTGTCGCCACTATTCCAAAACATCCAGAAGTATATCTACTAATAATTTTAATTACTAAACACCACTATTTTATTTAGATTTCACTATATGTTTATTATTTATTTAAATTATATCACATATTGAGTTTTAGTTTAATATTTTTTGGTTTTTATTTGATTTGAATGTTTTGTTCATTAAGTTGTAATAATTGGACGCAAAGTCATCTATCATATAATGCACCGACACATGAATCAAATGAACCCGACATTGAAAATATTGAGTGAGTCTTGATTTGGTGACAATTTTTTGTGCCAAGACATGCCTATTGCTTGATTTAATAATAAATTATTTATTGGGGTTTTGGTTTGTATTGTATTGAATTGCATGAAATTTGACTCTTTATTATATTTGCATTTTAGCCATTATTAAAATGATTAGACATTTTGCATATTCACTGTATAGATGCTATTTATTATATTGTATTTATTTAATTAATTATTTATACAATTATTTAACAAAAACTTGATTAAATAGATATGTGGCGCAAACACCTATTGAAAATTCAAGGCTTCTCCATGTTTTGTCTGATTTGGTGAAGACATTTATTGATACCGAACACGATATTCAAAAGCATTTAATAGATATGGGAATTGAAAGCAAAACGACTAATAAAGAAGATTTATTACAGAGTTTTATGTCATTAAATGATGACATTAATGACAGACTTCATGAAACTTATGAGTTGTGTGAAGACGGACCCGAATCAGCTCATAATTCAATCCCATTATATTTTACATCTCATACGAGTCATACTTCACAAAACAATGAGGTGGAAGAGGATGTCGTTTTGGGCGCCAGTCGACGACTCAGGACAGCTGTCGACCGAATTCTTAAACTGTTGAGTGAAATCGTATCCAAACAACACGAACACGACTTTAATTCACTTCTTAAGAAAAATGAAGAACTTCTTACAGAACTTAACGAAGAATGTGTTCGACGAAATAAATTGACGGCACAATTGCTACAAATTGAAGATCGGGTCAAAAGTCTTGAAATAGAAAAGACAACTCTAACTGAAAAACTGATTGATTATAAAGAAATAAAAAGACAATTAGAAATAATGAGAATCAAAGTGAATGATCTCGAGTCCGAACGAGACAAATGGATTAATGATAGCAAACGTCTTGAACAAGAAAAGTGTTCATTTGCTCAGGGATTACCACAACTACAACAAAGTAAGTCTTTTGATGGTATTAACTGGTTATCAATACTTTTAACATTTAATTCTTTTACTGTCAAACTTTTGGTGATTGGTTTCTAATTATTTAATATCAAATTTCATATCTTATTACAAGATATAGTCACTAATAATAGCACTGATATCTCTGCACAAAACACTGCACTGTTCACAAACACAGGTTTGTTTGTCATTGCATTCAATCTAATGGGAATTTTTCTTATAAATTACTTAATTATATAAAATTTAATTATTTAATTGTTTCAACAAAAAAATGAATAAACAATACAGAATTGGTTAACGACAACGACTCGCTTAACGGTGATGTTCTTCAGCTACAACAGGAACGCATCAAACTATTGCAACGAATTCACGCTTTAACTCTTGAATGTGAACAACTAAAGAGTGAAAGAGACGATATTGTCGATGATAAAGGAAAAGAAAGCGAAGACTTTATGGCTCAAATTGAAGCCAACGAGAAGAATATCTTAAGTTATCGTAAGTTTATTGAAGAACAAACACATGAACGGGAAATGGAAAGGGATGAGTATCACAAAGAATTATCGGCACTCACTGAACGTCTTAAGGAAAAAGAGAAAAGTGAATCTAAACTAAAGTCACGTTTTGAAGAAATGGATACTCAGATCAGTTGCTTAACCGAAGAGAAGTGTTATAAAGATAAACAGTTAGACGACATCATTGCAAGACTAAAACTTGCTAACAATGACATCAATGATTTGAATACAACTATTAAAAGATTAGAAAAAGAGAGCGAAAAAAGCAATCAATTAGAGAGACAATTACGCTCTAAGATTGATGGACTCAATGAAGCACTTGAACTACAAATTAAAATCAATGAAGAATCACAAAATGATATGTTTGCCAATAATTTGTTAGAACAGATTACTTCAAAGACACAAATGTTGCAAAATACATTGAGATCAATTGATGGTGATAGTGAATCAGAACCATCATCAATGGAGTGCTCATTTAGTGACATTAGATTACTCAGTGAAAAGTTGAATTCATTAAATATATGTATTGATCAGCTTTTGACACAAAATAATACTCTTAAACGCGATTTAGAGCGAAGTAAATGTGATAATAATAAAGAWTTTCAAGAATTGTTTAAAGAAAAACAAAGTCTTGAAAGAAATTTGACCGAAATTTGTCGATCAAATGATTTATTAAAAGAAGAACTCAATGTTAAGCACAAACAGTTGAGTTCATTAAAGTCCAAACTCGAGTCAGCCATTGATTCTTCAGACATGAGACGTATGTTTGAAGAAATTCAAAACAAATTGATATCTGAAGAACAAAAAACAAAAGCCTTAGATTTTGAAGTGATATCATTGAGACAACAAATGGACGAAAAGAACAATAAAGTTGTCCAACTTATGGATGAACTGAACAATATTAAACAAATGTCCAAAACTTTAGAAAATGAAAAATTTCAGTTAATTCGCGAAACAAATGAATTGAGATATAAATTAAAATCAAAAGAGAGTTTAGAAAACAATTTGACTGAAATATTTCGATCAAATGAATTGCTTAAAGAGGAACTCAATAGTAAACACAAACAATTAACTTCATTGAAGTCGAAACTGGAGTCAACTGCCAACTCATCCGATTTGAAGTATATGTTTGATGAGTTAAAACACAAACTCATATCTGAAGAGCAGAAAACTAAAAGATTAGATAATGAATTAGTTTTATTAAAACAACAAATTGACCAAAAAAGCAAAAAGATATTGCAATTGATCGATGAATTGAATGATCTTAAAGAGCAGCTAAAGAGGATTGAATTAGAAAAAAGTCAATTGATTCATGAAAACAATGAATTAAAACTTAAATTAAGTAATAAAGAGAGTTTAGAAAGAAATCTAACAGAAATGTGCAGATCTAATGAAATATTAAAAGAAAAACTTATTGATAAACAACAAAAACTAAAGATATTAAAGTCTAAACTCGAAGTAAATGCTGAGACGTCTAATATGAAGCATATGTTTGATGAATTGAAAACTAAATTATTAAATGAAGAACAGAAAAACAAAGATTTTGATTTTGAATTGATTTCACTAAAGCAACAAATGGATTGCAAACAAATTAAAAATATACATTTAACCGATGAATTGAATAATATTAATCAAAAGTTAAGAGCTTTAGAAGTAGACAAAAGTCAATTGATGCGAGAAAATGATGAATTGAGACTCAAAACAATTACCACTTCATCCAAGGATAGTCCTAACGGAATATCATCGCAATTGTTGTGGAAATTAAAACGAGTCATTAGTCAGAAAAATGCATTAATTCATCAAAAGAAATACTTACTCCACGTTTTGGGCGGATTTCAGTTGACTGAAAGGGCAACTCTTGCACTGTTAGCTAATATGAATGTTACAGGTATTGATAAATTGATTATTAAATTAATTAAAAACATTATATTATTTATCTTTTAATTAATATACCGTAATATTGTCTGACTTATCAGTTGACGACGAATTACCGCCCTTTCAGAGCAGCAAAAATAAATTCCGAAGTGTTGTCTATTGTGTTATTGCGATATCAAGAATGAAATTATTAGTAAAAAAATGGAACTCAAGAACTCATTTGAAAAGTAAATCCAAAACAAATATATCGAAGACAGTGAGTACTCACTCATTGGGCGCCACTAATGAAAGACAAACAGATTCAACACTTCAAGAGTTTGTCAATCGATTGCAGAGACTTCACGACACACTCGGTCTGAGAACCGGACAAATATAATGTCAAACACAGTATAGTATAATACAGTAGTATTTAAAATATAGATTTTGATAACTACAATATTAGCCAAATATTATTACCCTAATTGGTGTATATAAAGCAATACAGTCGGGAACTGATTTGAGGACACATCGGTGCCAAAGATGTTTATCCTTTAAATCTGAGTTTTATTTGAATGACAAAAAAATTAAAAATATATTTATACTATTTATTAAAATTATTATTATTATCTACATTACATACAATATAAACTTACCGTATGTTAGCTTCAGATAATCATATAATTTTAAATGTTTGCATTTGCTATAATTTATTAATTTATTTTTAAAAGTCTATTATAATACTATTATAATACTATTATAATACTATTATAATACTAGATTAGTTTGTGAATATATTCTCAAATATTATCTTAAATTAGGATAAAATTAGTATTTTAATGTTGAGTTTTATCATATAATATATCTTATTTACTATTTGAGAAATATTCACCAAAAGTCTAGTACAATAATAACTACCAGTAATAATGCATTTCTAATATAGATTTGATATTGTTTTATATTTTTTTATTAATCGAAATGTAATCAAATAGTTGTAATCATTAGACAAACCATCGAATGACAACCCAATGGTCATTGCATTCATTATATGAACGGTTCCTCAAATAAATCTCTTCGAGTCTTTAAATCAGATGCCGACTGTAAATACTAAAATTTTAGTTTTTTATTATGAGATTTTAAATAAACAAATTTATTGTTTTTTAATATAAATACAGTAATTGTCTTAAAAAGTTAATGAATCAACAAATATGCGGCACTTTTAATGAATTAGTAATTTACTTATGATTGGCTGACAGTTGGTTAGTCAATGATGTCTTAATTTTTTGAAGCAATTCTCGTTTCACAGAATCGGGAATTGATTGTCGGGCTTTAGGTGTCACCTCTTGGATCAGTTGGTCAATAGTAATATTTTCAACGCCAACATCACGAACAACATCTTTACACTGCATCACCACCTGATCCCTCCATCCGCACTCCAGAAGTCTTGTTCGTAACAATTGTATCAAACGATCCTTTTCTCCGGATTCAGTCAAACTCTGTTGCCATCAATAAATGGACACAATTAAGACATTTTAATTTTAAATGTAAACCCAAACAAATACCTGGTTTGCCATTGCTTTCAAACGTTTGTCATCTCCAGACATTTGTCACGGATTTGATAATAAAGACTAAAATAAAATAAGACTTTTGGTTAAAGAGATATTCAAATAGCAATCAATTGTCAGTCAATTAAATACATTATTATTATTACATTCAAGTCATTCAAACAATGTGTTTACAATCAAGTCATCAATAAATGATGACTCGTTTGAATCAATCATCAATTGGTTTGTATTTGTTTACATCAATCATATGAATCAATACAATTAAAACTGTAATTAACTATATTATTGTCAATTTGTATTAATAATACACAAAATCAATGATATTTCAAACCAAATGATAGCATCAATTGGTTGAGTGAAGACAAGTCAATAAAGACATCATTTGTGTTACAATTTGTTATCGATTTTCATTCAAAACATTTGAATCGACTCTTGTTTTTCAAACATTTTAAACAACAATTTAATTGACGAGTGATTGCATTGAATCAGAAAATACATCACATTTGAGACCAACTGGTGATCTCTGACATCACACCACACCTGACATTATGCCAAACGATGATTTGGGTCTTAATTTTCTTTACAAAACAATGAGTAAGTGTTGTCAGTATTTGATTTATTAACAATAAGATTATAATGGATGTAATGGTGATCTACAGTCGAAAGAGATCCCAAGAAACGGAAGGTAAAGCCCGTCGAAAGTCTCTTATTTGCCACAGATTTGGATGACAGCGATGACGATGAAGAGTACGTACCAAACAACGCACAGGACGACGACGAAGACATAAATGACGATTCCAGTGATGGGAAGAGTGATGATAATGACGACGATGACGAAGATGACAGTGAAGAAGATTCGGATTCTCCACGAAAGACTATTACTGAATGTATGTTTAAATAAATTGTGAATTATTTTTGAAATAATGAAAACATTTTAATTTATTATAGCAATTGTTGGTCAGGGAACAGCTCTTCAGCACTCGTATAGTACGACATCCATTCGTGTCTGTAGTGTTTGTTTGGGAGATATCTCAAGAAGTGATGATGAGATTGTTGAATGTGATTCGTGTGGAATATCTGTTCACGAAGGATGTTATGGTATTACATCAGATGACACCGAATCTGTTCACTCCAACACATCTTCAGCCTCAACTGAGCCGTGGTTTTGTGATCCGTGTAAGGCTTGTGTCTCTAATCCGGTAATATATTTATTCCATTGTATTTTGTATTATATTTTAATTATTAAATATATATTTTCTAATTAAAAGTATTGTGATTTGTGTCCAAATTCTGGCGGAATCTTTAAGGCAACAGATGTTGGCCGGTATGGTATTTGAATTATCTCTGTATTTGTTTTTAAATTATTGACATCACATCTACTGATATGTAAACAGTTGGGTACATATGGTGTGCGCTCTATACACACCTGGAGTGGCATTTGGAGACGTGACTAAACTAATTGGTCTAACATTGTTTGAATTACCATATTCTCGATGGGGACATAAAGTGAGATAATTTGTGTATTTATGTCATATCAAAGTAAAAGAGATTTATATTTTTAATCAATTGATTTGCATTATAGGCCTGTATTTTATGCGAAGACGAAAGATTGAGCCGAACAGGTATTACCGTTGGCTGTGACGCAGGAATGTGTAAATCATATTTTCACGTGACATGTGCTCAACGCGAAGGTCTTCTTTCAGAAAGTCATTCAGTTGAAGACGTGGATCCGTTTATTGCTTATTGTAAACTACATGCCGATCGGTCGACTGTCAAAAGTAAACGACGCAATTGGTTGGCACTTCAGTCCAAGTTTAAGGCATCACTTAATGTTATCACAAATGAAAGAATTAAGAATAAACTGAATTTTCAAAGAAAAAAGTTTAAAGAAAATTACAATGAATTAGAGGGAAAAGTTTGGGGTTTGTTAACAAATTATTTTGATTTTTAAAAATTGCTATAATTATTGAATTTATTTTAGTTCCAACTCAGAAAATACCACGAAGTTTGCAAACCTGTCCATCAGCTATGAAAAGACTGATCAGAAAAGCAGAATTACTTGGTTTGAGTCCTCAAACGCATATATTATCCAATGAAGTGTTAGATATCCGTCGCAAATGGCATGTGGCGCCCGCCTTCTCACTTGAATTCATTAGCTATTATATCGGTTTGTTTTTTCGGAAAATCTATTTTATCTGAATGTAAATTATTTTAAAACTCAAAACAGATCGAAATAACAGAATGTCTTCACTTCATAAACGATCCGAAGAACTGGTGTCTCAGAATACACAGCTTAAAGAGGCGGAGAAGACCACACGTGTTGCTTATGAAAAGGTGTGACAATTGATTTTTTAAATTTGTCTTTATTTTTAATTTTTTTATTAGTGCGTACAAGAAATGGATCAAATTAAAGAAGAAGCTGATGATCTAAGAAATAAGTCGAAGACTTATATTGATTTATTGAACCAATTATCGAATCAAAGCTTACAATTACCAAAGATATTGGAAGTAATAGAAACCAACAGAAAAGATAAATCATCTTTAGATGATTCGAAGTCAAAACAATGTTCTGTAATCAAAATAGTTGAATGTGGTATTTGTCATCAAACTAAAGATCAGCATCAGTTGGCTTTATGTGATTCATGTAAACTCTATTATCATTTGTATTGTTTGGATCCACCACTAACTCGAATGCCCAAAAAGACACGATTCGGTGGCTGGCAGTGCTCGGAATGTACAGAACAAGAACTGGAATCACAAGAAAGTGATAACGAAGCCAGCAATCAATCGACAACTGATGCACCGCGAAGACTACGAGAACATGTGAAAGGACCGAATAAGTTTGAACCCGACGCAGGATATTCACCACTACCTAGTCTTTCATTATCAACACAATCCGGTAAAAGGAAAAGGGCTTCAAAATCGAGTAAAAAGAAAAAGAAAAAATCTATTATTGAAAACACTTCTAAAAGCAATTCGTCGGAATCATACACTAAAACAATGACAAACACTCGCAAACAAAAGGAAAATGAAGWKGAAATGTGTTTTGAATGCAATCAATCAGCCATTACTCGGGAAAGGGTTCAGTAAGTAATCGTAGTTTTAATTATTTTTTATGAATTTATAAATGATTTGATTAACAATAGATGTGATAATTGTCACAATAACTACCATTTGAAATGTTTGGATCCACCGATGAAAAAGACACCCAAACAACGGGGTTATACGTGGTTTTGTCATCACTGCAACCAATCGGTGAGTCAAAGAAATCATATTACGGTAATTGCATATTTAGTGTATATAAATAGYCAAAAAGTTATTACAGTAATTAAAAGCATAACTACAGTATTATACAGAATATATCATACCGTAAATGACCGGCAGATTTGTCATTGAGAACTACAGTCAATGAATAGTGGGTTTAGAAACCATTGCGTTTGAGTTACAATTAGTTTTAGACTTTTAATTAGTTTTTATAATTGTCTCATATCACTAATTAACTAAATTATAATTTACTTTTTTAAGACGTAATAATAATTACAGTACAATATCATTAATTTTAACATAACATTGTAAATAATTAATTTATTGGGAATTTATTGGGAATTTATTGGGAATTTACTCAAATTTGGCAAAATTGTCATTTAAAAATGCAATAAAAATTGTTCACCCTACCCTATACCCCAAGCTTCTTCTAGATTTTTGCTATTTTACCCCAACCTATACCCACCTGAAATCGAAAACTTTTCGCAACCCTGTAATAGACATACCGTAAGTATTTACCGATTACAGGCATTGTTTAACATTAAAAATGCTATGTATAATAGTGATCACATTTTTCGCCAGAGGGTGGCGGGAAATATGAATATCTTGATCTTATCATTTTATATATTGGGGTAACGCTTTAAGTTGGTATTTACGGTAACTGATAAATTATAGTGAAATTTACAATAAAAAATTTCTGAATATTTTATTTGTAATTACACTAAAAATTATTTTTATTTTGATATCAAGGATAATGAAGATGACGATGAAGATGATGAAGAAGAAGAAGATAATGATGAGGAGGACGAAGAAGAAAATGAAGATGAGGATGAAGAGGCAGAGGGAGATGTCGAAGATAATGGTTTGGAAGATAACGACACGGATTAAGTAGAGAATGAAAAATATATTTTATTAAAAATGTTATTTTGATTGAATTACGTGTTTGTAATAGAAATTCTTTGAAGAAATAGTAGACAATTATAAGATTTTTTTTTTGAAATTTATTCGATAAAAATACTGTATCTTTTTTGTAAACATATAAATTCTTTATTATAACAATTTATACATATTTTTATAAATTTTTAACAAAATGTTTAGTATAATATATAAATTATACATAACTATTACAGTATAATGTCTATACAAAACTTATTACCGGTAATTACTTAACAAATATAAAACCATTTTTATGATACAATATTATCATTTTGGTGTTTAAATACCAATTATCTTCTATAAATATTTGCTAATTTTTTTGTGGACCACTCTATGACAATATGATATTAAATTATGTGTATTTCGTGACATATACTGTAAAATATAATGATTTACTATCATTAATGAGTTTTGCGAAAATGTGACTAATAATAAATATAAATTTCAAAATTATCTAATGTATTGTATTTGTAATTAGAAAAATTCATAAATAAATTGTAATTCAAATTTTGTTGTTTATTTTAACTGACATTTTTGTTGTGTGAATTAAGATTTAAACGGTTAATATAATAACTTTTTGTGTTGTTTACAGCATTGGTATTACAAAAAAAAAAAAACTATTGTATTTGTGGTGACCAACACTGATCTGAGACACTAATCATTGTTTAGTTATTTAAAAAAAAATCAAAATTCAAAAATAATTCTACATCTTTAAAATCATATTAATGCATAATATATTGATTAATTTTTTTACATAAATTTACAATTATTTGAAAAATCTAAAGTTAAAAAATACAAATCCTTAACTATAAATTTCTTATAGTAGTGTTGTTTAAAAAGTTTTTATCGAAATAATTTTAAATGAGATAAACAAATAATTTTTAAAAACTAACACAATATCATAATAATGGATATCATATGAATAGTGGGTGTAATGCAACACTTGTTAACTATTATTAAAATACAGTCAAATTTATAACCAAACATACAGTTATTACAGTATTAATAATTATATACTGTATGTACAGTACTATTAAATTTTATATTAATATCAAAAGTTGCATTGTATTTATATTTTATTTATAACTAAACCCGTTATAAGTATCAATTAAATTACATTAACAATAATACTACAGTGTATAATAAATATTAATTTATATTTTAAAATTATAGTAAATATTTATCTCATTTAAGTATTACAATTTAATAAACATCTAAAATATTAGTAAATAATAATATATTAGTAAGTATTTGTTATACACTGTAACCTAATATATTAATATACTGTACATAGTATTGCTGTAGTATTACTGTATTATTAAAGAAATTATAAAATAGTTATTTAACTTGAAATCAATGTTTTAGTTATGTGTGTATTGAGTGTCAGTCATATATAGAGTGCAATGAGTAGTGAATGTAAGACTCGTGTTGTGTAAGCAATGAATGTATGAATCGCTTAACAATTAATCACATAATCAGATAATCATTGGATTAAATGAAGTGATTGTTTGTTAACTGAAGACAATCGACAATACAATTATAATCAAAGTGTCATCAATTGTCTGCATCGATGGCTCGCAATCCGAGCATCAGTTCAATGATTGCTAACATCAATACAAATAAGAAGACTTCGTTCAAGTCTTATATCGATTTGGATATCAAAGACATGAATAACTCTGAAGACAAAGAGTGTGTCAACACTGATGAGGTCGTGTCAGTGATGACTGTAATTGTTTATCGTTTAACTAATGATGTTTTGAAATGTTACAGATGTGGACCACTTTAGATGAGAACGGAGTGACCACTGATTTAAGTAAAATCCGCCGAAACTCATGGCTTCCGTTGGACTCAAAAGATCGCAGAGTTATGACTCGCAGTATGTCTTCAATTGGATCACTAATGAATGACACCATCGATGGCGTCAACTATTTCTATAGTCATACTCGACACCGAACTGGCATTTGTGGTCAATTGACACTAAATACAAATGGTTTAATGTTTTTAAGCTATACATCGCAGGAACCAAATGACAACAACTCGAAGACATCGACCAATTCTTTAAATAATTTTATACCATTTAATAATGAGAAAAACGCTATTTTTCAGATTGATTTGTTAGCCATCGATGATATTAAAGACATGAATGACAGTAACTTCATATCAATGACAATCTTCTGTTGGAGTTTACGTAGTATTCGTTTTCAAATGAAGAACTGCGACCAAACCCGACGTATTGTCGATAAATTAAGACGTTTGACGACACATAGTATTGCCAGAAAGTATTCAAAGTTAACTAAATCATTGAGAGATAATTACAGTTATATATTGAAAGCCGATTGGATTCAATTGGAGGGACATTGGAGTGAATGTTATAAATTAAGACTAACTCAATGTAATGAAAACTATCAATTGTGTGATTCTTTATCACAAACTTTTGTTGTGCCCAAAGCTTTAACCGATCAAATGCTGATCTCTCTAATATCAACACAAACTCGAGGACAGAGAGTTCCTGTAGTTTCCTATATTTACCAGAAAAATGGAAATCTATTATTAAGAAGTTCTGCATTTGACAATTACGAAGATTTGAATTCGTTGTTAAAGGATATGATTAATCCATTGCGACAAATGACTATCGATAACATTTTACCACCACTTGTTGTTGTTGAACAATGTTATGATAAACTTCGAGAGACGTGTTTTTCCAGTCAATTTGGTGGTCAATCAAACGGTAGTTTAAGCAAAATAGGAAAATGGATTTATTATGTTTGCAGTGCACTTAAAGTTGTTCAGAATGTCGTTTATATCATCAAAAATGAATCCTCTGTTGGATTGGTTGAAGAATTTGACAGAGAGTGGAATTGTGTGATCTCATCATTAGTTCAAATAATGATTGATCCCAAGAGACGCACATTTGCCGGCTTTGAATCACTTATAAGTAAAGAATGGCTATATTTGCCGGGATTGGCATTCAGGAAGACGGGTGCCATAAATATAAATCACATTTTGTTCACTTTATTCTTGGATTGTGTGTCACAATTGATAATTCAAAATCCATATGCATTCGAGTTCAGCACATTTTATCTCATTTACCTCTTTGATTGTCAATACATTCAAATAGTGACACCATTTTTACCAAATGCAAGAAAAACGTCAACAAAAATTGGTTTAGAGTTTGAACCAAAATGCGGACAATTGAGAGAAGGTTTGTCTCTCAACGAACTAATGCTAATTAAAAATCCAGTCTTCAGAAGACATAAACCCATTGATACAAAATCTAATGATTTGAAACTGAATGCACACATCAGTCAAATGCACTTTTGGTCAATGCTTTACCTCCGATGGCAATCAACACCCAATTTAGAGCATTTATCGCCGTTTGAGATCATTTTGTTAAATGAATTACAATCACGAAACCAGTTATGAATTAATTGTTGTATATTTATCCATATATTTTAATCAAAAGTATTTATATCATAAGTTTTATCGTTAAATATTTATAAATATTTAAATCATAAGTATATTCTATAAATTATATGTTATTTGTAATGTTTTGTCTACTTAGATATAATTGATGTTAAATTTGATAAATTTATATAAATGTAATGCTTTTTTCATAAGACTATTAATGTAAAAATGATGTATTTATTTACAAATTGCTTTAATAAGTAAATTATTGGGAAATTTGGTAACTAATGTATTCTTGACGTGATTTGATTTGTGGCACATATTGCTTGCGTACGCAATGATAATCATTTGCGCCAAATGGTCGACCACTTGATCGTTGTTCGGCCGCTGAGCGATAACTGTCGCCAAATCGATCACCAATTGGTTGGACAGTGGCTGACATTTGCGCTCTTTTATTATACAAAGTATTGCCAAATGAAGATTAGAATCAATTGGTCCCTCAAGAAGTGAGAAACGGATGCACGCATTGAGAACCAATTGGTTGTCATCAATGAGATTAACCAAAGTATTTAACCATTGAGTTAATTGTCGTTTTGTGATACCATTGCCTACAAAATATCCTTTACTGATGAGTGCGGCACAGAATTTGGGCGAATCGGTGGCCAAAGAGGTGTCCAGTTTGATGTCATTTGATAGCGACAAATGATCACATGTTAACACATACTTTGCCGTACAGTTGAGTAGTTCTTCGTTGTGAAGACTGAGTGCTAATGATATCAATTGAGACATAAGATTACATTGTCTTTGGTTTAGAGGCCAACAAAACAAAGTATTGATGAACTCTTGGCTTTCACTATCACTCATATGTCTAACGATTTCACTTAAATAGTAAAACAAATAAAGTCTTTCAATACATTTGTCTTTGCCTTCAATTTTGGTCAACAATTTGTGGACCAACTCTGCGGTCGACGATTCAGACAATTCAATGGATGACTCATTCAAACGATAATTACTTATCATTTGAGTCAATGTGTCTCTAATTTCTGGATATAATTCCATTTATTATACAATCAATTCATTAATAATATAATTAATAATAAATTATTATATAATATATATAATACAGTATTATAGAGAATATCATACAAAACAATATAACCTAAACATTGCTTTCAAATATAATTTAGTGTTCATTACAATCAAACAAACCCTTAGAGTAGGCAATGCCTGTCTGTATAGCAAACAATTACACAGTCTATTACAGTCTAATAAGTACAGTACAGTAGAGGTTGGAACCGAAACGATTCGGTTTGAGGAACCGTCTAAAAACCGGAACCGTAATGGTTTCGGTTTAAGTCAGACAGTTCCGGTTCGGTTTCATTGACAATTCGGTTTTAGATACGGTTTTTAACTTATATTATAATTAATTAATCTAATAAAATACTTATTAATAAATATTGTAATATTTAAATTTATTATTACAAACTTATATTTACTGTATTACAGTTATAATTAAAATACAGTAAATATAAATTTAAAAATTTAAATGTACCCTTCTAAAATTGACATGCAAAATAATATTTTTTAATTTAATTAATAATTTAAATAAATAACGGTTCGGTTCTGATTCCAGTTTCTCGGTTCCGGTTCGAGAAAATGGCTCGGATTCCTATCTCTACAGTATTACTAAGTTATTAGATTACTTTATCTAACACAAGGAAAACTAAATCAAAAACATAGTTATTATTTGAATTAAAATTATATAAAAATATGTGATGGGTCTATTTTCTATACCCAATAAAATAAAATTAATAAACTAATCAATAAATTGTTACAATTAACTACTTTATACTTAATTTTATTTAAAACAAATATAACTTACAAAATCTTATGACATTAAAGTTTATAACATAAATCGACTCATAAGTAATATTAAACATTTTGAATGCATAATTTAACCAAGGTGCTATTACTAAAATGTATGATAAGTGTTAAAAACATATAAATTAGATTAGAATTTTTATATAAAATCATATTAATGTAAAATTGTATCAATTGAAACCTATCCAATATAGTATAGTATATTATATTATATAATAGTATACAATATTTATAAATCTATCCATTATATCGACGGAATTACAGTCATTTAAAAAATTCAGTAATCGTTTAATTTTAAATTAGAAAATAACATGAAATATAGTAATTAAGTGTCGGATCTAAAGTTGAGGTATTTATAGATATTGTTGATTAAGAAAATTAACGAAACACTAAATAAAAGTACTGTAATTACCGTAAATTGTGATATAACACTATAATACCGTAATATTATACTTCAAGTTATGGTAATTATCAATAATAACAAAGCCATAAGTGACTAGAAATGAGTAAAACATGTGTTTTAATAGAAATCAGAGTCAGAGCTGTTGTGAGCTTCGGATACGTTATTGAGAGAGACATCGGGAGTGTTGTTATCACAAGAGATTTGAGCACTTTTTCGTTTGATAATTGATTGCCGCGACTCTAGAGTTGAGGCACTTTCCATATCACACAATGATTTGGTTCGGCTCTGTTGCAGGTTTTGTGGCTCCACTTCTATCAACATAATCGACTCAATAAGCATCAGACAGTCGCCGACTTCACTATTTTTGGCACAACATAGTGATGGCGTCAGTCCCTCAGCGTCCACAACATTGACCGACGCGCCCGTCAATAATAACTCTTGGGTCAGCTTTACTAAGCCATTGGCAGCGCTTATATGTAAAGGTGTTTTGAGATCACCATTAACTGAGTTGACCAAAGAATGGCACGACTTTAACAATTTTATACCACATTCTTCTCGACTATAAATACAAGACAACTGCAAAGCATTGTTTTGCTTATTGTCTATCGCTTTCACGTTTGCGCCTTTAGATAGCAAATACTCCACTGTTTCAATCAGTCCTCGTTTAGAAGCATACATCAGTGGTGTCTGACCAGCGCTGTCCACACTATCGATATCAACACCATTACTAACAAGGATGTCCAATATCGTCATATTGTAAGCATTTGCCATACAAGCAAAGTGTAAAATACTCCTAAAATTCATTAATAAAATACATTATTAACAAATTTACAATAATTATTATACAGTATTTATCGGTATATTTATTTTACCTGTTTTTATTGTCCATTAATAATAAACTTTCAATTCCATAATGAGATAACAAAGATTGAAAACATTCAATACTCGATGAGAAGCTATTAAAAAACAATTAAATTTGTGGTTAAACATAAAATGATGACATGAATGACATACGCGGCCAAATGCAAAGGTGTTGTTTTGTTTCCCTTAAATTGTTTCAATGTTTCGAACTCTAATAAAGTACTTAACGCTCTGTTCTGTGATTTAAGTGTTGCCCAATGTATTGGAGTCAGACCTTCATTATCTGTAAGAGCTTCTGGGGTTAGGTTTGGATTTGCATTCAATAAGTTCCAAAGGATATTGTAGTGTCCAATAGATGCGGCAAAATGATAGGCACTTTTGCCATTTAGGCATCGGTTTTGAGGCAGAGCTCCATATAATAACAAAGATTTGACGGATTCCTCACAGTTGGCATAAATGGCATAGAAAAGTGGCGATCGTTTTTGAAAATCAATGGCATTTGGATTGGCATTTCTTTTCAATAAAAGCTCGACACAGTCAGCACCCGACTCATTGAGTGCGGCCAACATTAATGGTGTTCGTCCTCTGTTATCAGTAATATCAATATTTTTGATATAATTCAAGAAAACGTTAAGAGTATCACGAAATGCAAACTGTGCCGACACTAACAGCGACTGATTTATGATATGAGAAATAAATTTAAGGCTCGGATTATCAATTAAGAAATCTAATATAATCTTCACACAAATGTTATGCTCTCTGAATATAGCGTACTCTAAGGCCTGTCCGATGTCGTGATAAAACATTTCCATTAATAATTGAAGCGCTTCTTGTCGGCCATAAAAGGCAGCGCAATGTGTGGGCGAAACAATCATTTTGACATCTTTCCAGTCAAAAGATAATATCAAAGATTGAACAGCACTGGTATTGCCATTGGCTGCGGCGTAATGTAAACAAAGATAACCGTTATTATCGGGAATATCAGCTTTTGCTCCAAATTCTAACAATAGGTTAACACATTGATTGTCATCTTCTTCTTGAGCACAAGCAAAGTGAAGAGCAGTCATACCATTGATATCGCGTTCATTAATATTAAATTTTTCTCTAAAATTTCTGAGCAAAAGCTCGAGACATTCAGAGTTGTGAGCAGAGGAGGCGTAATGTAATAACGATCGGTTTGAGGCATCTTTAAGACGTTCGGGTAAAGGCATAAGTGATTGCAGGCATTCTATGTTTCCGGAATATGCGGCCAAAAAGTGTGCCGTTCGGCCACAGGTATCACAAATTTGGGAATTAGCGTTTGAGGCCAACAATCGTTTGGTGGCACTCGAGATACCAGCAAAAGACGAATAGTGCAATGGACTCATACCGTTCGTGTCTATTAAATTGACATCAGCTTTGGCTATGGATAGCAAGGTATCAACAATTGATGTGTGTCCGTGAAGTGAGGCATAATGTAATGGTGTAGCCAACCATTTATCCACAATATTAGGATCAGCTCCGCATCGAATTAAATCAGAAATTCTGGTTTGTCCGCCATATTTTGCTGCAAAATGAAGCGGAGTTCTACCATATTTGTCGCGTGAGTTGACATCAATATGAGTTTTATGAATCGTTAATACATCCAAAGCACTGGCACCTAATGAAGAAGCGGCAGCCAAATGAAGAGGTGTAATACCGTTATGATTAACACAACCCAAATAAGCGCCCCTTAAAATTAGCTCATCCAGTATGTCGTCCTGTCCATAGATTGACGCCCAATGAACTACTGAATTACCGTAAGCATCAATGGCATCGATTTTAGCGCCCAAATCCAATAATAACTGAAGAGCATTAATTGATCCTTTGGCTGCAGCCATATGTAATGGTGTCATTAGATCCTTGTCGTGAACATTCACTTCGGCCCCTCCCTTCTCAACCAGAAAGCGAATGGCATCTGTATTGTCAACAACGGCTGCATAATGAATAGGTCTTCGCTCGCATTTGTCAAAAGCGTTGGCCTGAGCTTTGTTTGTCAACAGAAATGTTGTCAAATCCAAGTGTGAATTGTAAACCGAGTGATGTAAAGGAGTGCATCCCATCCTATAATTAAATAATTTGCTAATTAATGAAACAATGTTTATGTCACCCACCGATCGGAAGTATCGATTGAGTTAATCCGTGGCAGTAGGAGTCGAGCGCATTCAAGACCATTGTTGGCGGCGCACACGTGCATCGGAGTAATCCATTGACGGTCGCGTGTGTTTGCATCGGCTCCGTTGGCCAACAATAGAGAGACGATCTCGTCTCGGTTGTTACGACAGGCCCTATGGACAGGACTAACCCAATCATTGTCGCGGGCATTGACTCGTGCGCCCGACTCTATCAATAGTTCAACAATTGAATAACAACCGAGAGCTGCAGCCAAATGAAGAGGTGTTCTTCTGTCGACATCACATCTGTTGACATCTTCTTCATTCTCTATAAGACGAGTCACTGATAACTTGTCTTTCTTAACAATAGCTTTCATTAACTTCGGCTAAAAACAAAACCCATAAATAAAACAATCAAATGGTTAGTCATTAATACCTGTTCTCTGAGGCTTAAGATATTAGGTCTGCGATTGTATGCCATTTCAGTGACAATCATTGCATACAAATTGTAATCAAATGTTAATTCAATTTTGATTTCAATCAAATCAAACGCTTCAAGAAATGACAACTCATTGATGGTGTTGTCATCATTAGTGTTGATATCAATGGCTATTAATGCTAACAATAAGCCATTGATTTACGTAATGATTGACTTAATAAGTAATTAATAAATTAATATAACATTAATTAAACAAATAATCAAAACGTAAGACACTATTAGTCGCCAAAAGTGTGTATTCAATGCATTCAGTGTTGTATTGCTTTGGACGGCAAACGCGTTTGAATTGATGTTTACATATATTTTATACAATAGATGGCATCATATCGTTGTTACTATTGATTTGACTGATTCACTGATTCACTCATAATATTAATACATTTAATTTAATAGTTTCTTAACATTATATGATTTATTCTCAAAATTATATATAATATTTATATCAATAGATATACGATATGATAATTAATAGGTTAACTAATGAAATTTAGGTGGGTGCTTTTAATTTATATTTTTACATTACAATCAATATAATTTAGGTAATATTAATAATATACACTATTATATAACTACAGTATATAGGGTTTTCAATTAAATGTAATTATTATAAATTTATATTATTTATAAATTAGATGAATGTAAGGTCTAATGTGAATGAAAATTTAAATCTTAATAAATATAGATTAAACTTAAAATTAAAAACAATAATTTTATGTAAATGTATATATATTAGTAGTTTTAGATCAAAATATCACTGGTTTCAGGTTTAAGCAAAATTTTGGTTTTAGGGGGGTTAGGGTGGGTTGAAATGAAAAAATTTTCAAAGAATTTTGGGGTATAGAGTGTTAAGTGTACTTTTTTTAAACTACAATTTTTTTCAAAATTCAGGGAAAGGGGTTAAGAGATAATTCCGAAAAAATTCTAAATTTTAGTGAGGAGTCATTTCTCTTTGTTTTTTTAGTGACAATTTTTCCGATTTGGTCAAAAAAAGTGTCATGGTAAAATCACAATCACAATCTCRATCTTACCCTTTGCTTAACCCTGAATATATATGATATATACTGTACTGTATAATATACAGTATATATGATTTAACAACTATTATAACCATGTTAATTTTTCTATTGTATCTATTATTTGATATATAAATAACTAATAGAATTATAATAAATGCATTATAACTGTTAAATTTTGCTCTTTATTGAAAATTTAGTTTAAAATTTTTTATTTAATTGTTATATCGATACTAGAAGTAAATGTGAAAAATTTATATTAATATATAACTTATATACAGTATGTAAAGTTATATGATTTATATTATACAGTACTTAAAATGCATTTGAAAAACAGCAGATTAGATATGGAAAGTGGTTATTGGGTTATGCAATACATTTGTAGTACAATATCATACCATTTACAGTATATTTTTGTGTGGGTTTTTACAAATAAAATACAGTAAATGATAAAATGTTTTTTAAATAAAATATTGTTGGATTTTTACACTATGTATTAATTAAAATGATATGCTTAAAAAGGGAAAAAGCAAAATAATTAAATTAGTATTTTAAATTAATTGATTATATTTATAAATATATAATTATTTTCTTGGCTATATACTGTATATATATATATAATATATATAATTAATTTAAAATAATAATTTAGTTTAAAAGGAAAGTGCGGTCAATTTGACAAAAAATAAAATTGCATGACTGGACTGTTTGTTATTTGTTATGTTTTTTGACACTATTATTATTATTATTATAGAATATTATCAGTATATCCATAGTATATAAATTATAATAATCAAAGTTTATGATTATTAGAGAAATATTAATATTTTTCATATATTAATTTGTGAGGCCTTATGGTTGTGTTGGGAAGGGATGGACTTTCTAATTGTATTTTTGTTAAAAATAATTACTTTGTATCTAAATAACAGTATATGTTATACTGTATAACTATAATAATAAGTAATTAATAACAATTCCTGAATGAACCTGTACATAAATCATAATATTTTTCATATAATAGCATATTATATTACAGGTATACCAATATATGTAGTATTGTACATGTATTAATATAACCAATTGATCCATTATATATTACAGTAATATTGTATTGCATAAAAGCATACTATAGTATATAAATTTATATATATTAAATACAGTATTATAGTATGACAATACCAATACAGCCAATTGGTTATAAAGCACAATAGACCTGGACAAATTTTATTTAATATTTATTGACATAAATTCAATGATAAGCAGATTTATTATTTGATAGTTATAAGAAAATTAATTTAAGTCAATTAAATATTTTTTATATGTATAATATCATGATATGCAAGAAATTATTTGTTATGAATCATAAGTTATGATAGAGTAAATAAAAAATCATATTATAAGCAAATATATGATGTTAGCAAATTTGTGATATAATACAATTACCGTATATTATAATGACTATAATATTAAGTTATAAATAAATACTCAATTTTTTTATAGTTTATATTATATTTCAATGAGATCTAACAAAAAATATATTTAAAATTAAATAAAAAATTACTTGAATTAAGATTTGTGTCACCAGAAAATAATCTATAATTAAAACTTTTTGCAATTTTATTTATCAAATGAAAGCCTGAATGTCATAAAAAAGTATAAATAGATTAATATTAGATTCAAATCGATAGACAATCTCTTATAGCAAAATATGTGCTCAAAAACAGTTCAGATCTTGTCTTCATTGGTTTCAAACATAAAGTTGAGGTCACGAAAGACATTATAATGTTTGCCAATTCCCACAAATTTTAATGACAACCAAATCTTTAAATTTACATAACATTTAAATTTAATTGTATTAAATATTTTATTTCACTTAACAATCGTGTTTATTTGAGGACAACTTTTAAATTATTAAAGTAAACTATATTAACATAAAAAATAAAGTTATTTGCTTTTTTTGATTAAGCTATTAATAGTAGATTGAAATTATTATATAAATTTATGTATACTCAATAATAATAATATTCTGATGTTTGTGTGTAATAAAATGTATAAACTAATGATTCATAAAACTATTATACAAAATCAACATTTAAGTATAGTATAATGGTTTGACATTTATTATGTTAATTAAGATAATATTTTATTAAAATTTAAATATATTTTAACAGTTTATAATAGTTGCTATTAAAAAAACTTAATAACATAGTATCAGTAAAATTTATTTTAAATAATATTTGCAATTAATGTAAATTTATTATAAATAATTATTAAATATTGAAAATAAAATTTTCAACGCAATTTCAATTGTGGATAAAGTATTTACTTTGATTATCAATAAAAAGAAAACTTTAAATTGTTTTTTATAATATATAATAAATATTAAAATATATTATACTGTATATTGTTTAGTCAAAGTTTGTTTAATTATAATTCTTTTGGTTCAAACATAATGAATGACTTTTGTATTACTTGTGATTAAAAGTATTTTCAAAAAATTCCCGACAATTATTAAAATAAGTGATAAAATAAATACTGTTTTTTCTATTATAATAAAAACCTCTCTAATCTCTCTCTCTCTCTCTCTCTCTCTCTCTCTCTCTCTCTCTCTCTCTCTCTCTCTCTCTCTCTCTCTCTCTCTCTCTCTCTCTCTCTCTCTCTCTCTCTCTCTCTCTCTCTCTCTCTCTCTCTACACATACACATACACATACACATACACATACACATACACATACACATACACATACACATACACATACACATACACATACACATACACATACACATACACATACACATACACATACACATACACATACACATACACATACACATACACATACACATACACATACACATACACATACACATACACATACACATACACATACACATACACATACACATACACATACACATACACATACACATACACATACACATACACATACACATACACATACACATACACATACACATACACATACACATACATATACACATACACATACACATACACATACACATACACATACACATACACATACACATACACATACACATACACATACACATACACATACACATACACATACACATACACATAATTTTTTTAAAGATTATTTTACATAACTATTAATAAAATATATGCAATTTGTTTCCAAAAAAAATATTTGATGAAAGCTAGAAATATAATAGATGTAAAAACAATAGTAAATTAAGAAAGTATAATATAATATTCATTATAACATTCATTGATATTTTCAGCTGATCTCACAATTATATTATAAAAAATACTCGTGATATTCATTTTTATAAAACAAATTGCTTTTAATATGAATCTTACAGATTTTATTGTTATTTTAAAACTTTTATAAATCATAAATTTTTAATAAAAATAATCATTGGTTACACAACTCACTGTTAAATCATAGATTGTTGATAAAATATTTTCAATATTTCTTAGTTTATAATTACTAATTATCAGTACTTCATTAAAGAGTCTAAATTAGATTTAAAGGGCAATTGCTTATGGCGTGAATGTGCTATCATATTGTAAATCTTATATTTTTATTTATATAATGTTTATATCATATTTAGTGTTTTAGTTTTATTATTTAAATATAAATGTACAATTTATTTATAGTAAATTTTTCCAGTAAGTTAATAAAATAAATTAAATCGATTTGTTTGTTCATTAATCTAATTAATATTTAAATAACAATATATCGTTTTTAAATACATTTATATACAGTATATCTTTGAGTATACTTTTTTATCATTTATAAGAAGTTATATATAACTACAGTATTATACTTATATACCAGTAATAGATACGATACTAATCATTATTCTGAAAAATGTGGACATAAGGGTTATACAGTTTTGAAAAATATACATATTATAGACAATTCATTCACTGGTTTATTATTTAAATAATATTATATGATTTATGACACATATTTCACAACAGATCTCTCACTCCTAATATAATTAAATAAATTTTATAATAAATTATACGGAATTAGTGCTAACCATAAGTTTAACATAAGTTTACACAATATATAATATTCATAATAACATCAGTTTTTCACTGAAGCTCTTATCTGTATCTTATAAACTATTAATTACTAACTTATTACTAAATATTGCAATAAATATACATTCGATTAATTGTTTAATTAATACCAAATCCATGACTAAAAATAAAGAAATATTAATAAAAAAGTCTTTTTTCAGTCA